TCGTGATGAATTCTAGAGACCCAAATCGATCATCTATTTCGACATACTATTCAGACTACTTTTATTTACTGTGATGGCCGAAGATCCTCTTATTGAGGTTTTCACAGAGCTTAGAGTGGCCTGGCTCATCATCTTATTGCGTGTATTTGCACGTTGCCGCCATGTTGGTGGCATCAGGAAACTACAAAGCGACGGCGACTTAATGGTCTTTGCCGGGGTACGACATCCCAGTGAATGGTATGAGCAGCTTGAAAGGTTAGTACTGATAAGCCATGATTCGGTGTCTCTATGCCTCACAAGCAATCTCTAAATACTTTATAGGACACTACAGAGGATTCAATGTCGCAAGCGTGACGGATGAACAACGTTCAAACCTCGGTCGTACGTCAATCGAATGGAAAATTCGAGTCAATGGGTCCAGGGCATTTATTGCAGCCTGAATAATTTATACTTCGCTACTCTGGACTTGAAAAGCTTGCATTCTGATATTCTACTCGCGTTTGACGTAAGCCTAATCTTTTATGATCACTCTCTATAAAAAAGTATTGATTCAATGAATTTAACTAGAACATCTATATCCAGAACATGAGATTGCGCATTCGCATAGGTAAATTTGCTTTATCTCTTACCTACATCACAATGGTGTGCGTAATTCTGTTCGTTTGTTCTCCAATACACAAGCACCGACAGATCAACACGAATCTTAGTCGTAGGTTATAAAAAGACGTGAATTTGATGCTGACCTATTCTTCACTACTAATTGAATACCATTCAGGAAATTCAAAGAGCAATATGTACAAAAAGTTGATATTCAACATCCTGACTGATATATATTTTATTTGCATCCCGATTCTGGTATTTGCCAGACAAGCTAGTATCATTTGATCAATCTGATTCATGAATGCACATAACCTGGTCAATCCAGCTACGATGGAGTAAATAGATTGGCTTGATTTCATTATTCGTTGGAGCGGTCATAACTACCATCTTCGGCTTTTTGATATATATAGTTGTATTGACAACAGTCAACCGTCACCCGTTGATTCTCCTATCTCCCTTTCATGAGATATGCCCCTCGGCACAAATTAAATAAACAGCCAGAGAAGAAAGGGGCCCATCTCGCGGGACTATGGCCAATTCGCAAATTGTTCATTGCCGTGGTCGTTACCAATATTCCACTCATATATCCATATGCAACCCACCTTTGGAACTCGTTCAAAAGTAAATTGCCAATCATTCAAATGGCTACAGTCAGGAAGTTACACGGAGTCTGAACATACGGTTATAGTGATCAATCTGCGAACAAGGCGACTAATCCCACGGTCTCGAAGCTGTTGCGAAGCAAGCAGATCTAAAAACCCCGTTCACTTTCAGGCGTTATCAGTACAGAAAAAAGGCAAAGAGCTGAAAGTGAAGGTTCTGAGTAATACAGAGTTAGCAGTCAAAGCTCTTCCGGATGTCCAGTAGGTCAGACCGTTAGCACAGGTTAGATGAGGAATGAACGGGATCGCGACGACTCATTCACGCTCTACGTGGCAGTAAATACAAATATTCAAGAATCAGTTGAATCCTTGCAGAGGCGACAACTAATTCTCATCACTATAAGCATGGTTCCCTGATAGCCATGCACAAGGCGTAATCCAGCACTCCTATATTTCCTCTACGGTCGCCGATGTGACGAGTTGAAGAAAAGCTGTGAGGCGCGACCCAGACAGTCAATTATAGCTGCAATGAACCCAGATACTTGAACAACCAACTTGTGGTTTGAAGCTTACAAGTGTAGTCGCACAAGTGGAAGATACATTTGATGATGGACGTCCCAGTGCTACTCGGACATTGCCTTACGATATCACCAATCAGTATATTGTTCAATTACGCCATGGGCACCAAATCCTCTACATCATGATTAGAGTTGAGTACTCGCCTATCTGTGCGTATTTGAAGCGGCGATCGAGATTGACCGCCATGCATCTTGATTAGCGTGCCACGTTGACAATAAGTTGTTTGCCTCTTTGCCTTCTTGTACTCTGGCCCTCTTGTACTCTGGCCCTCTTGCCTTCTTGTACTCTGGCCCTCTTGCCTTCTTGTACTCTGGCCCTCTAGCCTTCTTGCCTTCTTGTACTCTGGCCCTTTCGTATTCCGGCCTCCTTGTAATTTTGCCTTCTTATGTTTTCCCCTTTTGTCTTAGACGACAAGACAGTCCTGTCCATAATTGCGCGGTCGAGGCATGTGCCTTGCTCACCCTTAGACTGTTGATAACTTATTTCCTAATTGCGTGGTTTCCGAACCCGCACTTCCCCGCATCATGCGGATTCTGTAACGATTACTCGGGGCCTTCGTTCCCAGCGGGACTGTTCTCCGCAGTAATCGAAGCACCACAAGGCCCCATGGGGTATGAATCGATATGCGCTGCATTTATTCGACCAACATGTTTGGCGATTCCTTAGCTGACAGATATTCACTACTTGTGTTTGCTAGGCACCAACATTCAATTTCATTTCATTTTTCACATGTTGAAGGCAAAGTAAACACAGGATTTATATTGTCTCAAAATAAGGACATTATCTACTACAGTGGCTTGGTCAATACCAGTGCTCTTACTTCGACGCTTACTCGAGGCGGCGCGTCCGCGGGAACTCCATGAAGCTGGAAGGACGAATGAGGACAGACTATAACTTGAGTTAGTCGAGCAATGAGGGTCATGGTTGACAGAAGACGCTTACATCGTGCTTTGGCATTATCGAGCGAGTCAAATTGCTTGAAAAGAAGAACTTCATCTGGTCGCTGATTGCTCAGATAGTGCCAGCGCATGCTGTCATTTTTCATCATGAACATTGAAGATCCAACGTAATCCTTTCGAACCTGGTCCACGTCTAGGAAATCGCTTTTAGAGACCGTAGTGCCGTCGCAGATTGCAAGTGGCCAATCCTGCACAGGATGTAGGACGGGCCGCCAAACACTACCGAGATATAAGCTACATGCGGGCTGGAATTCTATCATAGACCAAGAGATAGCAGCTTCTAGTTGAATAACTACTTACTTGATGATCCGAACTCTCCCTCGCAAGTATTGATCAGCATCGGTCCCCAACTGTTCTTTGATGCGTTGTATTGCTGCGATTGGTGCTTGATCTGCAGGAGAACACATCAGGGGCTTCCATTTGATGAGTTTTGCCATTGTAATGTGGAATCACATACCAACGTGCGCTGTAGTAGCTGGGTGAAGAAACTGATTGCGATCGTCCAAATTATTCGTATTATTCCTATCTTGGGCCGCCGCATTGCGGCGCTGGTCCAACGTTAGCTTCTTTATCCGATTATGGACTAGGCATGATTCATCTGAAAATATGCGTAAATGATGCAAAGGTTCGCTCCTTACCCTCCAATCAAAAAACAAGATTCGGTCGGCCTCTTCCACTTCTTGTCGGAGTAGCTGTTCGATTGCTGGTAGATATTCGGAATGAAAGACACTATGGTCTTCAAATTTGGCAGCGTCTTCCAGGTGTGCTACTTTGAAGCCATGATCGTCAAGAGTGAAACTGTTCTTCGTGTCTCGAATGTCGTGTACATCAACCCGAGCAGAAGAGAAGTCTACATTGGAGGACCGCTGGTCAGAGGATGCAGATGGTATATCCATGAACAGCATAAAAGGTTTCTCATGATCATAAGAATCCCTCCATAGCGCAAACTGAATGGTTCCTTCGGTAGCCATTGAAAATATACAAAGGTGTCGTGTAGCAATGCGTCGTTGTATTGACTACTTTCGGCCGTGTTCAGATTTCATTCTTCCATCGAATCATGGTCTTTTATATAGAACTCTACCATAGTAAGCTGGAAGAATTTCGGATCGACCGATCGTTACGATAATTGATGCACAGCTCAGTGCAGGACACCAAGACATGTAGTACAACCCACTTGCGGGGCGAGTGTATATAGCACAGGATACTAAAAGAATGGAGTCTTACGTGGACATTGGCCCTATAGTGTAACGCAAATTTATGCATCTCAAGAGTGCACTGCAGATGAGATAAGCCCCGTTATCGTCTGAGGAATACAGGTTCACAATACTCGGGCCCTTGTGGCTCTTTGTACACAGCGGACTATCTCGCAGAAGGATTCGAAGAACTGCAAAGGCCAGAGCAAGGCATATTTAATCTTGCAATCCGCCTTCACTTAGTTCACTGTCTCTCTTCCACTATAACTTTATTACCTACTGATTCGCAGTGATTCCAAGTCATCGACGCATAAACATGTCTTCCTTCATTGACAACAACTATGTCTTGGACATACTGAGCATCGAGGCCAACGATCAGCGCTGCCAGCCTTGGAAGCAGCACTTTGCCAGTGACCGTAAGTCTTGACTCTGTAATTGCTACACTATACATAACAGCTAATCCAATAGTTGCAGCTCAAGCCAACACTATCAATGAACCTGGCTTCGACACTGCAAAGGCGTATGATACGGCGAAGGCTTATGACACTGCAAAGGCATACGACACCACGAAGGCGTATGACACCACGAAGGCGTATGACACCACGAAGGCCTATGACACTGCAAAGGCATACGACACCACGAAGGCCTATGACACCACGAAGGCCTATGACACCGCAAAGGCATATGACACCGCAAAGGCATATGACACCGCAAAGGCATATGACACCGCAAAGGCATATGACACCGCAAAGGCATACGATACCGCAAAGGCATATGACACCTCTAAGGCATACGATACTGCAAAGGCATATGACACTGCCAAATCCCTCGACATGTTTTAGTGTACTAGGACTTTTTGTTTTACAGTAACCCAGCCTGTCTTTACCGCATGTTAACATGCTTCAATGAAATTGCCTTCACATGAGTCTTTTATGAGTGTGTTTGTATCATTGAATACCCAACATAGTGATGTATTCCTTACACTACTGGATTCTCTATCTGCTTTAAAAATTCTGGGTTCGGCATCGTAGGATCCAACCAATCGCCCTCCCTCACCCAGAAACAATATTGTGGCAATGCAAGGCCAGGAAGGCGAATGTAAAACAAATTAGCCAACTCAAATACTCTCACGCCCTTAGCTGTCGAACGGGGATAGTCTAAGTAGGCAGGCAAAAAGCACATTGCAGGACGGAATTCAGAGCTCGCATATACTTCCAGCAACTTCATTCTCTTCACCACATCCCGCTCATGCTTCCTTTGTTCCACCTTTGATAGTAATGTGGTTTTCTTGACTCTGTGGGCCAGGAGCATCTTCCTACGCGCTTTCCCTTCGTGGCCTCGCCATTTTCCATATACTTCGGCGAGGGTTGGTTCTGATGATCGCGGCGGGAGATTGAAGTACATTCGGCCGTTCCACCACTGGACCATGGTGCGTGCTGCCCAGTCGGAACCACGTTCGATTGTAGCATTGTTTAACGGACCTACCATGATTCCGTTTCGCGCGCAATTAGCAGTGTGCCGTGATATCATAGGAACAGCGCCTATTGCCGGTACTCCAGGTCCAGCAACAATCCGTCCAGGAAGCTGCAGCACCTCCCTTGAAAGACTTGTGGTGAGTTTTAAAGGTATATAGGGTACTTTCTTAGGTAAGAGCTTCCCTGTGTAAATAAGTTTCCGCTTCCCGCGCAATTGGTAAGAGTGTGGAGGGTCTAAGCGTGGTAGATCGGGGAAACGCCATTCAAATAAACGAAGCGTTGGTTCGGGATGTATTGGTGAAATAGGTGAAGTATCAGAAGATTCAGATTCCGAAAATGACGAATCTGATGATTCGGACAGAAGACCCTTGAGCAGTGTGTTGTACTCTACTTGTTTATCTTCCGTATCAGTAATCTCCGCTCTTTTCCGAGCTGCTTCCTGCTTGTGCTTCCAATCCTCTTCTTGCTTCTTCTTCGTAAGTTCATTTGTCTGGGCTCTCAATCTAGGCTCTCGGGCTCCGTTGACTCTTTGGCGTCGGTCCTTCTCGGCCAGGACTTTGATCATCGCATGCTTCGGCATGTCTTTGAGGTACAATTGAGCTTTTATGCTAGCTTGCTTCAGCGTAGCCCAACTTTCGTAGTCCCATTTTGTGCCTGTACGGTGCTCTTCCTTGAGTCGATGGGTACCACCACGACGATGCCGGGCCCTTGCCGCGGCTAGCTGGCGTTCGGTTCTCGCCATTCCTAGCTCAGGTCTAGTTGATTTTGATGAAGATGATGGAAATCGGGTAAGTGATAGAAAGATCAACCAACTCTATCGTGTTGCTAGAGCGAGGGGGTCTGATGTAACAGAAACCCTAGGGGCGTCCATAGGCATGAATGTAGTTCTGTCCCTGTTTAAATTGAGATACAATGGCCTTTGTTTTGCGATACTTATGAAAGCGACGCAAAGGCCGAGATACTAAACAAGATACTGAAGTATCCAGTCAAAGAAACAGACAACACAAAGAAGTGGACGGGCACTGTTAACGTCCGATCGACAATGGGTCATTACGATGAGCAACGCAGGTCAAAGGGACGACAATAGTATTCATTAGTCTGAAATCTCTAGGGTATCGCACTACGTAAAAGTCAATGGCATAATGCACACCTGTGTAGAAGCTACTTACAATTCTGTTTTCTCCTCAAAATTTATCTCTCTCTTCTGTTTCTGCTCGGTCCGAGGGAAGTCAAAGTGACCTTCTAAATCCATCCACTCTGCCATGAATGCCGTCACCAACCTTGCCCAATCTTCAACTGTGTTCATGTCCAAGTGTTCACCATCATCCTCTATCTCATGCCAGACCTTTGGAAATGGTGACGGGATGATATGTAAGATTTCCACGCCACGTGCCATAAAGGGAACGTGATCGTCGCCAATTCCTCCGCCATAGAATCGATCAGCCGGTTTGTCCGACTCGGGTAGAAATTGTGGTTCTGCGCGTGGCTTCTTGTTCTCCCGCTTGGCTACGTTTGCGGGGTGGTTAGGTGACGATTTGAACATGCCCAGCCCACGTAGTCGCTTTTCGACCTCTGCCATGTGCTTGTATGCCCAATGTGTTGTTTTGAAATACGAAGGGATCGCGGGTGAAGCGGAACCCAGGAGATCGAGGAGAACAAACAAATCTATGGAATCAAGGGGTGTACGGAACGTTGACATTGCTGGGTGATAAGTGAACTCCCAATCGGCTGCTAGGGCTCTATATGTTGGGAATTTGTTAGCACACTTTGAATGCTAGGCTCCAAGATTCGTATACATACCTTGCACCATACAAGCTGTCCTCATCTGTCCAGCTTAAGAATGCCTCCTCCCCATCAAGTAGGAGGATCTGAACACCCTGTTGTTCGTCTAGTTCGAGCGAATCAGCCGTAGCCTCCCACTTCTTCGTCAACGCTTTATCGATTGACCTCGCTGCATGCAACAGCATTGCGCATGGTGCTGCACTGTCTATTGCGCCAATGAATCCCTCCGGCGATATCTTGCTGTCGTAATGTGCCACCATCGCCAATCTCCCAACATCCCCTGGTCTCGTACCCGGCGGATCTCTGGTCGCGATAAGGTTCCGGAACGGCACTTCAAGGCCATTGCTTAAAGGGGTCGTAGACGTAGAATTGTGAAACTCAAGCCTCCATTCCGGGAGTTCCTTCTTGAAGAAGTCAACGAAGTGTTGTAGAACGGCAGCATTCCCGGGCGTTCCAGACACTCGCGTGCGCAATATGGGCGCTAGAATGGCACCGGTCTTTATATCGAAATCCGTACCAGAGCTCGGTAGCTTTTGGAGCGTCTCATCGCTGAGGGGGGTGTAGGCGGAGCACGCGGCGGAGAAGAGTGAGACCAGTGACAGACCCCCGAATAGCAACATCTTGCCCAACGATCACATGAACAAGGCAGTGGAAGGATGGAATACGAGCGCGGCGTTATCGACGAAAAGTACGCATGCTAAGCAGGGAGAATGATCGCTGGCTGGGTATGATCGATGTTGTCGTCGTGGCCATTATTACAGTATTAAGCAAGGTGCTTTGATATCCCCGCCTTTCCGAGTTTAGCCCTGCACGTGAACGCGCGTTGACATGGTTTCTATAGTACAGGACTGGGATATCTTAACAGTTCAAACATGAATCCAGTCATAGGGTCTGGGTTTATTGTTGGTAGAGGTGTAATCCGTAGTTCGGCGAGTCTCATTGTACTATCATAATGATATTTATTCGTACCTAGTCGTTCACTACCATGATCCCAGCTTCAAGATATATCGAGTGCCAAGCAATCGACGAGGCAGGTTTTGCCGACTGTGAAGTCTTCTCAAGGAGAGCTTCCAATTGCTCACGCTCCAACGTTAAAATATGAATTCCCAATTGCACTTTTTCGCTCGGGCGTTCTATAGATCGACATTGCGTGGAACGTCGCAACAGGCAGCAAGGCAGACACGATTTGCCCAGTATGTGTGCAGAAGCTGTCAAAGTAAATTTTCAACGACCGCGATAAGACGAGCTTTTGGATTATCCAAAAAGGACGCTCAGAATGCCGCTGAGGTAGCCGATCGAGCTGGAAGCAAAAGTAAGAGATCTCATACGAAGACATGGGATAATTGTACTGATACGATATCAGAATATCCTTCTCGGCTCGTCATATATGATGCTGGCGACATACGCACATCATTTGTGTCCTTCTGGAAAGCGACAGCCCTCTTTCAATTCGGCGTGGTGGGCGTCTTTATTGCTCCCGTTCTTTACAGGAATGAGAATCAGCCTGACCCAAATGTTCGCCTGATGCAAGCTATCGGAGGTAAGATTCCTCAACCATCTGTCTTACCACCTTGTTTTCGTTTCCAAACATAGATAAGTTTTCTAACATCTCATAGTCGGCATTCTGGGTGTTGTTCCAATGGCAATGATGTCCTACCTTACATCACCGTTTGTCAAACGCATTGCCATCGACATCCCAGCCTACGCCCAAATCTCAAGGCCCAATCTTCAGCGCTTTGCGAGTACAATTCAACCGAACGCTCGTCTCGAGTTCACCACGTTGCGTGCATTTCCTTTCCAACGAACCTCCACGGTTCTTTTGCACGAGCTACGCGCTCTTCCTTCTCAGATGTTCCGATTCGCCAACCTTGAGCGCGTAAAGACTGAAGCGAGCATCAAGAGGTGGAAAGGAATGCCGTGGTACAGTAAGTTTATGGAGATCATCAATGAGCCAAGATGGAAGTTCTACGTGAAAGAGGGTCGCCAGTACACGATGAAGACTGGGGTACCAGGTGTTTGGGAAGAAATAGCCCAGACTATTCAACGACAGTCCCTCAAGGAGCAAGTGGGTAAGGGCAGCGCGAAGCCGGCGAATACCTTGGCCAAACTGGTCAATGAGCCCAAGGTTAGACCCGTCAGGAGGCAGACAGCTAGATCGGCAAGGTAGAACTGAGGAGACGATGTTTAACATCAAACTTGGTAAATGCAATGTTTGTTGTGCCTGTGTTGTATAAAATGTGTATAGAGGAATGCCTTTGTAATACTAGATATGTTGATCGAATTCAGGAACACCATGAATTGAGCAATGAAAACTATACCGTCAACCACCTATAATCTTATTGTGAAGTGCTCATAGGCTGAACACGGAATATTCAATAGCAACCTGACAAACCCATCTACCACAATCTTCCTATTTGAGATTAGCGCCATTTCATCATAGTAGTCATCAGCCACGCAACTCATGATCGCGACACAACTCGATTACCAATTCATTGTACAGGCTCCAGCTCGTACCATCGGACAAGACTTGACACATTTCCACTTTGCCCAACAATTTATTTGTAGGTTTAAATCGCAGATTATCTTATGATCGAGTGTACGGTAGGTTGTCGTTCGCTTTCTACTTTTCGTAAGACCGCATTGTGTTCAATTGGACAAGTATACATGATACTAACCTGCACCAGGGGACTCGCGCTCAATTGAGGTAATTCAACTTGCCGGATCTGTTTATTTGCTCACCGGGCACCTTGTTGGCTTCCCAACGCCCAGAATCCACGCATCATACTAGGCCAATTGTAACTGCTTGTCAAGATGAGGTTTTCGTCAACCGTTTCGATCATTCTCTCCTCATTCCTCTTCAATCTCTCTCCCACCATAGCATCCGAGCAAGCACAACAGCCTTTCGAATTCGGTACCATGTCTGCACCATCATATACGCTTCCTAAGCTTCCATATGCATACGATGTAAGCTTCTTTCATGTCTATAGCGACCCGTACATGAACATGTGCTCACCCGAAACGAGGCATTGGAACCCCACATCTCCGCCCAGATCATGGAGCTTCATCACAGCAAACACCATCAAACATACATCACGAATCTGAATGCAGCACTCAAGTCTCAGGCCGAGGCTGTCCACACTTCAGACATCACCGTTCAGGTAAGCCTACAGCAGGGCATCAAGTTCAACGCCGGAGGACACATCAACCACTCTCTGTTCTGGCAGAACCTCGCACCGGCCAGTTCGTCAGATGCAAAGTCGTCCGCTGCCCCGCAGCTCCTGAAGCAAATCAAGGCAACATGGGGCGACGAGGACAAATTCCGTGACGCCTTCAAAGCTGCTTTGTTGGGCATTCAAGGAAGCGGATGGGGATGGCTCATCAAGGTCGAGACTGGAAAGGAGGAACGACTTGCCATTGTAACGACGAAGGATCAGGATCCCATCGTTGGGAAGGGTGAGACGCCCATTTTTGGTGTCGACATGTGGGAGCATGCCTACTACCTCCAGGTCAGTTGAAAGATCCGCTACAAGAGGACAGACAAGCTGACCAAGTCTAGTATCTGAACGGCAAAGCTGCTTATGTTGAGAACATCTGGAACGTCATCAACTGGAAGACGGCGGAGGAGCGATTCCTCGGGTCGCGCGCAGATGCATTCAAGATCTTGAAAGCATCCATCTGAACAAAATTGATTTTCTTCAAAGACACTAAATAGCTCTCAGAATATGAAACTGATGTTCCGATCGATTCCGCTGCGTGTCTTAAGTTGTGACGTGGAGTAACCATGGCGAGTACCACAGTGTCCGGTCACCCCAGTCTTGGCATTCAAGCGCGCCGTTCGGGTACTCTCTCAAACTTGCTCAAAAGGCGCAAACAGGCTCAACATGAAATCTGGTAGACAGATAATCATATCAAGTGTCCGAACGCTTGCTATAGTTCAAATCACTTGATCAAATACTGCCTTGCCCCAAGTTCTCCGAATTCCCACTATTATATCATCACAGCCATTCACTATTCTCAGCTTCAAAGTCCATTATATACCCCAATACTTCACAGCAGTACCAATTCAAATCAAATCAGTCATGTGTAACGGATCTTCCACCCGAACAAGCCAAGGCGGCTCCATCGCTGTTCTTCGCCCAACCAAATCGGACAATAACACATCAGACGAATGGCGCCTCCTCTTCTCCTACGCAAACACCGAAGGGCTAGACGTCGGAACACAAATCGAGCTTAAAGGCAATGACCTTGTAACAAGGAGGCACGATGGAGGATACTGGGTTGTGATACAGTCAGTCGCCAGATCTTCAACAAATGCACAAGAAACGTTTACTGATCAAGTCTGTAGTCATACTGGCGACATGTCTCCGTCTCCTTCGCCGATTGCGACGGGCGCAGTATCGCCTCCACCGTTCTTAATGTTTGATCTAGATGGGGAGACCGGGTCAGTCACTCGTCTCGCTCAGAAGCTAGATCTAGGAGTGGGCGAGAATGGTATTGTTGGTCGGAAAGTGTCAGTTATGACTAGCTCGCTTCGAGGACCGAGAGCTGTCGCGGAGGGTATCATTGGTTGGAACTGAAGCTGGTCTTCTATGATTTGTTATTTTTATGTACCTTTTTTGGATGGTGTTCCTTGGGCATTTGGTAATCTCGAAGCATTTGTATCGGCGTTTGGATATCTGATGTTTTAAAGTCCTTCTGAGGCCACAATTAAGGACGACCAATCCTATTGTTCGGCTATGTTTCCTGTAACAATGCGATTCCTGTCCTAGGTAGCGAATGTAACTCCAATGTGGCTAAGCTGTCTGAGATTGTTTGTTAATTTACTGACAACTAATAACAAGTTACAGAGCGGCATCTTCGACCGTTAGCAATTTCAGATGAGCTAATGAACGCTGTCTAATAAACTGTAGTCCAATGCTCGATCATTTGAAAAAGAAGAATTGATTTGGAAAGGTAAAATGACAACTTGCCGTTCTATTCTTGATATAGAGATTACTTAGTTCGCATTCTCTAAATGTCTAAAATATCTAGAATTATTGATTACTATTACAAGATATTAACGCAACTCTAGCTTCACGATCTACAGATATTCGAATCTCTCTAATCACACGAAATGTCTACTTCTTCTCCTCCAACTTTGGCTCCTCGACCTTCCAAAATAGCCAAGTAATAGCAATCGCCACCTTGAGCGCACCCGCAATCCAAAGCCCCGTGCACAATCCTGCACTACTCCACCCAAGCCAACTACCAGAAAGACCTCCCAAGAACGTCAACACGACCGCGAAAGCCCTTCGATTCCTCTTCAGGTTACTAGACCACGGCGCGAACAGATTCGGGTCACTCAAAAGGTCGCAGTACACGCTGGTTAACACGTTGGTCGGCACCTCATTGAACCCCAACTGGCGACTCGAGACGATCTGGCCGCCGAAGGAAAACGCGAGGAAGCCGATAGGAATCAGGATCTTGAGGTTGACGATCTGGTTCTCGACGTTGTGTTCTGCAAGGGGGAGATCGGCCATTTCGGGCGTCACGCCGGATTGTGCGAGCGCGGCGGCGATGAAGACGAGAATGGCCTGTGTGAGGAAGTTGAGTGCGAGAGTGCCTTTCGCGATGGGGCGAATGTGCCGGAGCTTGCTGAAGCAAAAGACGCCGGCGAGGAAGCAGCCGATAGAGCAGATTGCGCGAAGCCACATGAATTTCTGGTGGGAGGGGAGGTAGGCGGCGCCGATGGCGAGGAAGATGGTGTTTCCGGTTTGCATGGAGACGAAGACGGCGCTCGAGTTGAAGGCAATGCTGTCACATAGTCCTGAGGCGAAACTGCAGAGGCAGACGGGTATATCTGCCCATTGCTTGTCAATGTCTTTGCGTAGGTCCGTAGGTCGGAGGCTCCAGCCTTTGGTCTTTTCTGTTGCTGAGGATGCGGATGAGGGAGAGTCGGTCGCGAACATCTTGGGCAATCTCTTGTAGTGTGCGTTGGGGATCAATTGAGGATGGACCCGTCCGTGCAATGTTTTATTATCCCTTTCCAGTGCCCTTTGGCGGTATAAGATCGTATTTGAAAGGTATTCTTGGGGATTGAACTTTTTTTCTGGCGGTCATGAGATACCTCGAGCTGAGCCCAACATGTTTTGTTTTGACCGCCATGACTCTCCTTTAATCAATTGCGCCATCAGACGAGTGACTGTTCGGAATGCTCGGCCGCGTAACGGAACGCCAATGCGATAAGAATTTTCCGCCACAGACCAATTTAGTATAGCGACCTCCAATTACCCAATGCGAGGTGTGGCTTGCACTCATTACAGAGCCGCAAACGACAGAGACGTTAATAATCATTAGATCAATTCATAATTGTCAAAGATCGCCGGTTTGACAGTGATGAAAGTTGCATCGTGAGCTTGAGAAACATGGAGCATGTACGGTTGAGTCAGGTCGTTCCGCTCGGCCCGACTTTCCGCGAATTCCTCTTCGAAATAGGTGAGTGTATTGCACGAAGCGGGCAGACTGCTTTAAAAAGGAGAGGGAGATGATAAAAGTATTGCTCATGCATCAATACTTGACTTACTGCGGCTCTATTGATAAACAAAAGAGCGATGTGCGCATGCGATGTTGGTAATTGATTTCGTGAGGCCCGAAGCAGACCACGCACTAATTAATAACACACCAATGTTAAACAGACGAATCTGGAATGAACAATGAGTCAACAATTGTACACCGATATTATATTCAGGGAATTGATACTCGTTTGATTCTATGCTCTAATAGTCCTACAGTTGAAAGCGACTACATTGACTGACCAGGCCATTGAGTTGGTTATGACTGATAATACAATTGGACAGCCACGAGTAGTCGCAACGATAAGATGTCAACATTTAAGACGGTATCAAACAGATTTATATATTATATAGTTTGTAATCTTGAAACACAAGGATGCATTTGCTGATGCATTCGTGGGAAATGTGTCACTGGCCCAATTATAAGCATATGTAGTCTTTCAATATTACACTTTAAAAGAGGTATAATTACTAGTCCTTGAACATCTCCATAGACCAGCGAATCAGTAAATGAATCTTTATATTAGACATAACATGTCTACTGCTTGTCCTGTGGAGGGACCACAAAGCCAGTTGAGGCATACTCGACCGGGTTCTTAAGAGTTCCAATGTGCGGCCAAAGCTTGACCTCGACCTGATCACCAGGCTGCAAAAACTGTGGGTTCTTCATAGCATATCCGACACCGCTTGGGGTACCAGTCATGACGATAGTTCCCCTCGACAAGGTAGTTCCTTGGCTGATGTAGCTCACCAAGTAGGGAACCCTGAAGCATAGATCATCAATGGTTTCATTTTGTCTAATCTCACCGTTGACAGTGGTAGTGAGCTGTAGGACAGATGGATCCGGGAGAACTTCCGGAGAGACGATCTGAGGTCCTACGGGGCAGTAGGTGTCGAAGCCCTTCGAGAAGTTCCATTGAGGGACCGTGCCGGCGAGTTCGGGGTTTCGTTGAAGTTTGCGAGAAGAGACGTCGTTACCGGAGAAGTAGCCACCAATGTAATTGGGAGCATCGGCCTCTGTGACATCTTTGGCGTCCTTGGAAATGATGAAGCACTATGGATACATTAGTCTCCATGATCCCTGCTACACACGAGCTACACAATGCTTACAAGCTCTCCCTCATAGTCAGCTTGGCTATCTTGTGCAAGCTTAGGGATGACAATTGGTGCTCCGTGATCGTTAAGTGCGGTGTTCGCCTTGATGAACGTCGCCGGGTATGGTGGCAATGTTCGTCCACCCTCCTTAACTAAGCGGATTGTATTAGACGAACCGATTATAGATATATAGATGGCACTATACTTACTGTGCTTGATGAAGTTTAGTCCGATGCACCTGATGATTGGCACCTCGGCGGTGGTAACAGGTCCCAGGAGCTTCTTCACCGTGACCTCTTCATTTGTCACAGTTGTCCCGTCGCTAAAGATATCTCCATCCTTCACGTCGATCACCTTGGCTTTCAATCCAGTAGCTTCGGTCGTACTGCCGACGTCAAAGTCCTCTGATGGCAGAACTGGTTCACCCCTCAGTATCCTTCCATCGGTGGCTTCAAAACGTATCAGTCGCTTCCAGGACGGCATGTTGGCTCAATCTGTAGTATTGTTGTTCTTGAGATGAATCAGTTGAAGCTGTATATGGATTTTTCGACTTGTCCGCAGTCGACAAAGGATATATAAGATGTATGTACAAGGCGATGTCGGCGTCGGCGTCGGCACTGGTGTTTGGGGATGGATGGCGTTTGGTGGGATAGTGGGGTTGGTTAGAGATGTTGCCCCGGCGCCAGTTCTGGGTCCGCAATTCTAGACAAATCCATCCCCAGCGAGTTCTTACAGGGATGATCATTGGTCCTGCAGTCTTCCTCGGCAGTTAATGGTCATAATGGTACATTACGTAGTTCGGGCCAGTCCGCAGGCAGTCGTGTCGGCAACTGCAGCCATGCTTTCTTTTTATTCAGGTCAAACATGAAGACTCTTCCGATTTAGGGTTTCTATCATAGAGCAATGACATACACGTGAAAGGTCAACAATGGTAAAATGAATCTTGGCTCATCAAAGACAAGTCATGAGAAAATATCGTTTCGTGGGGTATCATAGTATTTCATGATTCGGCATGATCGTTTACTTCTTCTTTCCAGCCTTTTTCGCCTGCGCGAGCGCTTTTGATATTGCCAAAACCTCGTCTTCCACAGCAGCATCGTCCTCGATCGCTTCACCATCAGAGACTAAGGTTTGCGCATCTTCTGCAGAATCGCTGTCATCTTCGGCATCAATCTCGATACCTTCTTCGTCGCTGAATCCCTCGAAATCCTCATCTTCATCCTCATCATCATCGTCGTCGTCATCGGCCTGTGCTGGCGCGGCATCGCCCTCTGCCGTAGATGGTGCACGGTCAGATGCGCCGGTTTCGTCGCGTTTTCTCTTGCGGCTCATCTCGCCCAGTCGGCCTTCTCGACCCTCAACGCCGGTTTCTGTGGCATCTTCAGTCTTCTCATGCGAAGGTGGTGCCGAGAACCAGGGGAGTTTTCCTCGGATGAAGTCATTCAGAACAATCTTTGCAACACCATCCATATCCGGTTCGCCGCCCTTGAGCAAACGGCCTTTAGCTCTGGCAAGCATTTCAAGGAAAGTATTCGCGTCTGTCCAACCCTTGAGCTCGTAGGTCCGTTCAACGTGCTTTTGTTTAATCCGTGCCAAGACACCATCCACGTATTGAGCGGGATACTCAACGTTTTCAACACGAATGGACCTATCCTCTAATTAGTTGGGCCCTAGATGAGACAATCTGATGTTCATTACATACCCTTTCATGAGGAGCACATCATCTGTGTCAGATGGGTTAGGAGGACAAACTCCCGGACAATCGATCATGTAGATTCGTCTCATCAGAGTGACATATTGCCAGACTTTCGTCTCACCTGCAATAGGCGCAACTTTACAGACGGGCTTGTTTCTCAGTGTGTTGATGATGGCGGATTTGCCGACATTGGGGTATCTAACATATTGTCAGCCTCCTCTAGTAGACTGAGAAATGGTAAGCAAGGATACTTACCCTACGAGACCAACAGAAATCTGTTTTCGATCCGAATGTAATGAGGAAAATTGTCGCAAGAGAGCAATTAAGCTTCCCTTTCCAAAACTGTTGTTGATTGATCTATATTTAGGTTAGTAGGGGTATGACATAAGATGTCTGAGTGAATCTTACGCATGGAAAGCAAGGGTAGGGTACTCCTTAGAGAGCAATCGAATCCATGTTGCCTAAAAGTGTATTAGCACACGTCTACTTAGATTTCATAAGAATTGAAAAGTAGAAGATGTAAGCATGTGTGAAACGTAACTAAGAGTACTACCACAAGGCCTGCGATGCAACAAAAGTAGCGGGTGCAGAAGTAGTCCTCAACTCAATACGGAACACGCAGACTCTGGCGATCAGCGACCAAAACGGTCGCCGATCAACCCAAGACCAAAACGGTCTCGAGCAGAGCGAGTCGTCTTGAATCTCCCAAAGTTGTAACAGTATCGATCCATGGGAAAAAGGGAAAGATGCTTGACTTAACGATGGGGAAAGGGGAAGGGAAGGGTTATAAATTTGAGGGAAAGAAAAACAAAAACAGCATCAATATGCATCAAAGTACTTACAGCAACCTTGGATGGAATAAGGTCGACCTTGTTGAGGACAAAGACAAGATGCTTGTGTGGTGCTTCGGTGCGAATATATTTCTCAACGGAACGGCATCGAGTGCCCATCGGGTCGCGTGCGTCGAGGACGTGCAGGATGACATCGGAACTGTCAATGACCTTGTACAGCTACAGTGACGAGATGGATTAGCATTCTGGTCTTTAAGTGCGCATCGAGAGAATAAGTAATTACCTCGTTCCAAATACGCTTGCTGGTGCCTTTACCAAACACGCTTTCTCGTGCAGTGGTAAGGGTTCTAGCCTCTTCGTCTTCGTCCGATTCCTCGCCAGATTTGCCCGACAACAGTCTTGCTTGTTCCAATCGATCAACATAGTCGTCCTGCATCTGAGCGGTACGGCCAGCAAGGTCTTCAGCAGAGCTGAAGTTTAGCTTGACCCTTTTGCGCTGTGCCTTTGGTCCAAATGTCTCTGAGAACGGTTGGCTTTCTACAGCGATCTTTGCAGCATGCTCCTTCAGCCCGTTTACGTTTTTTTGCTCTTCAATCAAACTCAATGGGAGCTTGTTCTGCTTCATGAGATAGGTAGTGGGATCGGAAGCCTGGGCATTGATAGCAGAACGGAACGATTCGAGAGCATCTTGCGAAATAACACGGGTCGCATTGAACCACTTTCGGTTGGGCTCGACACTGAAATAGTTAGCTAATGCGACAATGTAGGAGGAGAAATATAATTACCGAGCGACAGGACGGTCCCTGGATTGGTAGGAGGCAGCCTTAGTGATATCACCGGCAGCATTCCTCTGGGCTTTGCCGTCCGTAAGACGCTTGAGGACCTTGACTTTTTTCGCATCGCGGTAGAAGTTTTCGCCCTTGACCTTGACATTGCCCATTCCATCCCCAGTCTTCCCCTCGCGCATCTTCCTGTTGTTTTCTTTCTTATGTGTACCCATTTTGCCTACAGTGACCTCGAAATACAACAGAGTTCGGGTGCCAGTTCAGGCGGTGGAAGCAGACTGTAAAAGAAAGGTACCTGCGGAGGTTGGAAGGAAGTTCGAAACTTTTTGGACGGGAAAATTTCTAGTGGATATCGAATTATGATGGCCCGTGCACATTGATGCTTGGCACCCTCGAACTTTTCCGATCTCAACTCCGCAACGCGACCAGACGACAACTCGAAAAGGAAGTCTGCATCAATTGCTGCCTCCCCAAATATTACAATGCCTCCACGAATCTGTATCAGGGTCCCTGTGGGATCCTTACAGCAGCAGCATGCTGTCAATTCGACAATTTGCGCTCGACCGTTCTCATCAACCCCATCCACACTCGCTCTTGGTCCCGAATCACCTAATTACATCGAGGTCCCCAAGCCAAAGCAACCCTCGTATGATCACAAACCGCGCATGAAGGGTGTCCTACCTACACCGAGAGATATTTTCAGAATCCGAAATGCGAAGCCTAAAGAGTCAGAGGAGCTCATCAAGCAATCGACGCCTGATGCCACCAAAGTCAAAATTCCCGGGCCGTTCAGCAAAGACGCAGAGTACCGACTATACAAACAAAGACTGGCTGCCTCCCGAAAACAAGCTTTGAAAGAGGGTATTCAGGAATTGCATGTGCGGAAAACCACCACAGAGGCCAGCGAGTCCTCCAGGATAAAGGCACTCCAGGCCGACAAGCTCGCGCGAGCTATGGCACCTCCAAGGGATGTAGACGTCTTGACGCAAAATTCGGTCTCGAAGAGCATTCGTGATTTCCTACATGACGAGCTCCCATCCTCTTCTCGGTCGAATATATCTGACGATCGCCGCGTTCTCTTCCGCCGCAAAATGGCTAAACATGAGGCGAAGCGCCAGGCCCGTTTACACGACCTGTACACCAACGCGAGAGAGTTTATTGTCACAGAGAGTCAATTAGACGAGGCGATTGAGAAAGAGTTCGGCACTGAAGAGGAACCAATGGGCTGGGACAACATGGGCAAGATGGTGCAAGGTGCCGAAGGCCGCAGTCCATGGAATGGACCGATACCCGAAGGTATCAGCGATATGTTGCAGAAACTAAAGGGCGGAGAAGGTGTCGGCTTGGCCAAGGAAAGAGTAAAGAAGGTTGCCGAAGAACTGACTGGAGGCAAGATGTAGTAACTGGGCTGGTCACTTATTGGACCATTCTGTATGATATAGTCGAGCACGGGAGACCGCCTGTTGCTGTACCATCATGTAAGAAACTTGTGCATATCTCCGATTCAACGTTGTTCTAGCGCCATACTGCTGTGTTCAAAGCCACCACTATCATATCAACAGTGACAGGTCAGAAGCCATCGTCAATGATCACCTCTCTCAACCCCTCTTCCCGCCGCAATGTCGCAAGATGCGCCTTCAAAGAACTTGCTAAGCCCCGCTTATACTCCTCTGCCGCTTCAGCCTCGACATAAAACGTGAACATCTCCAAACTCTTCATCTTAAATATCTCCTTCATCCTATACACCTCCACCAATCTCTTAAGGATTGTCGAACCAACATGGCCCTCACACCACGCCGAGTTCTCCCCTAAATCCCACTCACGCCGATAAATCCTACGACCATGACTCCATCGATCCAAGATATACGGATTATTGAAGAAAGTCGTCGGATCCATCTCCCGCACTAGCGACTTTGGAAGAATCTGCCAATACTTATATTTCAGATGCAGGGTCAGGCTCCTAAGGTTTGGGCATGATACCAGGAAATCGAGACGCTTCCGATTGCGCTGGGGTGTTAGGCTCTGGAGTGAGAGGTGGTGGATTGAATCTAGGAGGGATTGTTGGGGAGGTGTGGTTTGTGATAGCCATTGGAGAAGGGCGTCTGCAACTGTTTCGAGGGTGACTTCGAGGATTATGGTTTTGAGGTAGAGGTTTATTGTTTCTCGGTAGAGTTGAGTGTTTGTGAGGCATATGGGCGCAAGCTCGACGGGGAAAATGGTGAAATTTCGTTGTGATTTGGGATATGGAATCCAAATATGAAAAGAAGGCAGGTGTTGGGCCATAAGTATACTATTATTAGGGAAGGTGGGTGAGAAGACATAGTGGTAGATCATGTCCCTCACTTCCCTCGGAAGTCGAAGCAATGGCGCGAAATTATCCATTGCTAGGTTATATTATGCACACAGGTTTCAATCTCATGATGAATGTAGGTTTAGAGCAAGAGTGAGCACCGTAAGATTGTATCCAGCGATCACGATTGAGTCATCCTTCTTGCCAAGCACATTGATCTCATTCGTTTACCCAGATGTACCGTCTTGGCATCTATCTATCTATATCTGAACGTGCTCTATTCTCTTGAAAATGACTCTTGAAAATACAACAAATGCAGATAAGTATGTTCGAGTTAGCTGAGGTCGTGGTTGATTCATTTCGCGAATCTTTCGTTAGTCTGCTTCAATAGTGTCGTGCTCAAGGTCTGCATCCGTTGTGTTACGTCTCGATTTCTTCACCTTGCAGTATCATACTGTTGATCTTTATACAGATGTATGGAGAATAGAGCCTTATATCATGGAAATGCCCGGCAGGACACGTAGAAAGACATTGTCCACTGGGGCGAGACCTATTTCGGGACAGTGACTAGATGGTTGATGAGACCTTGGACAACGTCGATGGCGGCTCACGGTACTATTACAAAGCTACAAGCTATTCAAGCTACAAGTATTATTGGTCGATGGTGAGACTTATGGGATATCTGGACTATGGTATGAGCATCTTGTGCTCACTGGTAACCAACCACTTGCCCTACGAGGTATTAAGCGACCCAAACCCGCGGAATTCACTTGTCCATACCCTGGATTCAGGGCTGAGACCGGTGATTAGCAGTCTAGTATAATGCAAAACCAACCGGGATAGGATCAGACCCTTGCGGTTCTGCAAATAGCTCTGTGATGTACTGTGTAGCTCTCGTGCGGTGTGGTAGAATGGAGACACGGAGAAGTGCCCTCCCCACGTGCCCAATCTCTGAAAGTTCAATTGGAGGTGGAATCGGAGAAAATTAAGCGAACACCGTAGAAATTATTCAGTGACGAAGACGCTTTGTAGCAGGAATTGTCTAGGGACATAGAGTGATAATGTCCGTAGCTAGATAAGTAGATTGCTCGGGGCTATACAGAATTGGGAGTTTATGCTGATTTGAAAATTACAGTGAGTATATAGACAAGTAGTAAGGCTAGAGAGAAGTGAAGTTCCAAGTATAATTACATAGTTACTAAGTGCGGGAGTAATCGTGAATCAAACCAGGTATCATAACCTCAAGGAACTAAATGGTGTAGAATAGATCGTGGCGAGTTGTCATTATTATTAAAGGCCAGTTCATGTTCACACATGAACATATAAACCATCATTGATTACCTAGGTAGTTCGTTGTTTGATGTTACGGACACCTTCGATGGTATGTCGTTAGATCAAAACCCAATTAGAATGCATGTCGCTAGCCACGTGCATGGTCTGATTGGTCAGAACAAGAACCTCTATACATACTCTCACGACCACCAGCCATCAGTCATCAGTCCTCCTAGTTACGCTATGAATGCTCATATCTATTGTCCGTGGAAGGCGAGGATTACAGTGCACCGTCCAGCCTTCACAATCTTGCATGTATACCCACGGACTCTTTGCAAAGTTATCTTCCGACCCAATCAACAAACATTTTATAACAATTATTTCAAGGTTGAATGTAATACTGTACTTTCACTTACTACTGTTCACGCTGTATTGAGTCGCCTATTCCTCGTTACTATCAGGCCTGTACTGCACTCTCCGGCATGCTTCATTTTAGGAAATGTCCGATAACTAAATGTATTTCCATCTTGAATACTCTGCAAGTGGAGCGCCTCACGATAGACATGAAACCATGTCAATTGACTTCATGGACTCTGTAAGCAGAGACCCCGTGTGGTCTCGCCAGAGAATCTCCGGAACTGACATCGTGTATGTCGAGCCTGTTGTATGAGAGAATGGTTTAAATACATCCTATGATCCGCCTCGATCATCCACCACCAAACTACATTCGATCTCTATCATACACTCTTTCAGGGTCAATCCCCCACATTCATTTCTTTTGCCTTTTCAGGCACAGCCATTCATTTTATTTTAAAACAATCAATATGCGTTACTCCGTTCCTTTATTTGCTTTTTATGTGTTGCCATCTCTGGCATCGCCCATTGCCTTGCCGGTAACACCCAATCCAAACCATCCCCGATCCATCGTTAAGAGGCAGTGTGGCATCGCAGAATGGGACTCTACCAACGTCGCGAACTGGAATGCTGCACAAACCGATCAGTTCTTGAACACTTGGTGGTCCGGCTACCTTGACCAGAACACGCCCAACGGGTGGTCCAAGAACTTCGCCAACCTTTTCGGCCGCATGTACCTCAACAACGCGGAAAAGTACCAGTGCTCAAAAACAGCCGATGTCTGCTTTGGTGATCTCAACTGCGACCAGCTCAAGTGCTCAGGCGACTGGTCTGTTGGCTGCGCGGACAAGGATGCCGGCCGCCCAGTCTACCTCACCATGTCCGCCCTCCAGGGCATGCAGGACTATTTTGCGGAGTACATCCAGGTCCTGGACGAGAGTCAGTTGAACTTCCAGGCAATGAGCGCCTATCTCGCCGATAACTTCTTCGACAAGCCCGAGAATGCCAGCGTCGATTTCATCAACCAGTTTTTCATTGCGCTCGCCTCGGTCTTCTCCATCACAGGAGCCTACTCAAAGCTCATTCCCCTCATTGCTGGAAGCAATGTTCTCAAAGAGTCCGCTAGTGCGATAGCAGCTCTTCTCGGAGGTGTCGGCAATGGATACAGGAATACCGTCAAGGCCCCTGCTTCGCAGACATTCAGCAACTTCGCCAATCTCGGCCAATACATGGGAAACATCTTCGAGAAGGTACGATCCCAGTTGAACGACATGCAGTTCAACCTCGCCACTGGAAAGCAGTGGGAGGGTAAGACCTTCAAGGACTATGCCGTGGGTGGCCTCTTCCTCCCAGGTCCCGGTGCACAGGTCGGAGACGGTAGTACCGGAGACTCTCCAACTAAGCTCCTCCGCCAATTCTTGACGAAACAATTCACTGCTCGTGCTATCAACTACATCTGGCGCACCCAGAAGATCTATATTACCTATACCACCGACGTTGACGGCAGCTGCTCGGAAGACAAGCAGGGACCCCAAGACCACAAGTACTGCCGCGATGGTGACCCCGGTGTTTACTACTTGTACTGGTGGCACCAGAAGGCGGTCGGCGCCGGCCAGACCGTAGGCACTGACAGCTTCGACACCGGTAAATTGGATATGCCCATTGGCGCTGACAAACTTGATGCCGGCTGGATCGAAGACGGCTACAAGATAGAGATCAAGGACATCTTCGAGGCTTCAATCGCTGCCTGGTCGGTCGCCGGCTCCAACTACGACGGACAGAACTCCGTGGACAGAGCCGTAGATGCCGTAGCAAAGCAGTGGGCCCAGCCTTGGGATGTCGGTGCGTCTTGGGAGGGCACCTTCACCATCCCCGTCTGCAACACTGGCAATGTATCCTACAACGTTCCGTACGGGCAGCGCATCATGCCTTGCAACTGCGGAGGCGATGGATCCCAGGTCGATGGCTTCAGGCAAAACTCTAACATGAACGGTTACGGAGTGTACGACGAACAATGTACGGCCGAGAAGCAGAAGGAGCGTATGCAATACCGCACAGGCACCGACAAGCCTGGTGCTGACCCGCCCACCGGTGGCCCCAACTTGCCCCTCTTGGTCAACGAGGTTCAATGCTTCGAAAAGGGAAGTCCTACTGAGGTCATGGTTGCCCTACGCCAGAATTGCCAAAACATGGTCGCTGCCCTCGGCGACGATGACAACAAAGAGCTGCAGGCTTCGCAATGTGCTGATGGCCAGGGAGCGACCGAGTCTTGGGGAGGGTGGTGCCGTGTTGCCATAGATGCGAATGGCATCCATGACTGTGCGCTTACTGTGTCATGGAGAGATGAATCGCACGGTGGTATTTTTCCCCCTACTATCAAAGTTGGCGACGTGAAGAAGTTCTTCAATACGGCAGACGCTCAACCTGATGCTGGTGGCAAGGGTTGCCATAAGGTCGGAACACCAGACCTCGGTGCGACTTTTGTAGTCCCAGAGGCTAATTCGAGATGGTGCCTTGGTAGCTACGATAATGCCAAATTCTGTACCATCTGAGGAGGCCATCGCTGAGACGGAAACGGGGACGCGTGTTGGAAGACTGGACCCGAGAGGACTTGTTCTCGACGGTGACTGAGATATTCTCATTGCGGCATGTCATGATTAGATTTAGCGTTTTTCATTTATTGCATTTGGAGGAAAGTACTGTTTTCATAGCATTAGCAATAGTTATCCTTTTCAAACCCCGCGATTTCCTCCTACCCCTCGCAGTCCGCAACAACAACAGTGACATGGCATGTATATCACATAAACTCACCTCCTCTTCCCTTCTCCCGATCCAACCTCCACAATCAATCAAACATCAAACATCCCCCTTCCTCGCTATCATCATCCATCATCCAACTTGCCAAACCCCCAAACTCAATCTCCACATCTTTCCCTCTCGTCCCGAACTGCTCCCAGAACCATGACCTCATAGCACGATATAGGAGCGTCTGCAGCACGCTGAAATCCTCGTCTGGGAACTCGATACACAATCTCTTCAGCGAGGGAATGGCTACGACGTTGGCGAGCTCATAATCATGGATGACGGTGGCGGAGGAGAGTTGGTGGGAGCTGGACGATGTGGGGGCGCGGGCGGGGATGAAGAGGTGTAGGCTTTGGAGGTTGGGGAATCGGGATAGGAAGGTGTAGTACGAGTTCAGATGGGCCTGGCGGAATGATGTAATGGATATAGAAGTGATGCATTCGAAGAGCCTATGGCAGGCTGGCCAACTTTTGAGGTAGGTAATTGTGAAGACCAAGGAAGCAGGGCTAGAGACGGTGGTCGTCGCGTGGGCAAGCCATATGGGTGTTGCTTCGGAATGGATTGCGAGGTTTGTTTTCAATAGAGGCGGAAGATTGGCAAGGAGGGATGTTTTGCAGGTTGCGGTGAATGAGCGGGGCGAGGATACGAATGTGTACATGTAGATCATGTCGCGGAGCTCGCGTGGCAGAGCGAAGAACCCTTGTGATGGGCGGTACTGGATGTGTGAAGACATCAAGAGATCCGAGACAATTCAATATTATTATCGTGAAGAGAAGATATTCTGGGGGTTTGTCCAGGCGTGAGAAGTGGTCATTCATGCCTGGTCATATGTAGGAGTATTGGCCAATGATATGCTCACGGCTATAAAGTCTATATTCCGTCTGACGGAGTACGGAATACATGGCGACCAGACTGTAATGAACATTGACCAATGACGAAAACCGGTCTCCATGATGCACTGATGTTTGAACGTGCATATGCGTTACTCATACAAATTTAATAACACAGTCCGAGCTCAGCATATTCGCATCGCAAAGGTTTTCTCTATCCGGGATATCTTTAATACGAAAAACGGACGTGAATATGTTTGCCGCTACCAAACATTACAACGCATACCTTAACCCATTTTCCCAATTCGGCGCGCCAAAGAATGAAACAATATATAGATAAAGTAGAAATTGGAGAATTTTAGTCTCTCAAGAAGGCTTTGTAGCTTGGGGAATTGGTAACTTCTTCGTAAGGGTATCCAATCTTGCGCAGGAATTCTTGGAGCTTCTCCTGATCTTCTTCCTTGCATTGTATGCCTGCCAAAATCTTTCCCACGTCCCCTCCATAGTTTCGGTAATGGAAAAGGCTGATGTTCATTCCTGGTTGTAGAGTGTGCAGGAATTTGTGCAGGGCGCCACCTCGCTCGGGGAACTCGAACATGAAGAGGTGCTCGTCCGATGCACTACTGCGACCACCACCGAGATATCGAATGTGAGATTTGACAAGCTCATCCTGCGATAGATCCATAGCCACCATGTCATCTGCGGCAAGGCGTTCGATGAGGTCGGGCAGATCTTGAGAGCGAGTTTGGGCCTTCATTTCAACACCAACAAGAATGTTGGCAGAGTTTGGCCCACTATAGCGATAGCTAAATTCAGTAATGGCCATCGGGTGGATGTGGGAGATAAGCTTTGCGAAAGCTCCCGGGCTTTCAGGTATGGTGACCGACAATAAAGCTTCCTTGTTTTCACCCAATGCAGCACGCTCGGCAACAAACCGTAGACGGTCGAAGTTCATATTGGCTCCAGACGCAACGGCAACGAGTCCCCTCTCGCGGTTAGGACTGGGATTTCGAGATACCCATTTCTTCAGGCCCGCAAGTGCTAGGGCACCGGCTGGCTCGACAATGGAGCGCGTATCTTCGAACATGTCCTTGATGGCAGCACAAGTCTCATCCGTTGTAACTTGGACCACTTCATCCACCACCTCTCGACATATTCTGAAAGTTTCCTCTCCAACGGTCTTGACGGCCGCGCCGTCTGCGAATAGGCCTACGTCCTTCAAGACAACTCGTTTGCCTGCTTTGAGAGATTCGACCATGGCGTTGGCATCATAAGTTTCGACACCGATGATCTTGACGTGTGGTGCTATGCGCTTGATGTACACTCCTGCTCCAGCGATCAAACCACCTCCACCAACGCAGCAAAAGACAGCCTCCAACTCTTCAAGATTTGTCTGTCGCAACAACTCCATTCCTATTGTTCCTTGTCCGGCTATAACATATGGGTCATCGAAGGGAGGAATAGAGACAAGGCCGTGTAGCTTCTCCAGCCGTGCAGCCTCAGCCTTGGCTGCATCGAAATCAGGGCCGTGAAGGATGACAGATCCTCCGAGTCGTGACACATTTTTATGTTTAATGTCAGGGGTACCAGATGGCATTACAATGGTAGCTGGGATCTTGAGCTTGCGAGCAGAGTATGCGACACCTTGTGCGTGGTTTCCTAGCCGTATATCAGCCTTAGCTCGTATAGTTTTGAGTCATAGCCTTACCAGCGCTGCAAGCTACGACGCCTCTCCAACGTTCATTGTGGGCAAGATGGGCCATCTTGTTGTATGCGCCGCGCAGTTTAAAGCTGAAGACGGGCTGGAGGTCTTCCCGCTTGAGCAATACATTGCATTCCAATCGGTTGCTGAGGTTTGTTGCGGGTGTCAAGGGTGTTTCTGTCACCACCTCATAAACACGGGATGTGAGGATAAGGCGTAGATACTGGTAAGATGTAAGAAAATGATACTATTGAATTTCTGCAGCCTGAATCATACATCAGGGTACCCATTTGGTAGAATAAAAGCATCCGGAACAAGAGTCTTCTTTGTTGCTTGCTCTGACGGAGGAGAAGGATTGGCAGAATATTCAGTGAGCGACAAGCCGGTCGGCTTGGGGGTTCGAGGAGTCATGACTCCATTTGCATGCTCCTCGGGCGTCACTGGTCGTGAGTAGTCGGCCATCGTGGTCAATGGCACTTTGTGAGCCAAACAATTGAAATTGAGGTGGAAAGTTGGGTTACAGCTATCGTTCAGAAATTCGATTTGGGTCATGATAGTCATCGGCGATGTCGGCGATTTGACTGGTTAAGCGGGGCAAGCGCACGCGGCGACTGTCGGCTTGTGCGGAAGCTTTTGGCGGGGCGCGTGTGGAGGAAATTCTTTGTATACAGTAGACTTCAAACTCCACAACTACCTAGGTACACAGTGAACAAAAATACAGCCAAACACCGTTCGTTTGTCGACAATACTTCAATTTTGCGAAATTATGTAGAAGTGGAATCAAGTCACCGAATGTTCGGGCGGACTCTTCTTATATATTGCACTCTCCAGTTGCCTCACCAATCATTGACCGTATTGACTTGCCGTGCATGTAAGCTTCCCCAGGCGACATGTTCAGGGATGCAAACATTGAGGGCATTCCTGCAGCCCAAGCCAATCTTGCGTCCGATCACGCTTTGAAATAGTATCTGGTCATTGGTTAGGGATCTTGTTGTTTGGAAGGCTCTGTATGGTTCAGACTATGAATGATGAATCTGTGTGTACACATAACGTTGTCTAATCTTCAAGAACCTGGTTACTCCACACTGAACGACTGTCTTGGCATTATTGATATGAATATCAGAACGGAAGGTCGCATATGAGCAACCTATGAGATCCTATTCACCTTTGTCATAGTTTGGCTGACATGTTACGAGCTCGACCAAGACGATCGTCTGAGCCGACGGTATGCGACCGTAAGTTCAACATTGTACTACTTCATCTAGTTGCAATTTCAATCACGAGTCCATACGATCAATTGCATCTACACGTTAATGACCTATTGATCAGATGTAGCGTCTTTAAGTATTATGCATGCTACTACATAGCACATGTCATATGATGTCAACAAAGTAGTCCTTGGTGTGAAGTGAACCAACAGACAAAGTCTGCTGCTGAAAATGCGAGTCTCGCATTAGCTGAATAAAATCTAAAATAAAAAGGGCTGTTTCGAAACGTCATGAAGAATTACAAAACTTGTTCAACCCCGAAAATGGGTTGAATTGAAAAATTTAACCAATTTATCCATCAATCCCTACCACAATTAAAGCCCAACAGTGACTTTGAGCGGAACAACTGCTCAATCACCACCGTAAATATCCATTTCGTTTTCTTCCATGTCCTCCATTGCCCCCATTTTCACCACCTCCACCTTCGCCATGTCCACCATGACCACCATGACCACCGTCTCCTCCGTGTCCGCCATGGCCATGGCCACCACCTCCACCAGATCCGTGTCCTCCCTCATGATCACCATGGCCTCCCGAATGCCCATGGTCCCCATGATCTACAGTCCACCACCAGTTCCTCCATTGTCCGTGTGATCCCGGTCCCCAAGTTCCATCGCCAGGTTGCGATGGCGGCCACCATGGGAAGGGGCGTGGGGGTTGAGGAGGGTTAGGGGGCTAAAATAGTGTCAGTATTGCTGTACATGAAGGATATATGCTCACTTTGTAAATCTTATGCTAGGCTCTGAAACAAACAAACGACTTAAAAGAAATGGAAATGATTGAGGTCGAAGAAAACGAAGGAACGAATTAGGTCTTGGGATAAATCTTTGGACTGGTGGTACTGATTGGATGGTAGCAGCTGGTTTTGGGCGGTTCTCGAAATCTTATGGGCTAAGATATATAATCTTATCTTTCAATGTAGCACAGGGCCATCCATGTCGAATAAAGGTGAGTATTCGATGTGTATACCGGAAATGTTTCTGCAAGTCAGCTAAGAAATCCTTCGTGCCACGTCTGTGGGTACTGACCTGGGTGATATCATCCTTCGGATTGGTTCATTTCCGCATTCAATGGTAGAGGCCTCGTTGCTGGGAGTCTGTAAATGTTGGAGTTTTGTGATCGTCGGTGCGTCATAGTTGCAGTAATAGTCATGGTTGTAGTCATGGTCGTAGGCATGGTCGTAAAGGGGTGATAGTCGTAAGGACATGATAGTCGTAAGAGCGTGATAGTTGTAAGGGTGTCATAGGCGTAGGGTGTCGTAGTCGTAGGGTGTCGTAGTCGTAGGGTGTTGTAGTCGTAGGGTGCTGTAGTCGTCGATGTGTGTTAGGGTTGTTGATGTGTGTCGTAGTCGTTGATGTATGTCGTAGTCGTTGATGTATGTCGTAGTCGTTGATGTATGTCGTAGTCGTTGATGTATGTCGTAGTCGTTGATGTATGTCGTAGTCGTTGATGTGTGTCGTAGTCGTTGATGTGTGTCGTAGTCGTTGATGTGTGTCGCAGTCGTTGTGTGTCGTGGTCGTTTGTGTGTGTCGAAATGATTGTTGTGTCAGAGTTGTTGATGTGTCGGATATGTCGAAGTGCTGTGGTTGTTGTCGATGTGTTGTCGTATGTCGCATATCCAGAAGTCGAATGTCGTAGTGTCGAAAGTCCAGAATCAATCCCCATTGTCATTGTGGTCTGGGCCGAAGCGCAGCCATACTTACCCAAGAAAGAAACAAAAAGCAAACAGAGCAGAGCAGAGCCAGATCACAAAGAGCATTGTCTAAGAAAGTTGACTTACAGTTGGAACGTAGGCGGTGTTCTCGAAGAATACCATGCGGTTGGGTCCACCGCAGTACTGCGAGCCTTGACTGCCTGTGCAAGTTGCTGCCTCGCACAAAGGCGAAGGTACATCGCTGAGATCGTCCTGCGCGTATCCCCAGAAGTTGCCGCATCGACAAGTTTCGCCGTTCTCGATACCGTAGTACCTGTAAGGGCCACCGTTGGCAGGGTTGCGGCAATAAGCGTCGCAAAGATCCCATGTCATTGAAGCGGAAGGCTGAGAGAAGCTGCCGTTGAGGAAGGGTCCAGGGGTTTCGGCACCTGCTGGGCCCTCGTTCAAAGCACAACCGATGAAGTTGGTGTTAGGAACCGAAGTATCGCTGGGGTACTAGAGCTACTGTCAGCGCTGCCGAGGGCAGTACGGTTAGACGTTGCTCAATGTGTCCTGGCTCTGCTCTGCAAAAAAACAAAAGCTGTCAAGAACAAAAGAAAGTTGGTTAGCAATGCCATCATAGTGCAAGCACATGATAGATTGTAGAGATAAGCAAAGTACAAGAGTATGGTCTATAAGTAATACCGCAAAGCTTTAGGAGAAGAAAAGAAGGCGGGACTATGAGTCAACAGCCGAAGAGGGTGGAGTCTTCAAATATACAGAATTCTCCTAAATCTGACTACGAAAATTGGCATAAAGAAGCATTCGTGTCTGAGAGATACAATGTGCGGCAAGACATTGGGGTGCACTCTGGGCTATATACTTCGCCAGCCGGATGCTATAAGCAGCGCCAACATCCAGAGCGAGTTCAGGATCATGAAGTTCCGAAGAATGCATCATGTTCTCACGAAATCTCCTAAATGAGATAGAGGAGATACATTCCATAAGCGCGCTAGGCGGGGCAAACGCGGAGAACCGGTAAGGGATTGCACTGTACAATACTACATAGTCCCTTTCTTGGTAGCTCCCGACATCGTGGGTTGATCCCTGCTACGACATAATTGGCTGGACACTCTTTCCGAAGGGAATAATTGTATCAACGCATATCTATATACAAAGCTCGATGCTTTTACTTGCATTCAATAGTGGATACCTCATTCTATCCTGGTTTTGTGGGAAGGTCTGATGTTATCCAACTTTGGGCATAGGTCCAGGCCGAATGATGTAACAAGGGAAAGCCGGACTGGCGGCCACAAGCTTGAACGTAAGATTTTGTGACATATGATGAAAATCTTTAATTCGATCGATGTACTTTGCATTGTTCAGTTCATCCCATTCTCCGATAGCGATACTGATGAAGGTTTTGTGGCCGCAATTGGGAAGTTCTTGTCAAGGCCAGTCTAAATGACATTTCTAGGTGGCGATGGCATACTAACATGCAAGAAAGCATGGGAGAAAGGATTTCAATTGTTCTGTATCCCTGTGATGGAGTCAATTGTTGCCCATGATCAAAGGGGCCTTGCCCTTCTTAGCAGCGTAATTACAAGGAAGAATGCTTGTCTCCCATAACTTCGTAAGGGCGACGGTTTATGCAATGTAGACTTTCCAGAATCAGACTGTGAACAGGGAGCATATGATTGTAGATCGGATTTGCTGGCTGTTTGGGAATGTAAATACATGCTGATCTTGCTGTCGAGTGTCTTGTTGTTTACTTCGGACGTGCTTTGTGTTGGAAGTAATCGGGGAGGAACGTCTTACCTAGCGAGACCTTTTCGTCTTCCAACTTTCATGGGAAAGTTCTTATCAAGATAGTTGTAGCGATCTGTCTAGTAGTAGAGTCAAAGTACAGCCCCGAGCAGTAGTACCCCAATGCCAAAAGCGAAGTAGGCATGATTCACTGAGATAAGGATGGGGATTTTTCACACTTAAACAAATTTAAACCTAAGCTCTATCTTGGATATTGAGTATTCAAAGGTCCATAATAGTTTAACGATACAATTTCGATTGGCATCAACGCAAGCCCAACAGATCCATCTGTGCATGTACTATAGCCTGAAAATCCCAATGACTTCCCTTGGGCCTTTTATTTGCTTGTGAGCATTCATGAATACATCTGGCATTTATTGTATACTCCAAAGAACATTGAGGTTGTCTTTTCACCTTGCCGATAGGAAGTGATGTAGTTAGCTTAGCTATTCTCTATTTTCAATTCAGTGAATCTACACCACTCCGCTCGCACCCAAATATTCCGAGAATCCGTTTGAGGTTGCTTCAAAAAGCTCTTAAAACATTTTGATATTACTCGGTTCATCATTGCCGTTGCGTTTACTGTCTCTCCGCTCAGTTTGTTGTAGACTTCTCAATGTACTTAAACTAGTACCTGTGGGTCTCCTGTAGTAGGCTCCTCCATCACAGCGTTATGTCTTCGTAGTGCTAAGAGAGTAGACAATATAAATTTTTTTTATTGTAGACGTGAGAGAATTTAGATCGTTTTGTTTCAAAAAATGGTAAATTGAGCTGGGAATCGTTCGAACACGATTTTATCTGTTATTTATTTGGCCGTCTTTCCAATGCATGATTACTTATACAATGTGCTTCAATCATGAGAGCAAAAGTTCCACATCCTTCATTGTCTCATCTTCTAATATTTCTACTCTACTCCTTCTGTACAGAAATTTGGCATCATAGATTGCGAATCTCATATTTCGAAATGCTATCATCCACGTACTCACTCTCCTCCTCAGATTTGATGTCCAGTTTTGGTGCCATGTCATCTAGCTCAATTACTTCAATCTCTTCAAGCTCAGTCGATAACATGAATGGCCCAATGGAAAAGAGAAAAGTCACGGAAGTTAAAAAGGCCAAGGTGATAGCTGCGTTCAGCAGATCCTCGGGCGCCATTGTAGTTTCTTACGAGTAAAGGAAGGTGAAACTTGGTGGGGAAATCTCTACCAATGTCTGAATCAGCGATGTTCCCGAACCTGGTTATGGTAATGAGGACGTACTGAAGCTTCAGTAGGACCATCTTATACCGTGGGAAGCCTTCTTCTTTCACATTGCTAATGTAGGATGGTCATTCTTCTCTTTAGCAAAGTACATGAACAATGTTGCTGGGGCCTGATGTGACGGTCGACTGGGTCATTGCATATGACTGCAATGTAAAGAAAGATATAGAGTTTCAACAAACATGGCAACAACGACCACATGCAAATAGCAAAGTAGAGGTGGAGAGATACTTCCTTGCTTTAAAGATAAGACGTTGGCTTTAGGCCTGCCGTTGTACATACGAAGAGCAGTAATGTACCCATGTTACTATTTCACGCAGGTGAACGAATTTATTTGACCTCTACACAAAATGCCTTCTCGAACTTATTACATCACTTTCACTTCCCAATATACCGTCCGTGAATAGTATCAAGGTACTTACTTTATCTTCAAAAGCTACACATTAGTCGTGGGGCATGTTAAGGGACGATGCGAACTATTCTCTGCAAACCTAATTTTCCAAACCACCAGTAGGACATTCGAAACCATTGTCCCTACCATCTACAGAGTACCGTACACCGTCCGCATTGACCCATTACCATCCGCTACACTGGTCTTCGAAATGTCAATCTCAATAGTATCATGATCATACCACCATACAGTATGTTCATCGCACCAATTGTTCCGAATCCTGCGTCGAGTGGAACATTCCGCGCATGCTGCTAGAGCTGCAATGAAAAGGCAGAATGTGCTTATTATCCATGCGATAGAGCAGATGACTAGTAATGCTAGATGGAAAAGAGAAAAATGTGAGGGATTTGCAGGGTCGAGATGGAGGGAGAAACCCATGATGGCTGGCTTTGGGATGGTCTCCGATTCAGGCAAGTGAAGGGTGATGGAAAAGGGAAAGGTTGTACATAAGTTTTGGGGATCAATGTGCATTGTTCTTGCATGATGCCAACAAACTCAGACATGCCATTGTGTAATTCTCTCTACACTGCACAACGCTGCAATTATTATGAGAGGGCAAGATGGAGGGCGAAATACGACAACAATAAGTAGCCTCAATGATGTGACTGAATCTTAGAACAGACAGGTCCTCTGTAGGAACCCTATTGCCACTAGAACTAATGACTAAATAATATAAAACAAACGGCGTTATCATGTGCCGGGGTATCATGCTCGACTTTCCAAATATCCTGCAGACCGTTCCAGAACTCCATTGAAATTTTGTATAGAAGACAGCAACCCGCTGCCTGAACCCACATCATGAGCCACTGTTTCCAGTAGCATTTTCAATGGGATTTCAGGGCCGTCCCCTTCTCTCCCTTGATCTCGCGCCCTGTCTTTCCCGCTTTGAACTGCAGCTTGAATATCGTACATCCATGAGCTAAGATCAGTGCGATTATCGAATTCCATCTTCTCAAGTTGAAATTCCGCGGTGATGTCGTCGCTTTTGAGGGCTAACTGACTCCTCTCCTTCTGTATCGACATGAATTCGCTTTGCAATTGCTTCTTGTCTCGCCTGAAACCTTTCAGTTTGTTTGCATTGTGGATGGCAGAGTTGTTTGCGTCCTGAAGATCGAGAAAGTAGTCATCGAGTTTCTCCCTAAAAGCAAGAACATGGTTGCGTTGACTTCTTACTTCCTTCTGTCTTGCTGCGTCTTTGATGCGCTCGATCTTGCTGGAAATTTTCGCAACGCGGCTATTGATCAAGTCTTCGACAACTGTTCTGGTGGTATCAACCACAGTGAGACCCTTCACACCAAAGCCTTTCAATCGCATGACAGTAATTTTTTGCGTTGGCCCAGACTTCTGTCGCTTCTTTGGTGGTTCACTGTCCGCAGAGCGTTTGCCTTGTTCAACAGGCTTAGGCTGGCGAGACTTGTTTTGCGGTCGAGTCACCGGTGGCACATCAACGGGCTCGTCATCAGAACCAGCGCTTGAACCTGCAAACGATAGTTCTGTAGGCGTTCTGGAAGTTCGAGAGGGATGAGTCTTGTCCGGCGAGAGTTCGTCAGCGAGGTCCACTCCGGTCGTCTGTTCCTGTCCCGGACTTGGAATCCCAATGCGCCGACGATTGTTTGTCGCAGGCGTAGACTGAACAACATCACTGTCGTCCCCTTCCTCTTCGGTCAATGGGAGACGAGATGCTGAATTATTAGTTGGCTCCAGAATTGGATCTCTTTCAATGGTCTGGTTAGACCGCTGAGGTGTAATTGAAACGGTTTGAGATAATCGCGACCTCCTTTGTGTCTGGGTTCTTGCTGGCACAGGAGAGGAGCTAGCGACACCACCCGCCGGTGTCTGCGGAGAATCTCCTACTAGGCGCTGAATAGACACGGGTTTCAATTGCACGGGCGTCAGCTCGTCCTCACTTTCATCTACGCTGGGTACAACAATTGGTGTAGCAAGCGCTGAATTCTCCGCCACGTTCCTGTCTGTTGCTCCTGCGGGCGTCGCAGGTGGCGGCTCGCTCGGCGTGTTTTTCCTCCGGGTGCTAGTGATCGATTCTGGAGGCTCCTTGCGCGTAGAAGCCGCTTTACTTGATAGACTCGCGACACGAACAGAATCGACCGGTCGATTTCTCGCCGAAAGGCTGGGTGTTTGTGTGATCGATGGAAGCAGTGCCGTTGGGGTTTTGTTTACTTCATTGACTCCAGGCGGTACGATAGCTGGTTCAACGTTTTCGATGTATGATAGTTCATCTGCTTCGGCGTCGTCTTCCCGGATCACTGATACACTCCTCACAACTCTCCTGCTCTTTTCGCTTGAGTGCACGTTTTCAACGCGAGCTGGGCTTAACTCATCTATATCCGCCTCTGTTCGTGTGATATCAACTGCATCTCTTGATCCTCGCTTCCGCTTTCCCAATTGCGGTGTCACATTCGGTGGTATTGAGGGAGTCTGTTGCTTCTTCGCACTGCTACCCAGCAACGATGCACTCCTGTGCCGTTGAGCGGAACCATTTGCATTTCGCGGAGTATTTCGAATGGGTGTTCGACGAGGTGAGGGCTGAGGCGGGAGGGAAGTTTGTTTGGCAGGGGCTGCGAGCGCCCCGAAACTGAATCCAAAGTTCGTTTGCACAGCGGTGGCGCTGTTGGAGTTAGTATTGACAACATTCATAAGGTATCGTGCTTCGGCCTACCCTGCACCGCGTATGCGTTGCTGTCGATGCTCGCGGCGATCTAGGCTGTTCAGCATGATTCTTGTAGAAAATGGAATTTCTGATCCTATTCGTACTCACCGACTGGCGCCATTGCAGTTGTGCTTTTAATACAAGAAAATGACCGCTGAGAAACAAAGACGTAGATTTGGCGCGTTGTAATGTTCACGCATGTCCCCCCTCGTCATAACAGACGAAAACACGCTAAGGCGGAGGGCACGTGCGCGCTCCGTGACGGAAGAACAGTTTCCCCATCCCCGCTCTTGAGATTGTGAATGTGAGGACGAAGAAGAAATGACGAGTGTCCACTTCCAGATTTGCAAGAATGGGTTGGCTATGGGGGAGCGATAGCGCTTCGAGCGCAAAGGATAAATTAGACCCTTCTCTTCAAGAGTTCCTCAAAAATGAGGCCCCTTCAGGCCAAAAGCCGACTTTGCCGTCAAAACCGATACCACAACGTAACGAAGCTTCCAAAGCAGCTCAAACGAACCCACCGAGTCCGACCGAACCTGCTCAATTACCCGAAAAACCCCTAGTTCCGCCTGAGTCGCAATTCCAAGATGGACGATACGCACATTTATGGAAGAATTATACTCCCCAGCATATCCTCGACGAGCGATCAAAAACAGAACAGGACAAATTGAGGGATATCGTCGATGCTTATAATGACCGCAAAGCCGATATTGGGCGGGTGGCTCTGGAAAACTGTGCTTTCGAATACATGGCGCAATTCGACTGCTTCAGAAATCCGAGTGTTGGTCAAATGGCGACATTATGCCGGGACGAATCGCGGAAATTCAATCGATGCTACGACATTCAATCGAAATTTTTGAAGGCATTAGGTTACTTAACGTTGGATAAAAGAACTCCGGAAGAGGACGAGAAGATCCAAATGCATGCCGACAAACTATACCAACAATTGCTAGCCCAGGAGGCACTCATTGCGAAGGCAAAGGAGGAGGGGAAGCCTATACCGACATTTGAAAGTGTGTTGTCAAAGCAAAATGTGTCACGAGCGGCAGTCGGAAAGCCTCTTATACCGACCGAGATGCCATTACCCCCAGACGCGGACGACGAAAACGACATCTGGGCTCACATTAAACCCTCTTCAAGAAAAGAATACGAGAAGAAGCTGGCAACGTTACCTAAAGAAGACCAAGAGATTGAAAGAAAAGCTCTGCTAGGAGAACTGCGGGCACAAACCGGTATCTCCAAAAAGGTTGAGGAAACCTTTGTCGAGGAAAGGCTGAACCGTATAAAGAGAAGGGAAGCTGGACAAGCAACGTTTGGGGATACTATCAAGCGGTGGTGGGGCTGGGACTGAAGCTTTAATGATGACTAACCGGGGTCTCTATGTAATACCATGTAAATATATCTACACCTTCACGTACGCAAAGCAGCTGCGCGATGCTTTGCCTACTGCAAGCACGAATATGAGCCCAACAAATATAATGAGCACCGCTGTTCTTCTGACCATTCCAAGAGCTCCTCATGCGAGCGATAACCGCCCTATCCCGCGATGCTGAACGATGAGATGCAACGGAGCCAAGGAATGAAACCTTTAGTTCGAATTAGTCCCAGATAATTGTGAACGTCGGTTCCTTTGGAACACGATGACACTGAACATTGGGAATGTCAAAGAGCGCTGATTGGTCGTGAATTAGGCCACCCCTGACCCTAACCATATCGTCATAGCTCCCCATAGCACATTGTTTTACCTAGTTACCTAGATGTTTACTGCCCCTCGCTGCACCATCACTCCCCAGATAAGTTGGAAGCTCTGCATCCGTACCCAGGTCAAGAAGGAGAATAAACCATTTCCCACTTTCAACTTTCTTACCACGATATATCCATCACAATGTCGAACCCACCCCATCTCCTTGTACCTCGTGAGCCAACCAAAACATCCCTCAACGTCCAGCAACCCATAGCAGAACAACTACAATCTCCACTCTTCAGCCAAATCCCCGCTGAACTTCGCAACCACATATTCAAGCTCGCCCTACAGCCCTACCAAGATCCTCTCGATTTCTACCCTCGAGAAACCTATTACACCCGTCCTGGCACATTGGGCAAGTCGAGGATCGCCACCGAGTTGCTCTGCACGTGCAAGAGGATCTATCTTGAAACGAAGGACCTCCCACCGCAGCACGACACGACCGTGACGTTCTATGGCGGGGAGTCTGAGCGTGTGCCGAGACGTAAGTGACCTCTTTTGACTCTTTCCTTCATGCTGGATTAGAATCCCCATGTTATGTCATGTGCTTACTCCACGCAGACTACATATCCGTCGGGGACATGCTCGTCCCGACTTGGTTCCAAAAGCTGTCTGCCTCGCAGGTTGGCGAGATTCAGCATCTGAGGCTTGTATCACAGCTCTATGCCTTCAAGGCAATGTGCAGTGCTGTATTCTTCGACCCTTTTAGCCGAGAAGATAAGCGTGGCGCTTTGGCGCCGAGCACCGTCACCATCACGATTCGGTATACGGACTTCTGGGGCTGGGAGCATGATGTCATGCTCCACTTGCGCGGCTTGGATCCCACGAGTCTGGTGGTGCCGGAGTCAGTCACGAAGATTGAGCTGGAGCTTGAGCAGCGAGAGGGGAAGAGGGAGGACTTGGAGGGGATTATTGCGGGGATCCCGGAAGAGAAGGAGCACTGGAAGTTTAAGAGGAAGGATGGGAGGTTCCTTGTTGTTCAGGATGACGTGAGGGAGTGGAGATGGATAGGGCCTACAAAGTTTATCGGGATCACCCATTGGCATCATCCTAAGGGGAACGAAATGCCCATGTTTGTCAAAGTCCTAACATTTCTGCTGCAAGAAGATCCCTACCAAGGTCGTATATAAAGTGACAGTGGGCAGTGAAAAGCAAGACTGAGAGCTTCCAAGGAGATGGATTCAAATCATTCCAACTGTTTTCTCCAGCATTTCTTACTCAATACTAAAGAGTGTTTCATTATTCCAAATCAAAATCTATATTACAAATACAGTTATGTACTTCTTCTGGGCTTTGCATTATACCAGACGTAAACAACAAGTGCATACTACTGCAAGTCAAGAGGAGCAAGGTGTAGTCTATCCCTCTTCGCTTTCTTAACCGCCCCTTGCATCAATCCTGCAGGGCTCTCCATACTTCTCTTCAACCCCCCTCCCTCGCCACCACCTTCCGCCAACAGCTTCGTCAAATACTCGAACCCTGTTTCGTTCGGCTCGCAGACAGCGCCGGCCTCAGGCAGTGTCCCTTCCGTCATGTAATCATGCAGAGCCTGGATAGTGCAATTGGAAGGATGGTTCATGATGCCGTGGCCATGGCTATTCTGGACCAGGAGTCTTGATCCGAGAAAGCCGCTCGCGGTCTCGAACGCGTAGTCGAGAGGTGTGATTGGGTCATTCGCGGTGTTGACGAAGAGGATGGGGAAACTGGTATTGATGTTTTCGAATCGACCCTCGTATCTTTCGGCGGCTTTGAAGGGCCAGTGGGCGCAGACCCAGGCTTGCGGACTGAACGCGTCGGAGAAGGAACCTTCGGCCTGTTGTGCCTGGATCATGCTATAGAAATCTTCTTGGGTGTCGGTTCGGAAGCTACCGTCTGCGCAGCCAATGCCGTGGAAGTTGTTCAGGCCTTTGTTCCAGGGCAATTCGATCTCGCCGGGTGCTTCTGTGGAGTTCTGCGGGGGAACTTCTGTGAATGCGGCCCAGTTCTTAGCTAGAAGGGGCTGCACAATCAGGTAAAGAGTAGGCCATTGGTCGGGGCGATAGTTGAACTGGAGTAGCCTGTATTTGATATCCAGGAAGCTCGGAAGCCCGCCAGGTCGCCACCACCCCAGACCAGTAGGGATCTCTTCCGGGAAGAATATTGGCTGCTCGATGAGATCATTGAGAGAATCTGCGAGTGCATCCTTGAGATTCTGGAGAGTGGTATTCGCACCAGTGAAGTTGGCGATGCCAGGACAGAACTCGGGACCAGCAGTAATACACTCTTGAAAGAAATTGTCAAGAGCAACTTCCGTTCCGTATGTAGCCGTCTGCCACGAGCCAGTCCAGTAGTCGTTCACCTTCTGGACGCTGTCCAAAATCATCTTGTCGATGCGGTCAGGGAACATAGCCGCGAAGGTTTGACCAAGATCAGTGCTGTATGATCGGCCCCAGAAGCGAAGTTTACCGTCCTCGTTGAGAGCATCGACGATTTGAAGCATGTCGCGAGCGACGAAGGCGGTGCCTAGGAACCTTCCAATCTCCTCATTGCCTTCAGTGGCAGCACAGGCTTCGGCATACCACTTGCCATCGTCCCACGCTTTGTTCTTCAGAATCTCGTAGAGGTCCAGCTGCGGCAGACCTGGCCTCTTGGATCGAATTGATGGGATTTCCGTAATCTCACGGGTGTCGTTGAACGTGCTGAGGTCGCAGGCAAATGGGATAGTCTCTCCAGTGCCACTGCACTTATTAGTTAAAGTTTTGGTGGTTCATGGATGAAATCTTACCGAGTATCAAAGCCAATGATATTGTAGTTTCCACCGAAGACGTCGCGATACTTGGGACCCAGCCGGGCGACTTCCTCCACGCCCGAAACACCCGGACCTCCTGGATTAAAGATGATGGAGCCCTTGAATGGCTCTTTCGTCGCGTTGTGTCTGATCAATTGAAGCGCGAGGGTCTCTGAGGAATTAGGCCGTGTGTAGTCCAGGGGAACGTTAAGTGTCGCGCAGTCAACTGGACCCGTGATCGCGTCTTTGGTGGTCTTTGGAAAGTCAAGCTCGCAAGGCGCCCAGTTCAGAGTACTAGGAGACCCAGAAACCTGGTTCGAGGAAATTGGAGATGCATTTGCATGGTCCGCGAAGGTAGAAGCAAGGAAAGAGAGAATCGCCACAGGAGAGGGAAGCATTGTGACAGAAGTATGGTCAAGTATGGTACATAATCAAAATTGAGAAGAGCGACTTGCATTTATATATCCTAACACCAGTTCATAGTTTGATGTGGTGTTGTAATTAGCACCTTTGTTTTTACCTCTAAAGGCATACTGAGGCTGATGGGAAGCTACAGACCCACCATAGCTGATATCAGATGCTTGCAAATACAGATTTGGCAGCGGTGACGTCTGTGTTGATTCGGCTCATGCTGCTCGATTTGGCTGGAAAATAAGATTGAGTACTTCGAATTACATGGCTGGTCCAATGATGACGATGTACTCCACGTTGCTGCTAAGCCAACTGTAGCATTATGGGGGAGGCGGCCTTGCTCTTCAGCCTCACAGGACGTTTCCCAATGAGGAAAATACCATGTCCAAGAAAAGTAGTCCAACTTGTTAGTTTAGCTTACATTTTGCACGGCGAGCCTAACCGTAATCGGCAATAACAGTGCAGGCCGTTCCGCTATGTTAGCGCGCGTAGAGCATCAGAGTGCAATTAAGATATTTACATCTGCAATTTCAACCTCCGCATCATCATAACCGGCTACAACACAGTAGTGACGGAGCTCACAGTGTAGACTATGAAAAGGGCTATGCTACCAAACCAAATAACAACCCTTTCAGATGATGAGGGACATTACTCTACTTGATAGTCTTAAATCCATATCTAATCGCCTTCGCGCCACCATCGCCGTCTTATATCTACCTCACAGAGCGCGTATCAGTCCAAGTTTGATTTCAAATCCATACTACGCTCCTCCAAGAGTAACATTAACGCTCTAGTCGTTCGTTGCCGGGTCATCATACCAAGCCAAGTTAACGTTGCCATCGCTCAGCCCTAAAAACGCCAGCCACTGCCGCAAGCCAAGCGACATATCTAACTCTGGTTCTACTCGGATCTCTACCGATGATATGCGTTTTCGCCAAAACCTGGGCGTTAGTGGAGACGGGTACTCGGAGAGCAGTGACTTCCTTGGAGAAGTCGTAACACATATCACGGATATATAAAAGACACTGGCAGTTGGGATCGATATTGATCTGTCATCTACCGCTTCGATCGCAAACACCACACGATGCTCATAATAATGTACTTAACACAAGTACCACTACACCCATTCTCCCCCCTCACCATCTACCCCGACCAAACCTTCGGACCCGGCGGCTGATACGTCTCGGGCGCGTTCTGAATGCTCCCCAGATTGACCAGGATCCCGGGGTCGTTACTCTTGTATGCGCCGGGAAGCGCGACTAGCGGACCTGGCGACCCGCTCCCGCCGTCCGTGATCTTGATCTGCGAGCAGCTAAGGTAGAACTGCGCCTTGTTGGCCTGCATTGCCATGTGCAGGGCGATATGCTCGACGCGCAGCAGATACTCTCCCGAGGGCGTGGATTTGGGAATTGTGGCGTTGGTGGTTTTGTATTCGTCTGTCGTTGGTTAGGTTCGCCATGTATGCATGTGTTGTGCCTTTAGGGGGGCTAAGAAAAGAGGAAAGGAGTGAGAAACATACTCTGTCCTGGCCAGGTCATCTGTTTATTCTTATCGACCGTCGGCATCTCAGTGTGGAACTTGAACCACACATTCCCGCTTCCGTCCCAGTTGCTCGCACTCTTTCCCTCGGGAACCTTGGCGAGGTAGTACTGCGTCGGTCCCGGGTGGTTCACCTGCTGTGTCGAGATGTAGTGGATCTGGGCTCCGGCAGGCACGGTCGCGATGCCGGCGGCGTTGGAGGACGAGTAGCAGCGGATGTCGGCATTGGTCGGGTTTTCAATGCCTTGCTTGGTGTTGTCGTTCTTCGTTCGTCGCGTTACGGACCAGTCCTTTTCTTCGGGTTTGCCGTTAATTACGAGGCGGGGGAAGGTGTCTGGTGTTTTGTTAGACTATGTATGGTGCAGCAAGTATCGTGGATTGTGAGTATACTAACAGTGTGCCTGGACGGTCGCTGCGGTGAGCAGCAAGCTCGTGAAGAAATGCATTTTAGTCGTTCCTCAGGAGTTGAACCAAGACTTGAGACTCTCAGAGACAACAGTCTTGAGGAATCGGGAACATTGAGATACTTATACCAATTGTTCAACACACTCTAATCATTCCTATATATTCCTAATCAATCGCTCACAATAACATCTAAATGCTGCCCGAAGGGCCAAGCGTCCTGGTTCGTCACATATGACCCAGTCTCCAATTGGCATCGTACTTCTTCGCCCATGGCCAGCCTATTGGAAGCATCGCGGATAATGTGTGTATACTTAGCACGCAGCTCCACCAATGTTCGTTTGCACATGAAATTAATTCGGCGCAGGGATGCTTCTGCCGAGATCGTGGGGAAGAATGAACGGCTGTGCAACCTTGGTCGCGAGATCAATTTTGCGATATTGGATACAATATACAGAGTGCCGATGATCTGGGGGTTCATGGAAGGGTAAGCAGACGTTGGCGGAGGTCGAGATCCGTATGAATTATCGGTAGGGATGCGATGTATACATCTTATTATAATGTGCTTTTCAGGTTGCACGGGCCGTCTCTGGGGTACATGCTACTGCTTAAATGTTTGGTTCATCCTTCGGAGAATTTGATGTAGCGAGTCCAGTCAATTGGGTATGAAAGAACATAAGGATAAGTCAAGGGATATGTTTGCCCCGATCTGATTATTCGAAAAGCATTATGATAACTCGTGAGTGTTCGAATTGTACCGTACTATAACGATCCAGCATGACTCCTCAAAGTTGGTTTATGCGACAGCCTCTATATCCGCATTTACCTTACTACTGCTGCTACTAGGATGCATTTCGTCCGGAATTGGAGGACATAAGTCACATAGGATGGTTTAAAAGTATCTATTTGGGGGATAGTATGTAGTCTGGGGTGCATTTGTCTAATGTGGTGTATATGCTGTGCTGTTCCTAAGTACCATGTATATGTCTGTTCCATTCAACGCCAAATGCCTATGAACTAGGTAATCAAAGGGATTAATGCAGGGGTATATAGGAATATAAATTGGGAAAAAGTGAGACAATCAGTAAAATCGATGATGTGGCTGGGCTGTGGGGTATAATGCTGACGAAAACGATTGAGGAAAGAGGAACGAAAAGGCAAACGAATAAAACTAAGTAGATGACCAGGGACTAGAGCGAATCATCATCTTTTACCAAAACGGGGACCTCAGCCCTATCATTTCAGCTTTGACATTCCGCCACGTGAGTATAAGCTTACGCAGATACGATGACTTCGTAAGAGCTAATGATAGACCCTTTGCTTAAACATCGCATCATCTCCTAGAGCGCCTGTTGTATCTCGTGCTCGATTCTCCGCCGGCGGATGTCTGGGAGCTACTAATGCAGTCCCAGTTGAAGGGGATGGAAGAGGTGGGAAGATTGGTTCCTTGGTAACGTTGCACGCGTTCGCGCCGTGGCGGAGGCGAAGGCTGTGCAAACGCCTCACGGCGAAGGTCCTCAAGCGCTTGGTTCGTTGCGGCAAGCACAGCAAAACGACGGTCGGGCGTCCGGCGCGCAGCTGTATTGGGAGTCATTGATCGTGCTTGGCGACTTGGAGGAGGTTGCCGTTGATGCTGACGTGACCGGTGGTGGCGTTGAGTTTGGGATGATTGCGAGGTCCCTTGGTGCTGGTACTGTTGAGCGGGGCGTTGATGGCTTCGACTTTGATGGTTGCTTCTTGGAGAAGAGTGCAATGTTTCGTAATTTCGATGACTCCGGTTGTTAGACCTAGAGGGCGTCTTGGGTGGGGGAGAAGGAATCAGGAAAGACCAGGCTGATCGGGGACTTTGATGCTGTAGACTTCTCTTGGACTTGGATTTTCGAGGGGGATCGCGCTTCTCGCCGCGACCACGCAGGGTACTCTGGGATGTATGTTTTGGATGACGCTGCCTGTGATGCTGGCTTCTATGAGGACGTGGATTTAACAGCATCTCCTGGGAAGAGTTCCGACTTTCTGGCTCGACTGTACGGTACCACATATCAGGTACCTGTACATTCAAAGAAGGCCGGTACGATTCTCTGCTGTCGCGCAGGTTGCGACTCGGCGCATCACCTCCATGGCGAGGAGTCCTACGTTCCTGACGAGGCGAGTGCGAGGATACAGTTTCTTTTGACCGCCTCTTCGGTGGCGTTTCTCTTGACCTGCGCTTCTCCGACTCTATCTCGACTTCTGTTGGGTGCTGGTGGGGTTGCGGGGATTGCTTATTCCGTCTCTTTTTCTCCGACGACGACGAACTTTTGCGCTTTTTGTCATTTGAAAGATTGAAAGGGAAACACCAGCACATAGCGATCCTAGAATGGGTCCCGGATCGCTATGCGCCGAGGGTTTGCGACCAGTAGATATAGATTGTTTGAGGTGAGTAACGACTGCTTCGTTTGTGTTAAGGAACGAATCGAAGACGGTTGGGCCGGGTTCTCCGCAGTAGGGCAGAGCGGCTGCAGGCACTTCTTATGGACGGACGCAGCAGACCAATAGTGGAAACAAAGAGAAGACATGCGCGAATCAAGCAAGGGTTCGGATCAGCCAGAAGGATGAAGACAACTACTAGTGGGAGCAACTAGCAGTAAAAATAGTGGTAATGGTAGCTGTAGTGGTAGTTTCATAAGATTAGGAGGGAGGATAAGAGAGAATACTATGTATGATATGATCTCATGTCAGGAAGAGAGGACGAGGAAGAGAGGGAACGCTCGGGCATACCGCAGGGTGCATATCGCATGCCGCATGTCTGGCAGAAAGGTGTGCTCCACCACGGCGTCGAAGCCGAAAAACCAATAAAAGCATAGCGAATAGTGCATGGGAGTCAGAGGAACTAGATCAAGAAAAGACTCCATAGACAGTAGGGGAAAATGTAGGTATACTTCCCTTGTATCGAATGCGCCCTCCAATCAGACCGAGGATGGCCTGGTTGGTTGTGTGGGAAAATGCCTGATTCGTACGCACTTCACGGTGAAGAGGTCGACGGAGAGAGGGGGGTGGGTGGCTGGCTTACAAGGCCCATGTGATATGATTTGATCATGTCGGGCTCCAGCTGATCGACTCAGGTTTTGTCGACATTTACCAAGTTCCCACCCTTCCTTTATCCTCCGGTCCGGCATCACGTCGCTCCTCCCAGGGCTTGTTCTTGTACGTGCAATACTTCAACCGGCGGGAGGGGTGGTGTGCGCAAGTCGTTGGAATCTGGCTACGAGGGAGACTTGCAGCTCTTATAGGCACTACAAGACCCCGTTTGGCACGGTTTCATGCCCATTTCTGTGCGATTTTCTGTAGGTACCCGCGCTGCAACGTGGCACCTGTTCTGAGCAGAAGAACGACGGCCACCAGTGCGGGACGATCCTGGGCTGGGGCAAGCCTGGCAAGCCTGGCAAGGTAGGGCTAGATTGAGGGACGTGAGGGGTTCCATGATGAGGATGACGGGACGGGGAGCAGCACTTAGAGGACAATGGAGGGGAGGGGGGAAGAGGTCCGAGGGGGATGGCAGTGGATGGCCATGTCGAGTTCGAGATGATTTAGTGTGGCACTTTGTTTCTTGAATGGAGATGGCGTGTGACGGGCATCGGTTAGCTGCAGGTTGTTGGGTCGAGTTACAGTTCCCCATACACATTTGACTGTGCACACATCTCTATGGGGCTTAACTCGACTCAAAAGACTGGTAGGTTCCTGGTTTAAACTTGAATACTCATCGCTGTTTGGCTCTTTTCTTTGTCCTGCCGTGAATAGACTCCATAGTCAAGAGGGGACAAGAGACACAAGAGAGGGACATGAGACAAGAGACACACGCCAGCTGACGTCGTTCGTGATTGTCTTATCGGTATCGCATCGGAACAAAGTCAGCCCATGTCCCATCCAACCAATCATCGACCCTGGGACCACCTCTCCGTCACTATACCACAGTTACACTGCACAGCACGACTCCTTCATTCCCCTGTGCCTCTGAAGCGAAGTGTGGATCTAAATGTCTTTGTACTCGTAGAGTCATAGTTATGCAATCCCATCATTCAGCCTTTTCGTCGTCATTCCTGCACAACTACTGTATGTCCATACACGAGAATGGTTGAACCGACCCCTGTTTCAGCCCCCAAAATCATGTAGCGTCGACCTTGGAACTGATCATGGACGAAAACGACACAATGCGATCGGCGCAAATGTTCCTGATTATCGGTCAGTCTTATTAGTTGACTTGCATTTCCCACACGGGCTCAGCCGGGCATGTATTGGGAATGGTTCGCTTACTTCTGGCTGCGCATCATTATTGTTCGGCATAACTGCACCTCAATTTGGTGTCTGGATTGTGTATTCTCTTCCACTCTCCATGGTGTTTGTTTTGGTGGCGGTGGAGGTGTATGCTCAGCATAGTATGGCGATATTTCCAGTGCCCTATGTACATGTACGTGCTATGATGCATTTGACAGCTCTCTGTCCTGCAGTTCCACATAGCGCAACGTACCTGATTATAGACACACACTTTCGAGAACGGGGAGTTATATGTCCGTCGCTGAAACGGGAATAGTGACCGTGACTTGCTCCCTCTTCTCTGTCATGGATTCGGCGACTGCAGCAGATCTCTTTTCCATTACGTTCAAGCCTACACGGTAGGAGCGGTTCACAGCCACTAAGCAGAGATCGCCTAACCATCGAAGTCCAGCTAGGTAATGATCAACTGGCCCTACTAGAGAGAAGGACTTGAGCGTGAGGCTGAAGTATTTGGTCGCATTGATCCTGGCATGCTGTCAATGGTAGTTAAAGGAAAGGCGTTGAATGAGATCTAAAGGAACGAATGATTTCGATATATTTCCGAAACAATCTTCGAGTACTTGAAAGTATGCTTTTTACAAACAAAAATGGCCAAATATCCAACATCCATCATCCGACATCCAATGTACATGAACTTCAAAAAGATATTCCTACAGTGTCCTGCGGCTGACCAGTTGCAGCTGAGATGTATCGGATACCAACGAGCTGCCCTCATCAACAAGTGTTTCACCTGTCGTACCTACCACAGACTCTGCTTCTTCAGCTGGATCAGCGCCCTTGGACCTTTGCTTCAATTTCCCCGTGTAACGACCTGACTACAGGCAGGTCATTTGATCAAACACAACGAGCTCGTTGTTGGGATCTTCCTTCAGCCACTGTGGATACTTTATCAGGCATTCGTCCCGTAAAGCTCTCACTAGTTCAAGTTGCAAATAAGTCTCTTTCTCCCGGCCGAGGCGGCGTAGGACGTCTGAGTAGAGAAAACGGGCACGCGCGATGCACTCTTCGTCCCAAGCGAACTTCTTATGAGGATCGAGACAGGTGACGAAGTGATAACTATTTTCAGTCAGTATGAGAATGTCCGGTATCATATATTCAGGACCAAACATACTCCAATGTATTAAGCATGCCCAACGGAACATAGAGTGAGCCACACATGGAATGGCTTTCGAGTGTGAAGTGATTGACTCCTCCAACTACCTGAATTATCGCTTGAAGAATAATCAAAGCCTCCTTTAAGCTTTCATCAACCATGCCCGCGAGGTATAGGTGGTTTGCCATGCTGTATCGGACGTGCAATGTCATCGGGTGAGTGGCACCCGAGCAAATCTCACCGAGACGCGCACTTTCCTTACACGCCTTGATTGCATCCACAGCCCTCCCATTTGCCACGTAGGTGTGCGAAATGATGTGGTTGTACTTGGGATATTCAAATGGTATCTTGTTGGGCGGGTCCAACAGCTTATACTTCTTAAAACACTTCACAATGATCACTCCAACTTCGTTGAATTTCTCATTTTGGAGCAAACCAAATGCCATGTCAGATTAAACATTGCACAAGCAAAACTCGTCGTCGCGTGCCACCGCGTTGCTGAGTTCGAGTATCTTGTGTGAGGCAGCTCTGGCCTTGATAGCTTTGTGTCTACGAGACTTGGCTTCGTCGCGGATTCTAACCTCTCGATGACTTGCAAATATGCAGACGTGTTGGTGGATATTCCCTCGAAGGGTGTGCTCTATTCCAATGTTGTGGATATATAGGATGTGCTCTGCTGTTCGTAGGGCGTCAATTCCTCCGGCTAGGTCTAGCATGCCACATGAATGTCGCCATGTCTGATAAGACTTGAGAAAACTCCATGGTCAACTCCATGGGAGGCTCTGACCAAAGGCAATGGGCACGCATCGACAATATATGAGGTACGAATTTCTGGAAGTGAGCCCAAGCGCCAGGCTCTGGAATTATCTATCGACAATACTTTTGGAAGTGCTTCCAGGATCAGCGCGAGCGCTTTATCGCGTGAATCTCTTCGAGCGTCAGACTTGGACGACAGATCGTGTGGAACATCCATCTGGACGGTGAGGTGGATCGTCAAAAAGTGGTTTGATCCTGAAGTGTCTCTTCCTACAACGCTATTTGTTACGACGGCCACGGATTGTATCCGAAAATCTATAGCTCTGTTAGCCCGATCACCTCTCCGAACAACGGGAAATGCTACACATACTTGGGTCTACTAGTCGAAGACGGTAAACAGGGGGTTTCCAATTTGGTCTGTAAACAGATATTCATGAATGTCGGGATTTAGAAAGGATATGATGTTGGTATGATGTTGGTGAGAGTCCCCAAATAACTTTTTCAATGCCACCATGAAGACAGTTGACAGAGTCTTCTCATACATCTATGCAAGTCCTATAGCACGAGCCACGCAAGTGTTGCATAAGATCTTGAGATAATTGTAGAATTCATATGAAGCCCCTACCCTGGGACATGTAGCCACCAGTCGTCTTGAGAGCCAAAGGCAAGCCTCCGAGTAATTCCGATATCTTCCTTGCATATTCAATGTCATCCTCGTCACCAGTCTCCCGACGCAAACTTCCGAACAAAAGATCGGCTCCTTGATTGCACGTCAGATCTTTGATTTGTATGGATGTAAAGTTCTCGGTGAAAGGGAAAATTCCGTTTCCTGGGTCGTAAGAATGGCAGCACTCTTGTGGTTGCGCTGTAGATGCGCCTGAAGTGCTGGCGAATCGAGAAATATGCGTAGGCATGCGCCGAACTCTGGCAGTGATTCGTTCAATTTAAAAAAAAATTCAACATTTCATTCAACACAACATTGGACTGATAAGCAGACTGGATGTAAAGTCAGGTATGCAGCTAGAGATTATCAGAGATCTGAGACCAATACCTTAACAAATCCCGCGTGATCCCCCAGACGAGACAGGCGCGAGGACCAAATTGTGACGCTGAGGTGATAGCTTGGTTAAACTGATATAAGTAGCGAAAACGTGGTCCTTGTCTGGGAATCCGGTGCGACCAAACTCAATTGCCATGGCGTCAAGTGAAACTTGTAACTCATCGATAGACTTAATACTCAGTTCAACGATGCATTCAACATCAATGAGAGCCTACTCTTTACTCTCAAACAACGTTTGCCATGAGACTATATGTCTTCCCATGTCGAAGTAGTGCTACTGATACTATGAAAGGCGTAGATGTCCTTAGAATATGTGAAGAGCATTGCAATCTAGCTATTAAGAGTCAAGAGCTAGAGTGATCTTGAAGAGTATGATTAGAATCGCCGTAACATGTGGGGCTTTCAGGCTTCTCTCTTTCACAACTAAGACACAACAGTAGCAAGCTTGTGCCAATGGGCGATGCAACATGCCTCTGCAAAGGGACGTATCACGGATATTAGAATCAAGAGAGTTTATGATGCATGGATAGCCTGCAGAATTGAGAAAAAGTTATTCTTAGCCGACACTTAAAAAAATATTCTTACTACAACGAAAGGGACATTGTGACAGTCATCAACTCCATTGGCTGGTACTATTCCACTTGCATCAGAAATCTTGATTTCATAGTGTATCTGAAACCCCTTTCCATCACCTCACGTTCCGAGTCGTTAGTCTGCCTTGTCATTTCAGCAAAACAATGCGTAATACGGTACAATAGGATCGGTGATGTTATTCGTGCAGCTGGGAAGTCGCTAAAAGGATCGTAGATTGAGATAAATTAAGGCGCCCAAGGGAGGTCGAGGTATCATCCACCTACGTTTGCAGGCTTATTTACTATAGAGATGTCTCTACGTTTGCAAAGTCAGACCTACGCGTGTTAGCATAAGTGAGTCAGCTTTCATGAATTGTATTTCATTTTCATGGGATGATGACGTTCACCACATTATCGCATAGAAATCGACACCTCTGCATAGGCAAGTCTGGATTCTGGTGTAAGACTAATGTTTTGCGCAATTGTAAATACTATCTGTTATATTTATTTTATGTTGCCGACCTTCATTTTCACTGCCATCGGACGAAAGCACGACATTATCGCGAAAAATGTCGAGAATCGGAACCAATCCGAGTTTAAATTCCGAGAGTGGGTTAGAATTACTGGAAGTGGTAATTCGTAGCTTACCTATACCTAATTGATCCCAAATGTCCCTCAATCATGCCGTTATCATAACCCCGCTATCGGATAGCTCTCCAGTTATATATCCAACATTTGTCGTACATCATCACTCTCTTGCTTCACGTTAATTTTCTTCCCTCTCAATCCTCGCCCTCTCACTAAACTACGACACCCTCGCACATCCCCTCAGAACCCCTCGTCATGCCTCTCGTCGCGCAGAACCCCAAAGACCGCGTCATCCTTGGTCTGATGACGTTTGGCCCCGATGAAGCTGCCGGCGCCCGCATCACAGACTTCAACGAATTCACAAAACACCTAGACTATTTCCAGCAGCAGGGCTACAATGAAATTGACACGGCGCGCATGTATGTCGGCGGCAAGCAAGAAGCCTGGACCCGGGACGCCAAATGGAAGGACAGGGGCTTCACGCTCGCGACCAAAGTGTACCCATACGAGCCCGGCGTGCACAAGGCAGACAGACTGAAGGAGCATTTCGAGAAATCATACAGCGAGCTTGGAAGCGAGCCTGTAGATATCTTCTACTTGCACGCCCCGGACAAGTCTGTCCCGTTCGCGGAGACACTCGAGGCTGTCAACGAGCTTCACAAGCAGGGCAAGTTCGTACAGCTTGGTTTGAGTAACTTTGCTGCATGGGAGGTTGCGGAAGTATGGAACATTGCCAACGAGCGTGGATGGGTAAAGCCGACAATCTACCAGGTTAGTGATCAGATCAATTGTCTATGATATGGTCTACACAGTACTGATCAAGTAAAAACAGGCTATGTACAATGCTATCAGTAAGCTACCACATCTCGAAGCTATTGCTATGACGAACATTTACAGGGTTACTGACTTTAAATAGCACGCGCCATTGAACCCGAGCTCATTCCCGCACTCCGAAAGTACAAGATTGACCTCGTCATCTACAACCCTCTAGCCGGTGGTATTTTCTCCGGTAAGATCAAGTCAAAAGCCATCGTACCGGAAGAGGGCCGCTTCTCCGCGACTGCATCTAAAACCGGTCAAATGTACCGTGAGCGATACTTCAAAGATGCAACATTTGAGGCACTTCGCATTATCGAGCCCGTTGCCGAGAAGCATGGTCTCACACTGCTTGAGATTGCGCTGCGATGGGCTATTCACCACTCTGAACTGAAGACACGCGTCAAGGGTGGTAACGATGGAGTCATCATTGGAGTTTCGAGCTTTGCGCAGCTCGAGAGCAATTTGAAGGATTTGGAGAAGGGACCTCTGCCAGACGATGTGGTCAAGGCATTGGACGATGCCTGGTTGGTCACGAAGGCGACAGCTCCACCCTACTTCCGATAGTTTTGAATATTGTTAAATGATCGCCAAATAAAGGCACATAAGCATATTTGAAATTGGCTACGCAAGAAAGTGAGAAAATCAATACCACCATTATCAGCCACTGATGTACCCCGCCTTCGTTGCCCAGTAAGCCACAGACACAACAGCTCGCAGGTAGACCACGCCGACCTGGTTTTTCCCCAGCTGAGCTGCCTGAGCACATGCGTGAATAAACCGCCTTTCCCGTACAGGCACGGAAGCCAACCACATATCTACATGGGATTCCCGCCCTAGGTCTGACTAGATTCCGATCACCTCGTACGTCGCATTACGGGAAGAATTCGCAGCCAACGATCATGCCATCTAAGCAACGCCAAACCGCCAACAAGCTCGTGGAGGCGTTCAATGCATTGGACGTCCCCACCATACTTTCCTTGCGCACCCCTAACTGCCTTCGGACAATTCTCCCTTCCTCTTTGAATCAGCCGTCCTCTAACAACGAGGCCTACCTCGCTCAACTCAACCTGATGAAGACAGTCTTCAGGTCTTTCCAAGTCACAGTGAACGATGTGATTGAAGGAATTTCAGACACGGACGGACGTGTGAAGATCATCATGTATGTCAGCGCAAGGGGGGAGACGCCAGCTGGTGAATATAGAAACGAATACGTCTGGAAGATGGGGTTCGATGAGGATGGGGAAAAGATCAGCGAGTGGTCTGAATATGTGGACGCCAACATGGCGAGAAACTTTTATCCGAAATTGATGGAGGTCGTAAAACGGCAGAGAGAAGAGGATGTTGAGAATCTAGAGCAGAAGGGTGGTGATGTGAATTGACCGAATAGTCACCACCAATCTAGTTGGATTCGGCTTCGATTGGTCGATCCATTATGTGTGCTGTCCGCGATGGGGGAATACTCAAGGAAAATCTGTGCATGTTTCATGGGGTCCACGCCTCGGAGAAATTCTTGCCCTCCAGCACGTCATAATGTATGTACCTGGACGGAGAGTGTATGCACTCCATGCGAATCTGTTCGGCGACCTGGATAATTCTGATGCGGGTCTTGATCAGGCATGGTATGCGAGTTAATTATAAGTTCATACAACAAGCTAACGGGAAGTACTAGACGCTTTATGTCGACAGTATGTCCATCCCGTGCTCTTTCAATAATTCTTGTTGTACATACAAATCGTTTCACTCGTCTATGCTATGGTGGAGGCAACATGAAACGTTTGTCACGTTCAATTCGAATCAAGACATCTATCAGCCCAATGGCCATTTTTGCAAAGTATCGACACAGATCATTGCTAACTTTATTTTATAGTTGGAAAACCAAATGTAGTGTCTCCGTCCCCAGTAACAATATACGGTGGCGTCGCGGGGGTGAAACGGGCCGGGCCTTCGTCGACATGATTTAATGCACCCAGACAGGTTGATAAATCCATCAGAGCTGCTTCCAAATAAAATCTAGAGCCAGCGTATACGACTTGCAATGAATTTTGAGACTTCTACCAGCTAGTTTGACGATTCTCTTTCCTAAGATGTGGATCCGATATTCCGTGTGGCTCCTGGTTACGCTGCAGCCACCCTTGTAAAGATGTGACATAATACACATCCTGCACCAATATATATTAACCCGGTCGTATCTGTTGGCAGCAGAGATTCTCCCAACCAGTCGCATCTAGCAGGCAGCGCCCTGCATTCGCGTCTTTGACGCAGCTGAAGTGAAGTACAAGTCCGGTTTCCTGGTTAATGGCCTGGAGATCAGCCCTGGGGGTCCGTTGCACTGGAAGACAACATGGCATCCCTTACCCATCGCAGATCGGCCGGGGTATGATTCCTTTACGAAGATTCATTTCACGATGCTCATTCTTTGAAGAGCTTAAGGCGTGATGACCTGAGAATAACTTGTGGCTTCTACGCCCATCTGCGCAATGCCTGTCGCGTTACGCAGCATTGCGGCGTGGATTCGCCAATTGAGCAAGTTGCATCTCCGTTCTTCCCCCTGAACTGTGCCTCTATTTCCTTTCTCTGCTAAGCTAAGCGCAACATAAGCGCCACATCCGATGTCTTCACAAATTGGGGCGGTTTTGGGAGCGTAAGATGTGCTTATGACCTTTGAACAATGAGGGTATTCTTCCTCAAATCTTTTGAAAAGTGGGGCTCTGCTCTCTTAAATGCGGAGAGGTGCCCACCTCCTTGAATCTTTCTCTTTATGCTGTCAATTCGATTGCGACGGGTATCATGAGAAACATTCTTGCTTTGGTGGGCTTCACGGTGGTTCACGTGGTTGCTGCTCAAAGTCAGCAAGGCTCTGTTGAACAGCCAACCATCACAGCACCCCATAAGAACCCATGGGCGACTCTCTCCGACGAGGAATCTGCAAGCGTAGAAGCTCTCCTTCAGCAGCGACTCAATTTGACCGGCAACCAAGGAAATATGTAAATGCACTCTCTTCAGAACTAAAGTACCTGGACTAATTCATCAAATATAGCCAAGACAGCTATGTGTAGGCCATGAGAATCTCAAAGACAGAACAACTTCGTACTGACGAATGAACAGCTTCCAGATAAATCTCTTAGCGCCAAATAAATCTGATATCATCCCATTTCTGGATAGCAATTCCACCCAACTGTCGAGACACGCCAGGGCAACAATTGTTTTCGGCGCCTCTGATTCATGGCAAGAATACTTAGTGGGACCTTTGCCTGCGACCAACTCAACAAAGGCAATACCATTGACATACCCATTTCATAACTCTCAGCCCGGAAATACTAAGGTTCACCCGTTGTATTACACTGCGGACGCCGTTCAATTTCAAACTCAATTTGGCACTGACATTGAAGATATCACTAAGGAATTGTGGAATACAGTGAGTGCAACGCAACAGAATATGATGAGATATCTACTGATGGCTTTTAGACATTCGCTGAAGGAGGACTTGCGTTACGTCTCGGGACGCCATTCTGGGAAGAAGATGGCCGTGTCATAGCATGGGCTGCCCTAGTTTCTACACCACAGTCAGAGATCAGCAGTCCCACTGTGCTTGCTCTCGGAGTCACAGTCAAATTTGATCTCACCGGCCGTGAGTGGGGAGGCTGGAAAGCAGTAGGCTGGTACTCTCGAGGCCAATACTACGACAGTACAGAAGAATTCCGGGATGCAGTTTTCTCCGCAGGATTCGACAAACCTCCCCCAAGCGTCGATGGAGAATGGGCGTCAACAGATAAGCATGGCGCTCCACTACCTCTTGACGACCTCTCACCCCCCATATCCGTGGCTCAAGAGAAACAGCGATTTCAACTTGACGCAGCTGAGAACTATATATCATGGATGGACTTCTCCTTCTTTTTTTCGACCTCAAAAGACCTGGGACTCTCGCTGTTTGATATCCAATACAAAGGAAAACGGCTCTTCTACGAGCTGTCTCTCCAGGAAGCTCTGTCGCACTATGCGGGCTCAGATCCATTCGCCTCGCAAGCAACTTTCCTCGACACAGGAGGAGGTATGGGAACCACACTGGCTACGCTTGTCCGAGGCTACGACTGCCCCTTACATGCAACCTATCTGAACGCCACTTTCTCCGAAGGCACAGCCTCAAGAACACAAGCAGATGCAATTTGCATCTTCGAATACGATGCCGGATACCCCATTCGCAGACACTTCTTCCCGCCGACGTACACAAGCGTTGCGAAGAATATCGTCTTCACTATTCGGACTGTCGCCACTGTCGGCAACTACGACTTTCTGATCGAATACAACTTCTTCTACGATGGTGCTATCGAGGTGTCGGCTCGAGCTTCCGGCTATATATCCGCTGCGTACTGGGAGAACAATCCGGAGTATGGATTCCATATACACGACTACTTATCCGGTTCCTTGCATGATCACGTCTTGATGTTCAAAGCCGACCTTGATATACTGGGCGATAAGAATAGCTTGCAGAAGGTTGAGTTTACGCCGATCAGCGTTGAGTATGTGGCCCCCCGTAATGAATCTATTGGAAAGTCGCTCGTCTTACTCATACTGATAGGTACCCTTGGTCGAAAGGACGAGTGCACAATACAATGAAGGCCACCCGAGGCTTCATTTCCGACGAGTCTGATTCCAGCGTGAAGTGGGCAGACAACGACGCAGCCATCTATGCAATCGTGAACAAGAACACCCCGAACCGCTTCGGGGAGTTTCCGGGCTACAGATTCAAGCGAAGTAAGTTGTATCCCCTGGCTGCGTTGATACAGACATCAGCAGTGGGCGCGATGTTAACAATATGCAGGCGCTGGCACATCACATCTCACAGTTAAAAACTCGACCAACGTCCCCAAAGCCGCAAACTTCGCGACTCACGATTTCTACATCACAAAGCAGAAAGATACCGAGCCACGAGCGACTGATCCGAACAATCAGTTTGCCCCCGAAGACCCACTTGTGGACTTCTCCAGGTTCCTTGACGGTGAATCCATCGATCAAGAAGACATGTAAGTAACCAACTACTACAGCCACCATAACATTTCTTTTTCGGGCTTGCTGACGCGAAGCAGTGTGTTATGGTTCAACCTGGGTATGCATCACATGCCCCACACAGGCGACTTGCCGAATACCATGTTCACAGCGGCGCATACTGCTGTGAGGTTTGAGCCGCTGAACTACCTGGAAGGTGATCCTTCGGTCGCTAGTAACCAACAGGTGCGAGTCACGTACAACGAGGATGGAACTGAGGCTGGTAGAGAGGAGTTTGGCAAGGTTACTTCGTAGCATGGTCAGGAGGAGCTATGATGGCGGATATGCGTATACTGGAGCAATAATAAGAGTGATGTACACAATGGTTGGATTGGATCTTAGGAATATATAAACATTAAATTCAGATCATCATATTGGGTAAACATATGAGTAAAATGTCCGTGATCACCGGAAAAAAAGCAACCTCAACAACTCCCTGACGCCAACCCAGAATTTGTTGTCATTAGAAGCGCGACCGCTCCGTCTACTTCGATTCCTCGCAGAACTTCTTCAGATCTTGATTGAACTTTTCCCATCCCGTGGCGGATTGTTCCCTCATGCCGTACCACTTGGCGAGAGCTCCCTCGCCCATTAAGAAAGATAGAATGCCGGAGAACTCCTCCCATTGGGAAAATGTGGTTCCGCCTGGAGTGGTCTTGCTGGGTTCGTAGCTGAAGTTGTGCTCGCCGGTGAAGACGCCAGGAAGGCTTCCTAGCCAGCGGAAGCGGTTTGGAGAATTCTCCTAGTAGACAGTCAGTTTTAAAATACATTGCGATGATTGATGATGGGAAGGATTAAGGAGAAGATGGCTTGTGCTTGAAAGTGTACGTACGATCAGTTTTGGCGTGAAGCTCATGGGTTGGAGCTCTAGGATCAACTTGTCGCCGACCTCGAGCGGCTTGCTTGGGTCTGCCGGCTTGATGGTCTTGAAGAAGCCATCAGGGTGGTAGTTTGGTATTTGTTGCCAATCTAGGAACTGGACGGGTTGTTAAAGACTATGTAGGGCTTGAGATGGTAGCAATAGACGGCGTACCTTGGCTCGAACAACCTCTGGGGGCGCTGCAATCTCGATCGTTTTCTTCAAGCCAGGCATTTTTGCGGTCAGAAATCAAATATGACCTGAGGTATTGTGATGACGGTTGGGTGTATAGTATAGGTAAGTCACGTAAGAGACACCAACTCGAAGGGAGGCGCGAAACGTAGATGATTGAGTTTGTTGGAGAGTTTAGTTATTTCTGCAATGCTAACAAGCAGCTGCAGTAGTAGCCTTATATACATTTCCATTGTCACCAACGCAACCTTTCAACAGTCATCCATAGTGCTGACGAGAAGAGATACGCAAATGTCTCTAGGATGTATTGGGGAAGGTCGAACCGACCCCTCAACCACAAAGTGCCAGGATACTCGCGCAATCAGCCGCAAAGGGATTAACGCCAGATCCTTTCATACCATCATCGAACACCTGCGCTTCCGAAGGGCACGAAGACCGGTCAACGCAAACCGAAATAACTCGTCCGCTGCATTGCAGAAACTTCACTGGTCGGAGATGGCCTAGCTTAAGTAAATAAAACATGGTAAACGTCGGTGGAAGATCAAAAGGCTGTTCTACATGCCGTAGGAGGAGAATCAAGTGTGGTAAGGTCCAGGCCTCCCATCTACAGCAAGATAAGACTGTGAAATTGACACAAGATCAATGCAACAGACCAAGCCCGTCCGATATGTGAGAGATGCCGTAGACATGGTTTGGCCTGTGATGGACCCCGAGATCTAACAATTGTCGAATGGCGAACCCTGGAGCCGGTGACCACAGCCATCAAGCCGGGAGGACCTGCATTTAGAAGACTCCAAGGTTCGATCGACATACATATACCTCGCTTTGCGACGCCGAGCATCAATGAACGGGAGATATTCATAGCTTATACACGCCGCAAGCTGCTTCCGAATGGCCCGATCGACCTAGGCCTGCAACACATGCAGCTTAGTGAGGGTTCCCATACCCCCGAGCGAATGTCCCATCTAGCTAGCCTAAGTATGGCCTTCATCGTCTTCGGTACACAACATGGGCAGCCTGCTATTGCCCATCGCGGATACGCCATGCATGCGAGAGCCTTGAATCAACTCAACTCGACATTGGCCCACCCTAAGAATCGTGCTCGAGATGACGTGCTTCTAACCGTTGCTACTCTAGCCGTAATGGAAGGTCTTGCCCCAAGCGGACCGAAGAACTACTTGAAGCACATGGTTGGGCTTGAAAGGTTATTAGAACTTCGTGATCCCCAATCACTTGATACGGTCGAAGGGAGAGCCTTGTTCAGGGCGATCCGTCATTTCCTGCTGTTCGCAGCTATACGATCACGCCGGCCATCGATTTTAGCAAGACCGGAGTGGAAGGCATTCTCAAATTCCATCGCGCCAGAAGATGAGATCTCCGAACTGGGTCTTTGGCACATACTAGCGGATTGCACGGTGCTGATTGCAGAGCTTGAGAAAATGACCCCTTGCATTTTCGGTATGGCGCAGGATACGAGTGTTCTATACCAAAATGAGTCCATCCGATCAAAAGCCTTAACACTATTGGCATTGCTTCGAGAATGGAAGATCGAATGGGATGGCAATCCGATGACTCGATATCCTGAATTGCCCGTACCCTCGGACCTTAACTTCGAAACAGCTAGGGACTGCAATGCGTATCCTTTTCAAACAACTTATGATTTCCACAGTGTACGCATTGCAACGACTTACATGTTCTACAACACAACTCTCCTATTCATTCATAAGGTTCTCTCATCTGTCTCGGACCAACAGATTGAACCTTACAGTGCAATCGCTTCAGAGAGGTCGGCGGCTCTTGAGATATTGAAATGCATTCCCTATTATCTTCGACAGGAGTCGCGGTCTCAACTACATCACTCACCTCTGGTGCATTGGTCTTTATCGACAGCATGGGCAACACTTGGTAGCAGTGACTCTGCGGAGGGGAAATGGATGATGGATATTTTGAGATCAAATTCTAACGATATCGTCGCAAAAGGCTTATGGACAAAATGACGATTATTCTTCATTACAAAATATCAAACCACCTCGTTGGAAGTTTCAACCTGATCCACAACAACAGCAACCTTCTCGTCCGCCGTCTTCGTCTCTACCTCTTCATCCGCCTCCAACCCCTTCACAATCGCCGGCCCCCTACGCAGAAAATTGGAATCGCCCACAGGCTTGAAACCAACATGCATGTACACCGCTCTAGCATACGGCGCACTCTCCAGATACATGGGCGTAACAGGCTCGGTCGCATCCGCCTGCTCGATCGCCCAATCCAACAATCTCTTCCCGACCCCTTTCCCCTGCCACTCCGGCCACGTAAACAGCGGCGCCAGATACCAATGTTTCTCCCCCGCCAAAATCTCCCTCCGCACATCATCCCCCTTCTTCATACTCCCGTCCCACGCCCCGATATCCGTCCCCGCCCACATCTCATCAAATTCCTCCTGCGTCCACACGCCGCCCTTCCAGCCGTAGAAATCGGCTGCCGACGCGTGGTTAAGCACGTTCGGCAGCCATGAGACCGGACCTTGCCACCCGGCGACTCCGGCGATTGTCCCCGTGGGGAGATGCACAGCCTTGATCCAGTGCACATGTGGGAGCTTGAAAGAGGGCAGGATGCGCTTGGTCAGGCGCTCTTCGCGGATCGCCTGGGTGGGTCGCATTTCTGGCGGCTCCATCTTTGACCACCATGCTTCGGGGAAGGCGGTGTAGAGGCCTTCGACCTGTTTCGAATTTGTGAGCTATGAAGTGTGTATATAGTTCTTCTTTATCAAACAACGATGGGCAAAGTATGTAGAAATGCAAGTGTGAATGAGGGGTCAACTGAAAAGGAAACGCACGATCTTCGGCGCATCCTCCTCGGTGCAACGCTGTATTTCGATATCCTCCTTGCGGATGCGGGCTTCGGGCTCTGTAGGCATCGTCTGCGGGATCCCGCTCTCCGCCACTGGGATCTTGATGAATGCTGCTTTCTGCGCCATGTTCCTTTTTCTATCTCTTTGTGCTTTTTAACTCTAGCTTTTCGTAGGTGAAAATGTGATATCTCTCGGGATGTGATTTCTCTATATTAGAAATTCCCAGGCGTGCAAGATCGCGAAAATGAATCTTTGTGTATATCGTGTATAGGTATTGTCGTAATGGAAGTTGCGGGAGTTACATGGGAGTTTATCGTCTGTTGTCGTTATTGATGTTGCGAGCAGGCAGCTTGATATGGAATCCACTTGTAGTTAAATAGCTCGGTCGCAATACCTAGTCGAAATGACTCATGTACATACATGTCCATCACAACAGCGATACGCCGAAAATACGGTGTCTGATATTGCATGCCCCCCAAATCGCCTCGTTTGCCTTAACTTTCATTATTTCCCGTTGCTGTGGAGAACGCCGTACAATGCCGGTGTTATATAGATAATCACTTTGGTATGATGCTTTCACGAAATCTACCCCGCCATATAATGATGTCGGAGTTCATCCAGCCTTGCGACCGGCGTTCGGAATGGAATGAATGATAGGCATGGCTGTTGAGAAAGGATTCTTCATGTGATGGGCTTACATGCTTGCGCATAAGTGCTGAGGTATCTTACACGCACCCAGGTATATGCACCATTTGTATTAATTGTATGGTCCAATCGTGGTGCGATGGGTGGGTTGGGATGCGAGGCAAGGTGAGGGGCAGGCTTCCTATCAGATCCCTGGGAGCTGCAGGGAACGTGTGGAGCTGGTCTAGGGTGTAGAGAGCGGGCGGGTTGCTTAAAACGATACACGTGGTACAGGATACTCGTATTTTTCTATCAACGTTCTCGATGAGGAGGATAGGTTTTTGGGTGATGTTGCAATTATTCAATGAAAGAATTCCAATCGAACCACGCGGAATACCTTCAAGTATACAAGAGATAGCCGTCATCTCAATCCTATCAACCAAAAATGTATATTATATAAGTGCAAACGCACCTGTCAGCATGATAGTAAATGACGAAACCGTCTGTAGGGGAGACCATTCAATTCATAGGATATCTTGCGGTAACAATGAAAGCCGAACGCCCAATCTCTAATACCTTTGTCACTCTTGTCGTAATCACAATTCGTACACACTGTGCCCTGCAACAGTCATATCTTCTCACGTTTACTTATCATTGTTCTTCTCGTCCATGCAGATGCAGAGAGCCGCCATGAGTGCCATGTCAACGCCAGGTGCAACCATCAATGCGTACGTCTGTTGGCCGAAGAAGATATCCTTCCCACTGAGAAGCTTGCGATCGATACGTGCTACTATCAAGCCGCCCTGGCTCTCGTCTGTGATATCGGCGTACGTATCGAAGAAGTTTCCAGTCATCGTCAACTTCTCCTGCTTGCCGTTCTTGGATGTGAACGTTCCGTGGGCTTTGCTGCCGAAGACTGTTTGCGCGCGTTAGTGTCAGGTTCTTCACTCCACGTAGTCAAATAGAGATGGCTATCTTACAGGCGAGCGTGCTCTTGACCTCCATGATTTTATTGTCGTTGGGGTCTAAGACTGCATAGGTGGTATGGAGGTGGAAGTGTCTACTCCATCGTTAGCGCAAAGCCCGATATCTCCATGGCGGCACTACTCTACGTACTCTTTGCAAATGTCAAACAGGTGGGTGCCATCCATTGCTCTCACGGTCTTGCGACCGGAGATGGACATGACCTTGCCCTCGACTTGGAATAGTGGAGATCCATTTGTGAGTTTAATGCTGAAGCTGTCACCACTTAGGGACAAGACTTTCTCCTTCAATACCAATGTCTCTGGCTGGCGAGCAATGAACTGGTCAAAGATTCCGATCGGCTGGGGTACTGGTGGTAGTGCTGACATTGTTGTAGCTAGGTAGTTATGCGTGGTTGGATGGCTGACAGTAGGTAACTGATTGCAAATCGGTTCTGGGGTAGTGAGATAGCGCCAGAACTTCCGATAATGTGTTCCTGCGAGGATTTATCAATTTTGGGAAGAGAGGCGGGAGTTTTATGTCATAGGGATGAGTGGCCACCGACATGGCTGAGTCGTGATTCATCGCCCCCCATTGTCTCAGGCGCGCCGCCCATGCCTTCCCACTGACGTCCATTGCTAGCTGGCTGCGCCACACAGACCACCGAACACATCTCTGTAATGATCCTGTTGTCCATATCAAGATTCATAGCGGTGCTCGACAATTAAATCCTTCAAATGCGTAAGAAGGCAAGGCCTAGCGAGAGATTATATACTTGGAGCAGTGACCAGTGCAACATGACCCCCGTCGCGATTGATCCTGCACTTTGCTGTCCACCTGTGCCTACATCAGAGGGGTGTTTAGAATTCGAAAATTAGACTGAGATTAGCTCTTCCATCTCATTGACGTTCATCATCTCCACTTATAAGTGGACCTGTAAAAGCTTGTACAGGCTAATATGCACAGCTTCATTCGATCCATCATGCAATGCATGGGCAAGCGAGGCCGCTAGACGTCGCATTGTAGTTTCCACATTGCAGTTTTCGCATTGTAGTTTTCGCATTGCGGTTCACGACACGTACAGACATCCACATGCTTCTTTTGAATCAAACAGAATACCGAGGTAACGAGTCTTCTAGGTGCTCGGGAGAGGTTTCGTCGGCGCTTCATCGGTTGTCAGTCATTTTTCCTTCCAGCCCCCAATGCTATGGCGTACCTATCGGACTTCCCATAGCTATCGATGATTTCCGTCATCTCAAGAAACTTAGTGCGAAAAGAACCACGCACAGTCCAATTCTTCATCTGTCGAATGTGTTCTTCGTAAATGGGATTGATGAGAATTCCGCCGCTTTGATCATTCATGGTTATGATAACAGAGCCGGGATCATATTCCCATTTGATGTGAAACGAGGTGGAGTAGGAGGAGGCGAAATCATGAAAATTAATCTCCGGATGTTCAATCAAGTAGCTCCTGACTTTCGGCCTGCGTAAACTTAGCACCCTCGCCTCACAGTGGCTAGGTAAGCAACCCACCAAGGGATTCGGTCTATCCAACATGGATGTGGTCGTTCCAGCTGTAGTTTTATGGGCCTCAACCATTCTGGCATCTGCTCGTACGCCTGTTCTGTCCGAAGGACCTGCCACTTCATGAAAGTGCTCATGACATAGTGAACAGCCACCTGCTTTGGCAATGTATTGATCTCTGTGTAGCTCCTTATTATGTCGCCAACCACCGCGCTCGTCTCGTCTACCACACGATTAGGTCGTCCGTCGAAAAGTGCGCTGAGGTTCGGTTTGTCGGGGTAGCTTTCCACTCGTCCAGGTGTACTCCAAGCATACGCCTCCCACCGGCTTTCTACGAACGTTTGCAATATTTGGTCTGATAGACATGTCGGGCTAGTATTCAGCGGTATCGCTTCGTAGGGGGCAAGCTTGTCAGTTGCGCCTGCTGCGTCCGCGTCTGGAGGGTTCTGACCATTCCCAAGGAGTCGAAGCTGTAGCGCAGCTTTCTGGACACGAAGGTGGTCGTTTTCCTCGCTGATCGCCAGGAATCGGTTGTATAAGTCGGATTTCTCACGCGTGGATACTTCAAGAGCTTGCGTTAGATGGGCGACTTGGTCATTCAGGCATTGTATGTTCCATTTCGTTCGCTCTCGCATCGCCTTTTGGGACTTCCGGTCTCGTGCTCGTTTCCGTTCGAGAGTTTCGTATTCCGGATTGTTAGTGGAATTGGTTGTGGGCGATGTAGTGTCGCTAGGTGATGTGGAAGCCATAATCGCTGGGTAGCTAGGTCGTCGGGCCATGCCCTGGAGTAGAAAAAGTGGCCAGCTTCTAGAAGGTTATCAAGATGAACTGGAGAATAGGTAGAGTGATAAGCAAAGAAGTCGCCTATGCCGCAATGCGGTGCAAATGTGCAATGTATATTCAATTGATGCGTTTAGAAAAGAAAATGCATATGTCTAGAGGATGGGAAAGTGGGATTTGTATCTAAATATGTAGATTATCTTCTCGATACCTCATCAGTATGGGGTGAAGAATGGGTTCTGAGAGAGACGGCATGACGATGACATGGGGGATTAGATATCTGGGGTTGTGGGGGAGGGTGGAAGGGTTAACCAAATCCGACCCACCCCGGCTGCCCCCGCACGCCCATCCTCGAAGACTACGTAAGTAGCTAGGGCGTAATGTACCTATCATTCACAAATATCGAGAACAAGTCAATTACTAAACATTGCGCTACTTGTATTCAGGGTGAAGGAATGTCACCTATCACCGTTCACCTCCAGCTGATGTCGTCCGATAGGGAATAATATGGTCCTCAAAACGCCTTGCAGAATGAATGCTACTCAACCTCTCAGCCTAAGGGGGAAGTCGGAAATAGTCTTAGGAAGGCTCGTGAGGCTATTTAATTAAGTACAGAGACACTTTAGAGGGCAGAATAACATTATATTAAAAACACTTCTTAAGGCTTTATAATATTAGTTAATGTTATTTAGTTACTAGATACAACGGTGCTTGGGTGGTGATCATAACAATAGTGGGTGGCCAGGACTATTTCCGACTTCCCCCTTAGGTTGAGAGTCAACATCTGTCCAGTCACTTCCATCATGAGATTGAAATCAGATACGCCCGCGTTCCAAGAATTTGTTCGGAATATTGACATAACGGCACCGGATGTATTCACAAAGATTCTTTCCCAGACTGTCATACCCGCTCGTGGCATTGAACCCTCGATCGAGGTGATCTCGTAACAGGAAGTGGACAGCTAGAATGTTAGGCATCTCGCATCTATCAATATTCTTGCCCTTGTCGTCCTTTCCGAGCAGCTCGCGGAGCCTCTCAACACTCAGCAGAGATCGTAGCCAATCGTACTCGTCCTGATGGCGGACGAAAAGCCCCAGGTTGGCGTTGGATGATTTGTCTCCTGACCGACCCATGACAACATATCCAAGGGGCGCACGAGTCGTAGGTCCGAATGACGACAGATCGATCGGATTGGCGGTGTTGTAGGATGGTTGATTGAAGTCGTATTCCTTGGTGAGCCGAGGAGGAGGAATATCGATGACAGTTCCATCAGGGAGATGGGCTGTCTCGTGGACAAAGGTTTGTGGCATTAAACTGACCCAGTATTCGAAAAATGGCCTGCCCATAGCCTGGCGCATATCAGGGGCCATTGTGGAACCGGGATAGCCTTGGAGAAGATTCTCAATGCAGAAACGTGCGAAAGAACCTCGGTCTGAATCAACCATAGCACCGGCAGAAAGGAGATCTGGATCTCTTGTTTGAGCGAAGATGCGCATGTCAACGGTGGCAGCATCCTGTGAGTGTGGGTCTTGAGGAACTGTGCCAGCGACTTGAAATTTCAAGCAAGTGAATTTCTTTGCGTGATCTCCCATCGCTGCCAGAGTCTGTCGCTCAACCATCTTGGCCTTCTCTTCAATGTCTAAGCCAGTCAGGAAGAAGTGGAATTCTGCTTGATAGCCGCCCTTCGCTGTGATGCCGACCTTGGTCGTTGGAGGCGCGGGAAGACCTTGAACTCCGGAGATTCGAACAGCATTCTCACCGACCTGCTCAAGTTTGACGTTCTCGATCTGAGCAGTCACGTCGGAGTTGTAATAGTACGGTCCTTGAATCTCGTAGAGGAGCTGACTAGCAATGGTGGCAACACTTACCAGTCCATGGCGGCCCTACAGCAAAGTTAGTATGTTCCAGCGAGACGACGCGTAAGATTCGTTACCTTCTCCATGGTGAAAACAGCCTCTCCATTATACTCCAGAGCAGCTATTGGGTAGCCCATGTCAGTGTCTTTCACGCCGAGGTCCTTAAATCCAGAGTAGTACCCGCCCGTGGCATATGTGGAGCACTCGATAACGTGTCCTATAGTTGCCTTCTTTAGTATTACAACAAAATTATTCGAACCTTCATCAACATACCAACCATGAGTGCTCCCGCCAACTCTTGGTAATTGTTCTCACGTGTCCAGCCGTGATGCCACATCGCTGCACCAACTGTCGGGGAAGCATCTGCAACACGACCGCAGAGAACGATATCGGCGCCAGCTATCTAGAAATTAGAGATCTTTTTCTCGATATACTAACGCAAGACTTACCAGCAAAGCAAGCTGCAATTCCAGTGCCACCGAGATAGCACTGAGCACAGATAGGTTCGAAGCCCCAGTCCTGGATGTTCTTCCCGGCCGGAAGGTTGGGAAAGTTCTCGCCCTTCTTGTACAGATCGAGGACTGCATCTGTGCAGTCATCACCGTCGACGTATGCAACCTTGAGATCAACCCCGTGCTTGACGATCAACTTCTTGACCGCCTCCGCGAGACCTTGGACATCGCTAGCGCCGGCGTTGACGCAAACCTTGGTGTTGTTCTTGGCCAACCACGGGATGGCTGGATCGATCTCTTCGAGGAAGTAAGGTTCGTAGGCGGCACCTACTGCAGAGAGCTGTTTGTTCGCCAGCTTATCTCTCTTGTCGGCTCCTCGAAGTGTCATGTTGCACTCTGACATCCAGTCGCCGGTGATGACATCAACGTGAGGCTCGTTCTGTACTCATCAGCCATTGAGATCACTTCAATGAATTTCGTTTCCTTACTTTCGCCATGTCTGCGATAGCACGTTTCCTGTCATAGACACCACCAGAACATCCTGCGATGTAGATGGGTCGCTTGTGTGACCCGTTCACGCCATTCGACCTGTTCGACACCGAAGCGTTCACTCCGTTCTCAACCGGGGGAGTCATATTGTTTGATAAAATCAATTCAAGTATTCGAGCATGCAACAGAGAACAAACAAGGTGTAACTTGACCTACAAAGACGATCAGGAGCAGGAGGAGGAAGCGGGGTATATAAATCTATCGAAAGGCAGGGGGTCAATGTTGGCAATGAGTAGGCCATGAAAAGGACACCCGCATGTATACGATCATTCCAGCCTCTAACAGGTCCGGTACAGGATACCAGCAAAAGACGCTGTCTGAAAGACGTAAATGCTAGTGGACATCGGGGTAGTCGCTAGTGGCCTCGGAAAACATTTTGGAATGTGCAGACTTGTCACGATTGAACGGAAACAGTGATTCCCCTCTCTGTAGTCTCTGTACACTTTCACAAAACAAGGCGAAAGCTGAATTTGGAAGTGGAGTAAGATATTCGGGTAGTGGCGAGCACAACTAATGATTCACCAGAGGATTCATCACGGTTATCCAAGGTGCACGCTAATGATTCATTAGTTTATTGACCCCGCCAGTTCTCCAGGCCAATGACTATCACAGGAATTTACCGTATGGAGCTACATACCAGGTATCTATTCATGTCTTTTTATTATTGATTTGCGAAAGAGCTTCAGGAGTGTAACAGGAAATCTTGGTCCCGTACGTTGATCAATACTTACGGCCACCACGAAGCAATGGTCAAATTCACATACAATAGAAGCAGCATAGGATAGGATTGTAGTCATTCTCAAGCATCGTTCGGAATTCTAGTAATGCTACTCTACTATAGATTTGAGGAAGGTTTCTCCTTGTACAAGTATCCAGCCACCTTCTTCAAAATCGCCCATTTCATGCTCGTCCTAATCTCATCACCATATTTCTGTCTGTTCTCCTTAACAGCGTTGCTAGGCACATGAACCTGCTTGAAGTATGCTTCGCTCGCGTACACCTCCAATGTGTTGATCGTGACTGAATTTCCCTTGTCCTTCAGGATGCTGTAGCTCAAAGTTTCGGGCTCATTCTTCTGTGTCTCTGATGTCACAGTCTTCCAGCCTTCCAACGCCTCATCTCGCTCTCCCTCCTTGTAGTCAATGGCTGCATACACGAAATGCGGATCTTCAGTGTTTGAAATTTCCGGTCGTGTAAACGTAGATGATGGTTCTGTCATGGCCACTTTCGTCTCACCAGCGAAAAGAGCTGGGTTCGCTGTGAAGTACGCGATGAGATCTGTTACCGGCTTCGACCCCATGTGTTGATCGAAAGCAGCTTGCGAAGTGTATCTGCAAAGATTAGATTGGTTTTACCTTATAACTTTGTGCAAAATCAAACTCACTCTTCCACTACCCAGACAGCAGCTTCGTCTGTCGCATCGCGGGGCACAGCAATTGCATATCGTACAACTCCCGGCTCATGATCTCTTGAAAACGCGCTGACCTTGGACAGTGCATCGATCACGGATTGTCTTGCCTCCCCTCCAGCAGTAGTTAATTGCGCAATTACCACTATGCCCGGCATGTTGTAGTGCAGAGCCTGTGGAGTGTTGGGCTTAAATAAAGATTTCGGAACTGCGCGTAAGCAGCTGAGACCTCAGTTTTCGCGCTTTTGAAAGCTGAATGATTCAGTTATCTTCGAGTGTTATGAGATTGGAATCAATACCAGGAGCGACGATGGGGACGTATTTTCTATTATATGGATTAAAGAAAGATCTGAGTAACCGATGCGAAGCTATTGTTAGGTACAAGATGCGCTGGTGGGTGGAGCAGCTAGAGGGCCCACAGCCATCCACACAGTGTGCTACAGGTTGACGATTTCCGAGGCACCGATCGCTCCGCCTCCACAACCTCAGCCCCAACAAGGAAGACACAACGTAAAGCATATGCTTGTTCGAGAGACACGACATTTTATTATGTATGTAAGAAGGCCTCGATCAAGCAATGATACTAGAAAGTATTAAACACGGAGGGATCAATTCACTCATTACTATATGTTTTCTTGCACAGGTAATTCATCGTACTCTACTCCCTGCTCCATATAAGATTAGACATTTATGCATACTCCATTCATCTTTCAATCACATTTTTATGGCTTCATACATCTACGAGGAACAGAGGGTTGGCACGGGCTGGCCACCTGCTAACTTCATGTATCTTCTATACCTAAAGTATCTACTGAAGAATGTACTGTAGCCAGGAAACCATCGTAACTGCTTGCGATACAGGAGTGTTATTTCATGGCCATCTATACAATACCGAAACCATTATCCAAAAGCAAATTCCACATGCTCTGTAATACTTGTGAGTTTCCCAAGCTAACACGTCCAACCACCGTCCACAGTCATGACACTGCCCGTAATGAAAGAAGACTCGTCGCTCAGCAAGAAAGCTATCAGATTAGCCACCTCTGAAGGTTGCCCCATTCGCTTGAGTGCAGATTCGCTATTATCAAGTCTCACCGCAGGGTTTCCTGTACCTGCAATCAGTTTCGCAGAGGCTACCATGGGTGTATCAATCGTGCCACTAGAGTCATTAGCCTACACCCTGAAGTGGTTCTCTTAGACAATGCCTTACGGTGCAATTGCGTTGACACGAATACCCCTGGGTCCCATGTCTTTCGCTGCCGAGCGTGTGAGACCGATAACTCCATGTTTACTTGCACTGTATGCTGCATTCTTCGGTCGCCCTTGTATTCCAGCAACCGATGCGGCATTGACAATAGCGCCGCCCTTGCTTTCTCTCATTGCACGTAATTCAGCTCTTTGGCAGTACCTTTGGCCAGATTAGTAGGTAATTCGTTCAGCCGAGTACGGAGTCCAGAATATACATACATAAGCCCTGTCAGATTAACACCAATCACAAAATCCCAGTCATTGTCTTCGAGTTCATCTGCTGTGTTAACACCGATGCTCTTCCCAGTAACGCCAGCCAGGTTGGCGGCACCGTCTAGTTGTCCAAAATGTTTCACAGTAGATTGTATCCACGCATCCACCTGTGCATGGTTTCGCACGTCCAGTTTATAGGTGAACACTTCGCCTCCGGTAGCTCGGATGGCAGTGGCAGCTTCATGGAGGAGTTCGTCCTGGACGTCTGCGATGGACATTTTAGCTCGTCTTGACGATAGCAATTTCGCGGTTTCAAGTCCTATTCCGGATGCTCCGCCAGTTATTGCGATCACTTTGTTCTCGAAGCTTGCCATAGTACTGAGTATTGAATCTCGGAGTTTCTCCAAGATGGGGACATGAGAGGGTTGAAGATCATGAAGCCTACTGCTTGCTTAATTTCATAATTTGTATGCACATGTCAATCCTTAGCATAGCATAATCATGCATTACGACCATTTTCAGTGAAATTCCACATTCCACGAAGTAGGATAAGTTCAACCGGAGCACCTGGATGGTTAGCGGCAACAGTGTAATACGACGACGAATAGCGTTAGGCTCCGCCATGCACTCCTCTTTCTCCGCACCTTGTAACCCTCAGCCCTGCCCGAGGACACTCCCCATGAAACCTGTGTCAAGCAAAATGTTATCTCATTCGACTAGTTCTACTTCGCTTAAGAGGTTGTTTTGTCTCACTTCCTTCGATCGTTTCAAGAGCTTACTGCGGACAGTTGAGTAACATTCATGACGTATTTATCTACTTAGGTACCCACTATAGGTGCACTGCATTGTTGGACAGGTGGAATGCAAATACTCGGCCCAAATATCATTGAAGGCTATGCACTCGGAAGGTGAGCCAGGGCGTTTCCCCAGCGGAGAAATGGTAACTTGCTGTGGATAGTACACTCTGCGGAGAGTACCAGAAGGGTAGTGAACATCGTAGGGATCGTACGGCAGGTTCCACGTTTATTGAAACATCAAGAGAACAAGGTACCGAGCAAACAAGGGATAACAGCGTGTCTAAAACTATGCATCCTGATGGAATTACATGGCAGATATATTCGATGCTATACATATAGCCTACCAGCTCTTGGGAGGCTTGTAAAGATTAATGCTAGAGATGTTCAAATCTTGTATCAAATTCGCACTGGCGCAAAAGAATCCAACAATTACGATGACAGTCGTTACTGCTCACAACTAACAATCAGTGATTAGTCCTTCAAAATTCCATCTACATTACATCCACTCTAGCACCTCCTTTGAACGCCATTAATTACACCCAAACAATACTGTACAACCCAGATCCTACGGGGTATCATACGATTCGTGAACCATGATAACGTCGGGTATAGAACGCCGTGACATGCGAGAATATGTTGCAAACAACCTCCTTTTCTACTTTACGAGTGTCTCCTTTTTCGTACGTTCGAATCGGGACCAGGATGGCGTTCATGGATTAGGATGGACGAAGTGTGCGCCGGAGCATGGGGAGTTTGCCTTTCGGAATTCGCCAATCCTGCCTCTCATCCAACCCGAAGTCCATTTTGCATTGCCCTCGGGGGCCTGTCCATGTCCTAGGCGGATGACGTGCGCTAGACGGCAGGTGTCGCCAAAGTGTTCGTACTGGAAGCACCGTTTGTCTTTGCCGCAGGCGGCTTTACAGGCGTCCACGGATTTTCCGGCGCCCTTCGATCCTTTCAGTATAACGTCTTCCGACATATTACTCCAATCGTCCTTTTCATCTACTATCGCTGACTCAACATAGGTGTAGAGATCTTCGAATGTGAGGGGCTTGGAAGGCTGTTGTCGGTTCGTTTCCCATCGCCACAAGTCGTCGAAGTCGCCGTCGCCCATATTGTGGAGGGTAAGCACGGCTTCGCACCAATGCTCTGGCCCAAATTTGACTGTAGTTGGCTTTTCACCGTTGAACATGGGCCAGTAACCACGAACCTTCACACCACAGTCCTTCAACACGTGTGCGAGGACCTCATCTCCGCAGCATTCGTTCCTGACGTTCTTGCCGAAAAAATGTGTCCCCGGGAATCTATGGTTCTCTGCAAACATTCTCCCCCTGGCAACAACTCGATTCATGGTGCCCCGAGAGACAACGAATCCACTGCCTCCATGTGCGAAGGTAGGCCTCTTCTTAGGCCAAACAGGGGATCCGAAATAATGCGGCGTCTCGGGATTGAACTTGGCCAGGAACCGGTACATGTTATCCCAATTGACGTACGAGTTCATCTCTACGAAAATGAACCAATTGGTTTCTGGTCGCATGTGTGCTGTCAGCTCCATCATGGGGAGGAATTTGTAACGGTCCAGCCTCCAACCCTCGTTCACCTTTTCCGATGTCCCATTCGACCGTTGGATCTCATCATAGACCTCGAAATCGGGGTTGTTGTATCTGTATTCGGGTTTCAAATTGGCCAAGGCATCAATGACCTTCCAGCCGCCGAACTCCTGCTCGCGGTCGGAGAATAGGAGAATGTCCACCCTGCAACGGCCAAATCGACCCAGGAAGCTCCTTAATTGTGGCTTAACATCGGAGGAAGTCATTTTCACAACCACTGTGACGTCGTCCATGGCACCACTCAGGAAAGGAGCGCATTCGTCGCCGAAGGGAACATTAGGAGCGGAGGGGCGGGAGCGGGACGGAGGTGGCCGTTCGAGCATTATATCGAAACCTCGTCTTCCAAAGAATAAGGAAGAGCTGGAGAAGAAGGCTATAAATGTACATAAGAATACCACCGCGCACAGCAGGCGCGTAGGCGTAAGGCGCACCATGATGCTTGACGTCCAAAGACTTGTTGGAGGAGATGGGATGGTATTCGAAAAACGAAGTTGCACGCGTCGAGCGGGAAGCTACTCCCAATCAGGCTAGATTGGTCATTTCATGTAATCTCATGCATAATTGCCCTTACCATATCTCTCTCCCTGGCAACCAACTAATAAATAATATATTTTAGCACTTGCTTCCTTCAAAAGCGTGAAAGCTATCTTCTTCTTTAATACATGCTCATTCCTCGGGGTTCAGACTTGAGGGTATTGAATCCAGCATGGGATCTTAAGGGAAACCAGTACTAGCCCCTGAACAAGGATCGTGACTACCATCACATGAAGCGAGACTATCTCTAGGACACAGAATATATAATTCAATTATGTATGCATTCGTTACAGTTGATCAACGTAGGTTGTATATCAAACACCATTATTTTGAGGAGTTCTCCCCTTACTTATTGTCGTTAGCCAATGAGAGATCAGAAAATAGAAGAATACCTCCTAGTTAGGTAGATAATGAGGTGGAAGTACACAGAGTTGATACGGTGTTATATGCATTGACGGACTTCTGTGTAGGGAATCTCTATATTTGTCTATTGTGTAGCCCATGTTCTAACCCAAAGTCTATCCCGAAGTCTATCCCAAAGTCTATCCCGAAGTCTATCCCAAAGTCTGTCCCGAAGTTTATCCCAAAGTCTATCCCAGTCTATGCGAGAATCTGTTCCAGTGAAAATCTACCTTGTAATGTCCAAGAATCCAGGTACTAACGGCAGCCCCCTAGGCCTATCTAAGCGCCTATGCCATCGGAACTACGTCGATATTCAAATTCCTGAGCCATGTAGTACAACCGATCATAGCTGTGGATTCTCCTTCGCAAATCTTGAATGGTTTCGGGGTACTCCCTTCCTTGTACTCATACACATAGATCTTCGTGCCATCTGGCCATCTTCCAGTCTCTGGATCCATGATGGCGCCGTATAGCTCCTCTGCTCGTGCGGCAGCCACTGCTTCTGCGTGCCACTTTGCGCCGTCTGTGCCATAGTTCCGTTGCTGGGCACCACCAGGCACCGCAGCCCAGAAATTCGGTGCGTACGTGCTTGCTCTCTCCTCGAAATCCTCGTCATTGGCTTTCCATTGCGTACCAGATACGAATCCAACACCAGGAATGGAGATAGTGGCCAATATAACCTTGAATCCCGGTTTTTTGTGATCTTTCTTGAACTGATCGGCAGTGTCCTTAGCAGCGCCGCGCACTCCTGCATCGCTCGCGGGCTGCCCAAACAACCCTTTCGCTGATTTTGATCCTGCCCAGGTATTTGAGGCTACTTTCTTCATGGGGACCGCGTTGGACCCAGCGCGTTTTTCATTCTCTCCTGTCGCAAGGCTCCCGACCTCGTTATGATTAGCCGATGTTGGATTATACTCTGCAGGAAAGGCGAGAACGCAGGCCAAAGGTTCGATAGCCAGCAGGCACGCAATAGTCTGTAAAAGAGAGAACTTCATTGTTCCGGGGAAGTCTGGGCGGACTCAAGGATTGAGAAAGATCTTTGATGCAATACTTCGCAGAAGAGGGAGAAGGGTGTAAAGATTGATTCAAGATGATAGGTTTGACCGAACAAATTATCGACAGTGAGAGATTAGATGAGATGTAAAGAAGTATTTTCAGTGCTGTTGAATAGTATCATATGAATGCTCACAGTGCTCCTTTTATATGTATTGGAATCGCTACTTCACACGATACAGATCCTCATGGGATTTGAACAAATACCTACAAAAGAAAGGAGCTGCCGCTGTCTACTACATGAAACGATGCCTGAGATCCATTCAAGAAAATCTCTCATACGATTCAAGAGAAGACTAGGCGAAGAGAAGCCACTGTCTACTAGAAGATGGGAGACCTGAATACATCCCAGAGGAACCATCACAGCTTCGACTATAGACTAGGGAAGGAGAAGCCAGTTTCTAGTGCAAAAACGATGCCTGAGATCCATCTAAGAAGAAGTATCAGACGTTGAAGCAAAGATTGGGAAAGGAGAAGCCACTGTCTACACCAAGAGAGGATGCCTGAGATCCAAACCAGAAACCAAATCATACATGTGCAAGTACGGATTCACATTCACTAGCATGGGTGGAAAAAGCTCTGCAAGATAGGATGCGGAGTTTCAAAGTGACATGAGTCGAACCAATAGTGCTCAGTTGAAGGCCGACGGCAGATGATGATCAAGCCTCTATCAGTGGCAGTACTCTTGTAACTCCATGATCCTACCATATTACTTTGCAAGATGCCTGATATGAACAGCAGCCCATGGTCAGTGGCAGCGAAATAAGCGGCCAGGTCGGCAACTCAATGCAATGGAGTTGGCTGATATCTGAGCCATCATCGAATCCTATCGCACAAGGATCTTCAACATATATCTTTTTGGAACCTGCGGCGTTTTACTCGAAAGAAGACTTCAAAATATTGATACGAAAAGATTCAAAGAAAGGCAACACTGGGTATATCTTCCGAGTCTGCGATCTCGGGTGTTGGTCCCTTTCAAACAGTTCAATAGGGCGTAAACGGGATCCATGACAATCAATACAATCCCTTTCGGGAAGATTGGCGAAGGAATAGCATAAAGAATACAGATTCAGCTGTTAACTAGTGCTGCCGCAGCAGACATTCCAAAACTGATACATTGTTTGCCTCGAAGCGTGAGACATGACTCGCCGAAACGCCTCATTCGGCAATGGAATCACATCTCTGGAACTTCGGCATCCACGTAGAAGTACATTATGTTACTTGGTGCTTACGCAGACCAGGGTTACGTTAAAAAGCCATAGGGTAAGATACGGCATTGGCCCCCTCGGCGTATTTACGGCTCATTGTATGGCTATCGAAGCCACCAACGCGTGCCGCAATCCATCCGAAGAACAACATTGCGACGAAATGAAAGTAAGACCAATAAAATGGGGTCTTTTTGGTCGCTCAGCCATCGTGATGGCGTTACTGTGACATATTCACCCCGAGGTTGTGGGAGTACTCACATTACGAAATCGGCTCGATGGCGTTGTGGCTCAATGCGTATTGCGACGTTCGCGACTATGTTTGATGTCTGCGCCATTCTTCGTCCTAAGATGATGTCCTTTTCTCATGGTAGCATATATTGTTGGTCTTACAATCCTCCAACTAGAGTATGTTGCAAACAATCGCAGTGTCCCAATCAAAGCAACATCCAACCCCAGCTCCTCCGACATTTTTCGGTGGCTGTTTGTCAGTCCTAGTGGACGGCCTCATAGATTTTCGAGTTGTGTCCCGAAATCTTGATAAATTCACGTAACATGTCTTCTGTTCACGTTGGCATCGGCGCGCTCCGTGTAGGTCGAAATCCCCAGACATCAACTCGCAGCCTTGCGCTGGAGCAGCTTAGATCGAAAGATATACCCATCACGTAAGATTCTCTCGTCGATGTGCCTTTCATTCCCATTATACCCCTCTATCCTCATAATTGTTCTTTCGTATAGATATCTAAGTGTTATGAATACCGGCCGTGTCCATATCAATACATTAGATCGCCTATCTCACAATACCTTTACCTCTACATGCTACACGGTATATCTTATACCAGGCTTTTATGACTTGAAAATCACCCATCCAAACAGCAAAGCATATACCCACCTTGAATCAGGTAAGTGAACCCTAGCAGTTGACACGAATAGCAAGACACCTACTCACCATAGCCCTATTAAGAAAAGCTGCAAAGGAATCAACAGATCACAGCCTCCCATCCCACGATATCTTCGTTTCTCTGCGTACTATAAGAAAGGGGTTTTCTATATCAGGTGGTTATAATCTACCATATGAATAGAACGGCATCTACCCATCATACACCAGGTTAGTATTCCTTACCGCAGATGATGAGTTCACATCCATCAGGAGGTTTGCACACTACATCCGTGTGTCATTGTTGTTAACAGAAGTAGTCTGAACAGAATTTCAAACCATGAACACACCATCCTTTACCTGGTGGCGTATTCAAAAACCCTCCGTCTCCCACTCTCTCTTTCATATCGGCCGACTAACATACACACACCTATCCTACCCACGGCAATCTATGTAGAAACATCCAACAGCCGTCCTAACGCTGTAGCAACCTTCGACAGATCGCACCCTCTCTTAACACCTTATCCCATCTTTGGAATCTCCGAACAAAACTCCACAGATCCTCCAGAAGAACTCTAGCCTTTTAGACGGAGACTGATACTCAGCTAGGATAAACTCACCACTGAACATCGTCATAGCTGATACGAGTTCTACAATCCCTACACTCACAAATTTCCCTTCCGTGCTCTCCATCATCGGCAGCTACCCATACATCTATAAGCCCACACACAAGCACATTATAACCCATTCAAACCCTTCAAACTCCCTACACTTATACTTGTACAAACAGCCTCTTCTTCCTTTCCCCCTTATCCTGCCAGTCCGTCCCTCAAAACATAACCCCTTGACCTGTCACTCAGCTAAGTCCGTTCTACTATACTACACACACACACACACACACATCTAAGTCTGGAAAGCAAATCCCGTAATACGTATGTTTCATGATTCCGAACACAGACCTTACACAGACGGGCGTACACTCCGCATCCAGTATCACGCTCGACGTGGGACTCCAAATCGACATCAACGCCACCACCTCACCAGCACTCCCCGCAGGAATCCCCAGACCACAAATCCCGATACGGACAGGTAATCGGGTATAAGACATACCCGAGGTGCCTCCCCTACCAAACGAATACACATACCTACCCACGAGCGAGCCGCCGTCAAACCTACCAAACCAGAAGTCTTCGTAGTCTTCGTAGTTATACTGAGTTCAAGCGCGGTGCATGTAGGAGTACTATCTACCTCGCATGGGAATGGATACAGGAACTTGCTTGCTTTCATGGCTCTGTGGCGCGGAGGAAGGAGGTTGTTGATTGGACGGGTTTAATTTGTTTTGTACTTGGTTCGGTTGGTCACATGTGGCTGATATCTTTGGCTTTGCTGGTTAGCTTTGGAGTGCGAGTGAGCGTGAACATGAACGTGGGTTGGGAAAGGGAAGGTCAGGCGTAGATGGTGGAGCTAGGTAAGCATGGAAGTGTGCTGGTACAAGTATGATGTAGATGGACAGCACTGTAGTGTGTACGCGGGGTATCAAGTATTATATCGTTGTTATTATTTTAAGCTGTGTATATCAACTGCCCGCAATCAATGCGTGCGGTAGACAATGACAAAACTATCAAAGTTCCCCTCCTCCCAGCAGCAGCATATAAGAAAGTTGATCAAAAAGCCCGCCCTCTCGCTCGCTGTCGTACGATCCATATCTAGACGTTAGATGGTAGGGAATATGCGAAATGTGTTGCGGGGTATATGGATGATATCGGAAACAACGCCAAGAAGAGAGCAGTCGTCCAAGTATGTAATGACAACAGCAAAAAAAGAAAAGAAAAGAAATATCGACGTTGCGGAATTGCGTCAAGTATGCATGCAAATTGCTGGTCTTCCCCATCAGCATGACTTTGGAACGCCATGCTATGCTGTTCAAACAAAACGTAGAAGAAGGAGGCCAAGGGAAATGGGTATAATGGGATTGCAGATGAATGCAAATATGCAATGTCGAAATGTCGCCAGAAACTGTAAAAATGAAAGGTCCAATGGAAGGCCGTGCCATGCGTAAAGATGAGTGAGATAAGCGCAGCGTTTTCGTTTTCATGACTTCAGTTGTAGGTAGATGGCCAGCGGGCTTGTTTGTTCCAGAACGTTGTCCGTCTCCCGTCGATCGGGCCAGTCTGCTTTTGGCAACTGTCCGACCAAAGTGTTTCCGTCCTGGTTCTCCCATTCGCGGCGCCAGATTTCGAAGCTGAGCGCCCATCGGTGCATGAGTCGCCGTCTCCGCGCCTCGATCATCGAGTCGAGTCGATTCAAGTCCTTCAGGTATTGCAGGTCAAAAGTCCGCTTCTCTCGCTCAAAATCGGTATCCAATTGATGGAGCTCCGCCTGCTGCTTCAACAACTTCGTCTTTGCATCCTTCTCTTGCCTGGCTCTGAGCACATTTATAGCGCTTTCGTGCTTGGCGGGCAATTTCTCCTGTGTCGCGTACTGTCGTGCCAATTTCTTGCGGTCCTCGTCTGTCACTTTGTGCGCCACGTCTGGGTTGGCGGGGTTGTTGCCCGAACAGAATGCCGTCATGTACTTCAACGCAGTTGCGACGTTCTGGGCCTCTTGCGCATGCGCTTTGCGCAAATCATGTTCCGCCGCGATCTGAAACTCGTCTAGACGCTCTAGCTCAACGGCATGCTGTAAATCGGTAAGTATGCATAATCACGGACAAAAGGTCTGACTTCCGTCACTTACCTGTTTCGTCTTTTGCGTCTTGCTCGCTTCCAGCTGCGCGGCTGCCTGCTTCTGGGTCCAGTGGTAGTATGCGGATAGTGCTTTTCGTTGATGCATCTCAAATGCGGATACGCGCCGGAGTTGATCCATCTGCTGCGCTTGCAGTTGTTTGAAAGATGCGCCGGCAATGGCTGTGCGCAAGCGCTCCTCCTCCTCTGGGGTAAGCTCTTTGCTTGGGATTGCAGGCGCCATACTAGACACGTCCGACCGAGTCGACTGAGGAAGCATCGCAGTAGGAATGTCGATCGAAGATATGCCATCCTCGCTGTAGCCGGAATCCTGCAGCGATGACAGGCCAGGGGACCGCAGAGAGACTGTAGACGATGACACAATATCCACCTCGTCTTTAGATAGCACCGCCTCCAGTACAACTCGAGGGAGCGGCTTGCCGCAGCACGACGGGGCCGTATGTCCGTCCGCTCCCAAGGCTTCTTCGATGTGCACACGAACCGCGTATCTGGAAAGTGCATGGCCGCATTCTAGTTTCGGGGTCTGGGGTTTGCTGTGGTGGCCGTGGTGCGAACGGGAAGGACAGGAACTGGTATCATATTAGCCAAAGTTTTTTCTATAATTGACATCGTGATCTCACCTCGAATCCCTCCGAAACATGGCGAAAATTCCAGACGCGCGTTTGTGTTTGCGCGGAGAAGGTTTGGCGGGGCCGTTTGCAGCAGCAGCAACACTCGCACTGCGGAAGAGCGAGTTTGTGCCGGACGCAGCAGAACCCGAATGCCTGTGTTGCGCAGGACGGTATCGCTCCATGACCGCATCGTAGCTATCGTGCGAGAGGGAATTTCGGGTCATCGGAGGCTTGCGCATGGGAGAGGCGTAATCCACATTGCGGAAGTCTCCCGACGTCCGCGACGCTCGTGAGGGGTAGGACATGGTGCCTGTGGATTGTGTTTCTCGTGAATGGATAGACATGGAGCTGCGCTGTTCGCTGGAGAGGGTCAAGGTGGACATGGTTGAAGGGTGGTAGAGGTCGGGACATAGATGGCGATAGGGATCATCGATGCCGGAGTCGCGCGCGGAGAGGGCAAGTTGTGTGTCTACATCGTCCTCGTTCTGGCCCTGGGGGAAGTTGAGTGCTTCTGAGAAATAGAGGGCGTCGTCGAATATGGGGGCCGTTGTCAGGTCGGAGCGGAAGTCGCTGCCGTCGAGAGGGTCTGACATTGCTGCGCTGCAGCTGCAGCTGCAGGTGTCGTTATCGTTGTGGTAAAATGTGGTTGTGATTGTGGTTGGGGGTTGGGGTTGGGCCAGCGGTTACTGAAGTCGGAGGCGCCCACCGCAAGACCGACCCTGAGTGCGAGAGCGGATGCAAGTGCTAAAGCTCGGCCGGTAGTGACGTCGGAACATTCAAGCCGAGAGGGGGATGTGTGCATGCATAGAGGCCTCCTACTAGGAGGGTTAGGTAGGGTAAGATAGGTGGCTGGAGGCTTGAGAGTGCATTCGCACGTCTGTTTGTCGTGAAGATGAGATGGCTGAGGTAGGTGTTGGTATGTAAAGAGTGGAAGGGAAGAGTGGGAGGGGAGGAGGAGGGAGGAAATGGGCCGATGGTTTGAGTAGTAAGTAGTCGTAGTCGTAGCGAAGGGCGATTAGGTCGGGTATCTCGAGGAATTGTCGGTGTAGGTGGAGGTGTAAGTGTGAGGTCAAGTGCAGGTGGTGTAGGTGGAGAAGCGAGGGATGAATGGAGATTATGATTAGACTGAGAGCGGTGTGTGCTGTGTGTGTATGTGTTTGTGTCGTGGGAGTATCTAGTAGGGTATGAACCTTGTACGCAGGACAAGTAGGGGTTTAGATAGTCTTCTTGAAGTATCAGGTGGAGGTGAAGAAAAGTCGACTAGGATGATGGCGAGTGTGTTTGCCTACTGTGTATCGTGCACATATGGAGTGGAGAGATGGTTGCTCGTATCAGAATCCAGAAGCGGGAAGGGAGGGGTAGAAAGGTATAGGTAGGTAGACATTCGTTTACAAGTTACAACGATCATAGCCCTGTAGATAATGTAGATAATGTAATGGCTTAGGTTACAGGTATAATGGGACGAAACTAAACTACTGGGATTTGAATTCCATTCCCTCTAACCGAAGGACCAACAACGACAGGGCAGACGAAGATCCGGTCACTCCACTCCAACGACTCTACGGAGTATCTACAACCATCTACCACATTACTGGACTTCGGATTTCAATCTTTAGGCGTTGAAATCTGGAGTCTGGAGTCTGGGCTCTGGAATTGGCAGCCGCTGGACGTCTCTTAGTAAATCATTAGGAGTACAACTATGAGTAGGCGAATAGCTAATCTATTAGTTAACTACGAGTAAGAAAGAAGACAAGAAACGATTCATGGGTTCACGATGTCCGGTACTTAGCAGCGGCACCGGTCAGGGAAATTCAAACATCAAACTTCGAACTTATCCTAATCTAACTAATCCGATGCCCGGACGGAGCGAGAGGACACAGAGAGAAAGGCACGAAAGGTAGGGAATTTGGTTGAGAAAGGACGCCGTCTGCGGCAGACTGTGGATAACAGGTAGACTAGACTAGATGGACTAGATGGACTACCTAGGGGGACACCTACTCCGTACGGTGGGACGCTGATTGATGACGCTGTTTGACGGAAAAGATTAACTAAATGAAACGGTGTTGCATATATCTTCAGAACTACTTTTATCACACGTACGTAGATATTGATATGGTTGGATATAGATACGGATATGGATATGAAGTGAATATCGATTTGGCCAACTACTTACCTAGATAACTGCACATGTACTCCGTACAGCGTATATGGACATGGAAATAATGGAATTGGCTACAAGGCCAAGCCATCCAATCCATGGATACTGTACGGAGTAATTCATCATCGAGGCATCTATTCACACATTGCCTCTTCGAGTACTCATTACCACCGCCTATAGTCACTTACTCATATCTTGATCATCATCATCGGCATCTACAACTACAAACACAAGTAGTAACTACGAATCCAAGGGTCCTTACCGCGCGTCGCCGGACGCCCCCTACTAGTACCACTCCAACCCCTTCAATCTCCGAACCATTCGAAACATTTCAAAAACCGGCGGGCGGTCCTCATCGGACTTTCTTCCCCGGCTACCCCAAAGCGAAACACAAAAAACAACCATTTGATAGTCCTTGCTCCAAGAAGAAGAATATCGAAATATTGAAACAGAACGAGAAACAGAGACAAGATGGTATAGCAAATCAATCAGCCATCGTCCTGTCTGTCTCTGTCTGCTCGACTTGGCGTCGATCCCCAAGGTCGTGCGGCGCGCATTCCAACATCCGCGAGAGGCCGCCGCAAACAGACAGTAAAAACACTCCTACCTAGGTAGGCAGGACAGCAATGACAGTCCACATCCCACTCTCTCCGCACAGAAATGCAGGAAGGATCCCAGCGAAGGATTCACTCGCTTGGTCATGGAATCGCAACCCGCACGAATCAGGACCGACTGCCCGGGCATCCGGACGCAGGAAGAGGAGATGCGGCGATGGTTGCGTCGCTGCTTTGCATGTCTACCTACCCTCTGACTACATATCATAGGGTGGGCGTATGGGCAAATGGGTGGATAGAAATCCTCTCGTATGATAATGATGCATCTCACCATAATCCGCACGCGACGAGGCAGGACAATCGATTCAGTCTCCCTCTCTCCCTCTCTTTCCCCCAGTATTAGTGATAGGGTTTCACAATGAGTCGCTTCGATGTCAGGATAATGATGATCGACCGTGGTACAGATTAGCACCAACGTCGTCTAGTAGCGATGGTGGTTGGTCCCGGATTCATAGGCCTTCTGCGCCAGCGGTGACAGCGGGGGGACGGATATCACTTTGTATGGACTGTGTGACTACTGGTGTTCGCTGCTGTGTATGTGTGTATGTATGCGCTGGTATCTTCGTCGTCGGTGGTGGTATCTAGCCTCCGCCTTCTATCCTCCATCAGGTATCTCCGCCTCCCAACGGCGGCCTGTCAATCCAACGATCCGTATCCTCTCTTCCCCTCTCCGCTTCTCCCATTCCAAATCGTCCCAATCATCATTCAAAAACTGGTGCACTAACGGAATCTCCTTCGCCAAACCTGTCCGTCTGGCTTGCTGCTTATGGTAAACGGTCTCAGAGAGAAGTTTGGTACCGCAGACCTGTTGTGCGAAGACGCCAGGTACGGAGGGGAGGAGGGGAGGGCGAACTACGCTACGCCTTACCGTATTTTTACCTTGCTTGCATGATATGATGCAAGGACGGTAGGGAGGAGGATAAGAGAAGAGGTGAACGGTTGCACAACCGTACAGCTGGATCCTGACGAATCGCTGGGCTTGAGATAGGGCGGACAAGCATTGCCTTTTTATAGACAAGACAAGTAACGAACTACTCGCTCAACCAACCATTTATTCCCAATTACTCCGTAACAATGGTCGATGCCAGTAACAGTCCTCCGTAGACTCTTCCTCCGTAGTTCAGGTAATTATCTATGAATAAAAAAACAATAGAGAACAAGATCGAAACCCACAAAACAATACGTAGGACGCTCACCAATCTTCCTCTTCCCACAACTACACACCTCCATACACAATCTCCCTTATCCCTCCAACACCAATTCTCCGCCCTGTCGGTATTGCGGCAGTTTCGGTTACACGCCTGTCTCTTCTCGCTTGCTTGCTGCCCTATGGTGCTGTCGCCGTATGTCTAGGATATCGGGTGTTGATATACGCCCCACGGTATCTACACCACAATGCATCGTGGGATGGGGTTGCGAGGTATGAGATTGTACGATACAATTACATACGTCCCATATCAACTACTTGTACGGAGCAGAAGGTATGGTATCCCTGGGTACGTACTCCGTACTCCGTACTCTGGAAGAGTGTGGGTAGATATGAGCAGGTGATAGGGGACATTGCACAATAGGGGCATAGGCATTGGGTCCTGAAGGGCAGTTTTTGGTGTTTGGGTGTAGCTGTATGTAGGTACATGCACACATACAGGGGGGAAGTATCTATTCATTCGGTCGGGATGATCATGTTTTGTTTCCTTGTTTCTTGTGTGTGACCGGGGGAGTTGGATGATGGGTGCTTGTAAGTTGTGGTGGTGGGGTTGCTTGGTTGATACGCCGCGTTCATGGATTCGATAGATGATGGCGAGGGGTTTTGTGAGACGTTGATTCACGTCGGAGGATACGGCCTCCGAGGTTTCTAAAGATGGGTGTTTTCAAGGCTAAAGGCTAGATAATTGATCACTGCTGTTGTACATGGGGTTTTACTTGTTTTCTTAGAAGACAGCGTATACGAAGCAAAAGCCGTACTCCAAACCGATTATGTGGTTGATTAGATGGTAAGTCGTCACTACGTCTGAACAAACAGGTATTGCCATACACGAGACGATATTGGATATCGTTGAACAGAAAGTCTAGACCGACAGAGATCTTGTCTATTAAAAAGGGCTAGTTCCGGGCGTTTTGGACGTCTAGTTCCATAAAATGCATGCCCTTGCGACGGAAAAGGACACATGTACGGGAGTATGTAGGAATTGGAAGGGTTTGGTAGTACAGTGCCGGGACGAAGAAACACCTCATACAATTGATGTGCACATGACGGATGATATCCTTCGTTTGTGATACAAAAGGAAACGACGGACGAAAACGAAAAAAGAAACTTGGGATCTGAGCCCAGGCCTTCCTGGCTGCTCTCTTTACTCTCCCTCGACGCCTCGAGGTGAGCTGCTCGCTCCTCTTCATGTAGATAAACGCCTGGCGGGTAAAATGCCGATGCCACAAAGATTATACAAAAGAACAGGAAAGAAAATGGACACACAACCACCTAGGATACATTGTAGAGAAAAGAATCAATCGTCTACCCTGCGATGAGAACCCAGAGTAGAAAGACTGTCAGGGGACGTTAGTTATGCATTGTCAAACGTCAATGAAAGACGAGGGAAAACCTTACATATCATCAGGACGCCAAACATCTTGGCCACAAGCCACCGGTTCCCTTGAACACGGTTCCAGTACTTCATCAACTCCCGCTGTGCGCCCTCGACGTTGTCGACGACATCCTCGGTATTAGCGTCAATCCGCTGGATCTGCTCGCCTTGCTCCGAGACCATCTGTGCCAATTGGCCGAATATACTGCCAAGTTCTGTAATGGTGCTCTCGATCGATTCTATTGCCTGCCCACGCTGCTGGATGTATGCGTTCTGCGGCTGCGCTTCTTCCATGAGCAGGAGTTGCGCATCTGTCTGTGGTCCGCGGGACAAAGCAGAAGAACCTGAAGGCTCAAGCGATAGCAAATCCTGTTGTGCCGCATTGGTGGTCTGAAAGCCTCCAGGCGAACGGCCGCGCTGGGGCGTCTGATAGAGAGGCGAGTCCGTACGGTTAGGGTCCAAGCTGGTCTGTGAATGCGATGCGGCAGACGAAACAAATGCGTCTTGTCGAGATCGCGAGGCCTGGATGTTCTTGGTCCGAATCTCGAGCACCTCCTTGAAGTTCCCTCCTACGCCCTGAAGCTGCTCGTTCAAGAGCTTGACAACCTGCCGGCTGTGCTCCCCCTCCTGATCTGCAGTCTTGGACGTCGGATGTTGCTTCGCGGTGAGCCCCTGCAGACTCTTGATCTGTGAAGTGAGTTGTGCCATGTCCTGCTTGATCACAAATGTGAGTTCGTTGATCTCTACTGGCCGATCATCGAACAGAGTCTTGCGCTTCGCCAATTGTGCCAATCGCTCGAGTTTCGCCATCGTGCCCGAGATGCCGCGCCCGACCTCCGCGGCCTGCCGCGCGAACTCAGAGCGCTGCCTCTTGGGACCAGAGCCATCTGCGTCGGCCTTCTGCTGAGCAGACAGAAGGGACTGTCGCTGTGCGCCGACTTTGGAATGTGCTTGCTTTCGTTGCGCTTGTGCAAGGATGGCGCGGAACTCGTCCGTTCGGTCTTGTATCGACACGGCCATGGTGAGTATTTGTTGTTATAGAGGGCGGGAAGCGGATGAGGATCGAAGAAAGGGAGCGGGATGGAAGTTGGCGCTTCGACTGGCGCAGTCGCCTTCAGGAGGCGATGGGGCGGATCCTTTGTCGATGAGAGGCGACTGTTAGGTACGGGGCGACTCGAAGTATGTGTTGGTTTCTGTAGTGTGGATGCGTGATAAGATAGAGTACAGATGTCAAAGGCGTCGAGGTGTCGGAGAGTGTGTATATGGACTATGTGGGAGCGGAATATTACTGAGAGGTTGTGTTGAATGAATGTTTCATGACAGAGTACTCGTATGGGTTTGGGTTCTGGAAGTCCGTGAACGGATGGACCACGTTCCCGCTCTCCTTAGTATACTTAGTCCCATTCAGGTCTAGCCCAGCATATAATTACCTAAATTAACCTGCTAAAGTCAAATAAGGTTAGCTGCAATCAGCCACACATTCTCTCTCAAATTCCTGCGCCACCTTCTTGTGTATTCGTACTTCAATGTTCCCCTCTAGATGTGCTGGCAAAACACCTGATAGATACGAAGATGATATTTGCAAAGTAATCTTGCCCAATACGATAGGTTGGTAATTGGCATTAAGCTCTCCATGCAAATACTATCAAGTTCTTACTTGTAGGTTGACATATAACACGGCGTGAATCATGTTCAAGGATATCAATGGATGGACACCGCATATCACCGCCACGGGGTTACAAAGATTGCACATGTAGACAGACATACGTAATTGCTTGTAACTACCTCATAGGTATGAAGTACTCACATATGTAGCTGTAGAATATTATGCGGTTTCGTCGTGGCGCGTTTGGAGATCTGCATTGCCGCTAAGAATGACCCAATCCATAGCCATACTGACTTGTACTAATACAATTCCATGTCCCATGTCATGCTTTCCAATTCAAGTCAGCCCTGCCCTCACCTTCACACCACATCCCTCGTCACCTTTGACCCTCGCATACCATACCATCGCGGTGAAATCGCATCCTTGAGCTCCCAACGCTCGTCGAATATAGCCTAGAACTGATATCTCGCACTCCCTGGCTCTGCGACTGCCCTTAGCCTGTGTTCCATAACCCCCCTGTTTATGCGCCGCGAGATCTAGCAAGGCCCGAGGGCATTTCCCTGAAGTGTCGTCTCCGCGCGAGACCGCACACTCTCCTGAGACACAACATAGAGGCTCCCGCAGTTGGGCTTCCAGTCTAATGTCATTATGTCTGGCCCGTATAGATTCACGCAGGATTCAGCTCGGTCGCCGCTGTAAGTGATGATCTCGGTAACCTGCCAGCTTTTGCATACTGACATCATGCCCAAAGAGACAGACAAGCACCCAACGTCTTCCAAGCTGGTCAGCCGCCATCCTTCAAAACAAATGTCAATCGCGCGAAAACAAAGAAGTGGGTGGAAGCCAAAAAGAATGCATACGATGGCGACGATTGGGGTGATTACGACGAGTACGACGAGTACGGTACAGAGCAAGCTCCTCCTCCACCGCCACCACCACAGGAGCCCGCCTATCGCCCACGGATAGGTGAACCGTCCAGGAGCTTCACGGATCCCATGCAGCAAGGTCCTCCGCGCGCCGCAAGACGAAATTCCTTTGAGATGGGAGACGAGTCTCGAACATTCTCTTCTGCGTACCCTCAATCAAGCCAGGCGGGAGTGGCTCACGGTGGGCAACAACCTTACGGGCAGCAACCACATGGCGCATCCGTGCCTGCGCCTACTGTGGACACGAGGCACCCGGGAATCAGACAAGCAAGCGCTGCGGAATCGGATACAAGTGACACTCCGCAACATAGAAGGGACTTCAGTCCTTCCGCTCTGCCCCCGCCGCTCGTGACGCGATTGCCCGCAGCTGGAGGGACTGGCTCTGAACCGCAGTTCGCTCCCAAGAGTGTTCCAGCTCAGTATGATTCACCAACCGCCATGTCCCCAACGGATCGCGACACTGGGAAACCTCTTCCCTTCATCCGTCCGGCTGATATATACAAACGCGCCGAGGAAGAGCGCCAGAGGGAGCGTTCTTCAATAGACTCGTCACGTCCGAGCATAGATTCTATGGGCCACCCTAGAAATCAACCGTCAGTAGTGAACGATGCAGGCAATGCGCCTAATGCCGCGGTGGGTAGCAACATTGCGGACTCTACGCAGGGATCTATCGCTCAGCAATCGGAGAGTTTTTCCAACCAGCCCAAGATACCACCGGTGCGGGGTCTATCAGCTTTCGACAATGAGTTTTGGTCGGATACTGCCCAGATCGGACAACCGTCGGTCACAGCACCTCCAGATGACCAGGGCTTCCGCTCAGTTGTTGACCAAGCATTCACTCGCAGCGATGATCAGAGATCAGTGCCACCTACCCCAATTTCGAAACAGGACGACGAGGAAGGGATCTCGCGAAGTAACACCAACAGCACGGCCGGAATCAGTCCAATCATGAGCCGCGTCCCGAGCTCTGCAACGGCAGCACTGAAAACTCGCAACCAGCTTGGTGGTGATGGAAGCACCCCTGTTATTGTCGAAGAGGCGAGTGAATCTACTCCGCCCGGTTCTCGACCAACGTCTTCAGGTATGCTTAAAGGGCCGTACCAGGTTGCACGAAAACCTTCCCCCAGCCAATCTCGCACTGTTTCCAGCACGTCCCTACCCCAGAGTGGTCTTATCACGCCTTCTCGTGGCCAAAGCCCTGCTCGCGCACCCGCCTTACAATCTCAACAACCGACACGCGAACCTGAGTCTGCTTTCCTTAGCTCTGATAAGTCTCCTGTTGACGCTATGGAAGGAGGTCTTAGTGGACCCTCTGCTGAGTATGCGGACCGTGAAGCCGATATCGCGTCGGCAGTTAATTCGAGCCCGGAGCACATTCCCCCCGGCCTAGGTGCTGCTTCCAAGGAATCTCGAGACGCCTTTCTTGATTCTCATCAGAATGCTCAGTCACCAATTCACGACAGCCTTCCACGATCCCGCTCAGAATCGCCCAGCAAAGGTCGTGTGCAAGAGCTCGCTGGAAAGTTCGGAGATGTCTCCCATTCGCGAAGAGGGTCAGTGCAGTCCAATGCATCAAGGACAAGCGTTCAATCCTGGGAGAAAAGCCAAGATAACTCAAGACCTTCGTCTCCTACAAAGCCAGCACCTGCCACGGAAAGGCCGACAGCGGCTCGAGAAGTCAGCTTCCGACCAAAATTGCCAGGTCAATGGGAATCGTCTGCAACAACGGATCAGTTGCCTTCGGATTCTAATTTGGGCTCGAGCGCAACGGAAGTAGCCAACGACACGGCGCATGTTGGCGAAAACAATGCCGTGACGTCGCCACTTGGTGCTGTTGATTTGACTCCTACTACGGACAAACATGCCATCTCGTCCGCTGAGCCGTCCAAATCGGAGACGGACCCACTTGCGGCGCTCAAAGCAGCCGGTAATGCCATTGGTGATGCGCTTCACGCATCAGTCGGGTCGAGCTTCATGCAACCTACAGACAATCGCGAAGGACAGGAGCATGCCCGCTCTGTGGGCGATGTCTATCTCTCTCGTCCTCAACTTGATCGAGCAGCTTCCTCGACAGCTTCAAGCATCCCTCCAACTCCACCAGAGAAGGACACTCCAGAATTCGAAGATGTGCCGCCTCCCCCACCTCTGAAAGAGAAAAGTCCCGAGCCCACTTCTCCAGGCAGCCAGCTGCAGACTCCAACAAGGCCAGCTATGCTGCCCCAGTTGAGTACCGATCCGTCTGCTCATGATCAAGAAAGCGACAGGCTTCGAAAGGAGATTGTTGCAAGTTTGAGTCCGCTACGGGCCTCAGAAACTGCCGGTTCCGATCCTAGTCACATGTCACTTCAACCTGATCCTGCATCTACCAAGCAGCGAGAGAGTTCAATCTTACCCAGTGAATATGACAGCTATTGGGCTGACGATGATGATGGTTCCCGTCGACCATCTCAGGACCTTAAGCGCAGTGGCACCGAGCAATCTGTTGTAGCTTCGGGGCCATCAGCAGTGCCTCCTCCTTCCGTGCCACAGCCGTCTCTGCTCAATCGGTTCAGCTGGGAGGCATCAAAGGCATCGGACGCAGATGAGCAAGCACAAGCCGGTGCTGGTGCTCAACCGTCAGTTGGGCAGGAAGGAGAGTCTTCCCAATCACAAACGAACCCGCAATTAGAGACCAAGGACTCTGTCCAGTCGTTCGAAGGTGTGCCCGAGCCATTCTTTGGACCCGGCCACACGCCTGCAACAGCTCCTCCAGATCCAGCCAACGATGCACAATTGAACGTGCGTGCTCCCACTCCACCTCCAGAATCTGCCAACGAACCTGCTAGTCCAGCAGAGTTTGGAAGTGAGCCGGAGAGGGTGGCTTCACCTGCGTCTGGTCTACATGTGGTCAACTCTGCCATCAACCCTGAGGCTGTAGACTTGCCTCCCCGCCTCAGTGCTGATGCGTCCCCTGCATCGCAGCCTCCCCAGGCTATTGGCAGCCAGGAGGACACTTCAACCCCCCAGGCCAAATCAGCATTGAATGATGCCGTAGTGCCCGCGTCTCCTACTGCACCGCAATCTGCTACTTCGCCAACTGAAAGGTCTCCCACAGGAGATAAGCCATTGGGATTCCGAGACATTGCTAACATCAAATCCCCATCAGAGAGGATAGTCACATACAACAAGACTAGAGATTACTGGGCCAACGCAGATCATGGCCTGAATGAATGGATTGCTTCTGCTTTGATCACCAATCCTGAGCTCGCATCTCAGACACCATCTCAGCCACGACCGTTCGTCAATTCCTCGGCCTCGATGTCATCGCGTCACAAAGCAACCCCTTCGCTTTCCCTATTCAGCAAACATCACAGCGTTCAGTCTCAGCACCCCGACCAACAAGGCTCTCCCATTACTGCGCCAAGTTTGTCGAGTGGACCTGGAGAACATCGTCCTGCCGGCTCTAGTTCTGGCGGTCCCGGTGCAAGAATCACGAGCCAACAGATGCAGGCTAAAGGAAAGGATCTACTGCACACTGCTGGCGTGCTGAGCGGCAAGGGCATGACGGGAGCTAAGGGACTATTCGCAAAGGGAAAGAGCCGGTTCAGGGCAAGCGGAAGTGGCGATAAGGTAGATAAATGATTTTCCTCTCGTTATTTTCACAAACTTCTTCCTTTGGTCTTTCTTGCTCGAATGACTTGCTCACGACGATTTCCTTTTTTTTTCTCATTACGAACTTGAGGGATTGGTTGACAAGACTGTTGGATCGGCTGGAAACACGCCTCTAGCTCTCACGTTGTCTAGCTTCATTCGTTTCCAGTGCTGTCTGTCTTGTTTACCGCATTCTCTGATGGATCGGCCCCCTTCTCTAAAGGGGGCCATGGCATGTCTCTCCATAAATGAAATGTTTAAAATCCAAATCATGTTCCCCACAACGTTAGCTATACAAAAGACACAAAATGTTGATTGTGATGTAGGACGCCCCTTCCGACTCCGCGCCCTCTTCGCGCGAGGCATCCGAGGAGCCCGAATGGGTCACCGTTACGCCCCGAATGTCCATGGAGACTCCCACCGAGAGCCCCAAAGACTCCAAAAAGAAACGCCGCTTCTCGTCCCCGTTCCACCGCTCCAGCCGCTCCCGCTCGCGACCGAACTCCATCGCGCTGCCCCTCGACTTCGGATTCGGCGCCACGCCGAGGAGCACTCCGCCCCGCGAGACGCCGCCCCCACTGGACTTGGTTGGACGGCCGAGCAGGGAGGATGGTAGCAGTCGCGCACACTCATTCCGCGCGCCAGACGACTGGGACGTCGTCGGCGGGTACGACATTGCACAGCCACAGGCGACGAGTCTGCACACCTTAGGCTCCACCACCACCACTACCACCGCTGCCACGCCGCCGCGCTCCGTCCCAGACAATACTCGACCTCCCGAACGACTGGGGATCCTGCCCAGCCCTGCGACGAGTGCGTTCTCGATTATCAACCGCGGCAGGGAGGGCAGCGACGGAGAGATTCCACCCGTCCCACCGATTCCGAACGAGATTGAGGGGGCCGAGACGGCGAGCCAGAGGATGTTGGAGTCGGTGGTTAGGTATTCGAGTCCTTCGCCGATAGAGGGAATAGAGGGGAGAATGTTGGGCGCGAGTCCGATGCTGGAAAGGGACACGATTGCTGGAGCAATTGAAGAGGAATCTTCAGAGGAAGTCAAGGGTCACGGAAGGGCTGATGAAGATGTTGCGAATGATGCTGGACCGAACGCGGGCTTTGTTGAAATTCAACCAGTTGCCGTACATAATGATGCGAACGATAAGGGCGCAATCGAAGACACATCTGCGGAGGAAAACAAGAATCACGGGAATATCAACATCGACGAAAACGATACAAGCGAGACTGGAGCAATCGAAGAGACATCTTCAGAAGAAGGCACAGGTCTTGGAAACCTAAAGGTTAGCGAAAACGATGCAAACGACGCTGGATCAGATGCAGATTCTGATGAAGTTCAACAAGTCGCCGGAAGCGATGATGCAAATCGCAATGGAGTTATCACGACAAATAAACAAATAACACCAGAAGAGGCTTCCCAGGAGCCTTTCCAAATGCTGGTCAAAGAGGCAATGGGTCAGGTTGATGATGATTCGTCTCAGCAGCCGGACGAAGTACTCGAAGTCGTTGCTCAGCCATCAATTGAGATCGACAATGGGCGCAGGCAGCAGCCTGATGAGGACAAAGTCCGAGAACCCCGAGATGCAACAGATGAAGATCATGGCAAGCAACCAAACCCTTCATCTGAGATACAAACCGAGGCTGCTGCGAGTACTTCTCCAGCGACAGAGACTTCCTCCGAGGTGCAGTCTCCCAATGTGGGTCTTAAACCTGTAGGGCCGAATGTCGGCTCCATTGAGACAAGCAACGAGGTTGAGTGCTACGATGACGATGACCAGCCACCAGTTTTGAATCACGACCCGCTTCCCGCAACACCATTACAATCGCCAGGGACCGTGCCCGTGGCGGCGTTTTCAAGCGACGCCGCCCCTAGGAACGCGCCAAACGGGACATCACATGACGAGGAAGTAGTGAGGATCGGAAGGCTGCCAATACGAGTCGATGTAAGCCCTATGATTTCTGCCACCAAACCAGTCCTCATCACTGCACCTGCCTCCTCGCACACGTCACAGCCAGGCATGAGCAGCGGGCGCCTAGAAATAGGGGCAGGCGACGTCTCACCCATCTCAACGCACCAGCTAGACGATGAAGTCGACGGGAGCGACGAGGCTGAAAGCAATCGCAAAGGTGGAATAAAAGCGATGCGATCGCCGCCCGGACGCGATCAGGCAACGACCAACACGACATACGCGACAGATGCGACTGCGGATGCAGATGCAACACCGACAATGAGAAAACAGCCGCCCCCAAAGGTGATGACGATGATGAGCCCAGCGTCGGCATCCATTGGTACTCCCATGCGAGAATTCAAGCAGTACCTGGAGAGCGCATTTGGCGACAGAGAAGAGGAGGAGCAGCAACAGCACCAGAAGAATGTTTCTGTCGTGAACCATCAGCAAGAACGACCACAAGAGGGGGAGCAGCAGCAGCAGGGGCAGGGGCAGCGACAGCAACCCGTGCAACAACAGCGACCAAAGCAGCAGCATCAGCAGCAAACCGAATTTGATTCAGCCGCATCAGGCGAGGCCGAGAACCAGGGCTCAGGACCAGGCTCAGGACCAAAAGCCAAGATGCCTGTAATCAAGGGTGACGATGGTGAGGAGGGAGATCTAACACCGCGCGCCCCGCAAGCGAGTGGCAGTGGAAGTGGCAGTGGCACGGATAGCGTGACAGGGCCTGATGCGCTCTTGGCAGCCGCTAGACCTCCTTTGCAACAACGTCTCTCTGCTTCCCCATATCAAGTCGTCCACGCCGTCGAGTATTTCGCTCAATCCACTTCCTCATTCGAGACAGAGGCATGGGACCAGGAGAGTGTCGGCATTCCGTCTCAGTCTGGAGGTAGCCGGCGTGGTAGCCAGCGTATTGATAAGCTTGATGACAGTGACGCGCCCCCTATGCCTAGCCCTGCCATCCCAACCCTCGAACAGCATCAAGTCAATAAGCAACCATCAAGCTCAGGCACTTATCCAATGAAAGCAATGCCGCCGAGCATTGCGATCGGTGACTATGGGCCTCGATCGGCACCCACCCATCTAGAGCCTAAACAACGTCATTCAGGCGATGCCCTGGACCTTCCAGCAGAGTCTCCTCCGTACCACAAACGTACTGAATCGCTTTTATCTGCGATATCTTCGGCGGTCTCTGCCGATGGTGGACCCTATTCGCCAGCTTCAAGCGGGGGACGATCCCGTCCTTCGAGTCGCCAGAAGCAGGCATCGCCAGGAAAAGCACCCACAGTTGGGCCAGTCGCGGAAGAACCGGGTCCATCCAAACCATCGACTTCTGCTGTTTCTGACAGCGATGACTATGATTTGTACGCGGATCATGATGGAGTCGTGAAGGACGTCAAGGATGAACTTGGTCAGCCACTTAGGGTTGGTACGGGCGAAACTCCCGTGATATCGAACGGCACGAATTCGAAAGCGCCGGTTGCCCCAGTACCAGTCCCAGTACCAGTACCAGCGGAAGAGGAGCTGGAAGAGCCGCCCACCAGATACAGCATAGAGCGTCCCATGAGCTTCGTTTCGAGCCATCGTGATGCAAACGGCAGGCCTCAAGATCAGATAAATCGACCGCCCACAGGTACAGCAGATAAGGATGCGCCACCCGTACCTCAGATTCCTGGGCAGTTGCTCGCTCAGCAGGCTCAACCCCGTCCATCTGGGCCCTCTGTAGCAGACAATTCGCATGCACAAAGTATCAACCAGCCTAACGGAATTGGCAAGAATTCTCCAGATGCACAATCGGGATATCAGACTATATCTCCTCCCAACGGAAGTATACGATCTGCTGATGGCCAGTCTCAACCACAGAGCCAGGTGTCATCACCTCCGATGAGCAACGTCTCTCCCCTGCCCCAAGCAGCAGCTCTACAGGCGCCCAACCAGAGAAATGCACCTCTTAACCCCATGGCGCAAAATGCATCACTCCAAGGCTTCCGGATGCAAGATCCTATCAGACAGGACCCTCGTTTCCAAGATCCTAGATTCTTCCAGCAGAATCAACAAAGACAACCAACGCTGAACGCGCAAGGGTATTCTCAGGATCCACGGTCGCAACAACTAATGGGGCCTCCTGCCAGTGAGTATGAACGTCAACAACAAATCATGATGGCACAACAGCAACAAGCTAGAGACCCACATTTTCTGTCCAGGTTGTCGATGGAACATACAAGGAAACAGGAAGAGAAGGCTTCTTCGAAACCAAAACTTTCAGCCGTCTTCAAAGGTCTAGGTGGTAAGATTCACTCGAATTCATCAAAGACTCCTACTCCACCGCCACCAAGCAATGCCATCGGCAATGTACCACCAAATGCGGACCCGAATGGCATGGCTTCCTATCAACCGTCACCAAGCCAAGATCCTGCAGATCAAGCTGCAACTCGTGGTCTTAGGCGGACTAGTGGCGTAGGACCTCCAGCGCACCGACGTCGCAGCCTTGGGGTAGAATCGCATATTTCCCACGTCTCCCAAGATAGCACCAAAGTCCAAGCCGCAGACTCGCGACTCGATCTTAGATACCCCTCGAGCCCTGCCCCATCTCATGGGATCCCACCTCAGCAGCCGCCGCCTGGTGCATCTCCACGCCCTTCCCCGCAGCAACGCGTCACGTCCACAGGCGTACCGGAAACAGGGAAGAAGAAGAGGTTCTCTGCTCTAGGGGGTCTGTTCAACCGGAGCTCGACCGCAAATAACATCCCGACGACGAAAGTCAAGTTGAGCAAGGAAGAGAAGAAGGCCCAAAAGTCTCAGAAGCATCCAATTGCCCCCCAAGTCCAGGCCCCCGCCGTGCAGCAATGGCCAGGTCAGGATCCGAGGATGCAAATGCGCCCTGGACAGCAAGCTATGCCGCCGTATGGTCAGCCTTTGGCTCCTGGGCAGTCGTATCCTGGTATGCCGCATCAGGGAATGCCGCCACAGGGAATGCCTCCGCAGGGAATGCCTCCGCAGGGAATGCCTCCGCAGGGAATGCCTCCGCAGGGAATGCCTCCGCGGGGAATGCCGCCTCAGGGCTACCCTCCTCAGGGTCAGCCTCAACAGCCAATGCCTCCGTACAACGAACAGCAAAGGCAGCACGCTATCCAAATGCAAATGCAAATGCAGATGCAGATGCAGATGCAAAATCAACAGCGTCCCCAGCAAGGTCCCCAACAAGGTCCCCAACCAGGTTCCCAACAAGGCCCAAATCCATCGGCGGAATCTGCTTACCTAGGCACTCGGCAGCTCCGAATGGTACACGATTCCCGGCGGTCCAGTGAGCAACATGGTCGACCAGGGCCAGGTACCCAGTCTCCAGTTGCTGTTCACAGGCCATCTCAAGAGGACGAGGGCCAGCCACCGTATGAACCTCCTCGCGAAGGTTACTATCAGCCGGATCGTAAGCTTCCTCTGCCAGAGCAATCTCCTGCAACTCCGCAGTCGGCTCCTCAGCAGCCATTCCGACAGCAACCTCCACAACTTTTATCTGCCCCTACTAATCAGTCTGTACGGAGTGTGTCATCACCGATTCCCAATCCTAGCTTCGATTCCGCTGCGCCGAACAACCAGCGTCGTGTGAGCTCTCCGCCCAGTGGTATCACGTACGAAACTCCTCCCATCCCAGCAGCCTATACCCATGTTCAAGGTGCCTACATATCGTCTGGCAGCGGATATGCACCGGACCAGCAACACTCTCAGCCTCCACCCGCCCATACAACTAGGCAAAACTCGGATGGGCAGATGCAACCCCTATCACCACAGATATCTGGTCAGTCTCAGTATGTTGCCGGGCAGCGTCACAATTCGGATTCTAGCTCTGTGTCCTTGGTGTCGCCAGTCGTTGCCCCTAACCAGGGAGCGCCAAATGAGAACCCACAGCAGCGAAACCAGAACAGAATGAGCAGCATTTCGGAGGGCTCCACAGTAGAGCGACCCTGGAATCTGAATCTGCCTGCTGGTGCCACGGAACAAGAGATCGTGCGTGCGCGACAAAGACAATACATGGAGCAGCAAATCGCTCATAATCAGCAATTACATGCTGAAAGGACGGGCAAATCTCCATCGCCGCAGCCAGCTAGCCAGGCTCAATCTCAGTCTCCACAGATCGCAGCTGCGAGAGCTCATCAACAGCAGCAACAGCAGCAGTTACATGGGCACCAACAATCCCCACATCACCACAGTCCGCAAGGTGGTTTCCGGGAGGTTCTTCCACGCAGCCCTGCTCATTCTATAGACCCTTCGCAGGAACAGCATGTCTCGAGGCCCATGGCAGAGAACCAACATCAGCAACAACCTCCACAAGTACCCCAGCCAGGGAACCAGCGGCCAGCTCAACCTGCACCAATACATCCCAACGCGCCCATTCAACCTGCAGCCTACCCTCTTCCCCTCTCTCCTCAGACCATCCGAAGTCCTGTAGATCCTAGAGCAAGTACGCTACCACCGCCACCTCCACCAGACCACATGGGAAGGCCAGGCTTCCCGGCCAGCCAGCCTCCACCCATCCGCCCGCAGGAGCACAGCCAAATGCAGGGGTATGACAGTCAGTCTGGGACTCAACGGTCAGACTATGATCAGCCACCAGACGAGCCACCGCCTTCCTACGACGGCCCTGGCATATCCAACGAGGGTATGGATAAGGAGCGCCACCGACCTCCACATATCACGATTGACAATGAAGACCGTGCTCGCGAACCCCGCCAGCGTCAAGCCTCCATAGGAATCTTGCAACATCCTACTCCAGCCACGATGGCAGCTTCGCCCCAACGATCGTCCGCCGATATGGGTGCCGACAGCCTCATGCGCCAAATGCTCCAGTCCGAAGAGCGCGATCGGGTAGAACGACTCCAACGAGCCGAGGCACAGAGGATAGAGAACCAACGCGTCCGGGAGGAGCGAGAAAGAGCTCGTGCTCGTGCTAGAGAGTTGGAGCGCAGTGTCTCTGGCGGAGGCAGAGTCAGCAGCCTCAGAAGTGTGCGGGGAAGCACAAATGGCAACACCTGGGTCGCCAGGTCGGGAACCACAGCTCGGCCTGTTTTCGAACTGCCTGCCGAAGAAGATGACGAACCTGTCATGAGGGCCACCAGTTTCCCCGGTCAGGAATGGGTGCCAACATGGCACGAGGATTAGATCACCGCTTCTTCGTTTTGCCTTTCTTCTTGTTTTATTCTTGGCCAAAGCTCGAAGCGCTCGAACTTTGTGCCCTTTCCTTGAGTCACTTTGCGCACTTTCCGCTTTCGCTTTTAAATAATTTGAACACTGATCAGTACTTTCGGCGGCATTTACAAAACTTTTCTTTTTTTTCCATATACCAAAGCAAATCTTGGATTGGACGTTGGATACCCACATTTCCCTTCAAGCTTTCCATTTCATCTCCAAAATTCTCTTACTGTATTTCATACCATCCTACTTCATCAATAACTCTCAACCTAACACATTTGTAATTACATTCGAATCAAAACTTCTGACTCACAGGAGATCCGTGTTCAATAATTAATATACCGTGGTTGACCACAATCTTCCCTTGCAATTTGACAACGAGGCATTGTCCACGAACAAGCCTATGACTTCTTACGGTTCTTCTATACTGACTTTCCCCAATTTTGGTCGTTTCCTGATGGTTCTCCCGATATTTCGAGCAGTCGTTCTTTGGCGCGCAACATTTATATATTGGAACTCCTAACACTTACCTACCACGTTCCTCAATGACGGGTCCGCATCGAATATATAAAAACCCCCTTCGAGCCTTTCAGCCAGCCCCCATCATCCATCACACATCAAGTCCATCAAATCCATCAAACAACAATACAGGCCCATCCCATCAAGATCCACCCTGCGAGCTATCCAGCCCGCCAACCGCATCATACCAGAAACCAAATCCATCCCGTCAACTATCCACCTCTTTCATCCACAAAAAAATGGCCCTCCGAAGGCTCCTTCCCAACTTCTCCCGCCAAAACCTCAACAAGACCCCCACCGTCCTCGACCACCGCCGCCACTCCGCCATCCAAGGCACCGTCACCACAAAATGGACACCAAGGCCCTCTCGCCTCAACCCCCTCGTCGGCCCCAGCCCCCAAATCTGCACCTCATTGATCGACGGGCCGTTCCTGGTTCCCGGATGCGACCTCTACGGCGTGCCGTACGCCCAACAAAACTCAACCACCGGCGACGATGACGGAAAGCAACGACCACTCACAGCCGCCATCACACCACGTTACGATGCCCCCAATCCCCGGGCATCATCAATGAACCTCATCACTGCCACCGCTACAGAGGAAACCACCGCAGTGCTTGCAGCCACGCCCTGGCCGTACCGTCTTCCTCTGGGCTTGAGGCCGGTGCCGGGTACGAGGTTCGCTCAACAGTTCGGTAGCCAAGACAAGGTCCGCCTGGGAACCGTCGAGCGGGAACTGAGGAAGGTGGCGTGGTGGCAGTACGTGCTTTACGGCGTTCCAGAGGAGAAATCAACCATCGCCGAGGCACGAGATGTTAGCGAAGGGGAAGTTGTGCTCACAGGGACGGTGGAGAGTGAAGCGATCGAAGTTAAGAAGATGGAGAAGTAGAAGGGTGTTGTAATTGTGCTTGAATGAATTGGTTATTCATTTTTCGGAGTTTGGGGGTTGCATCATTGGTTGAACGAAACGAAATAGATGTTCACCCTTTGGAGTTTGGGCAAAATGACGAAGAAACGCAGGAAATGATATTGAATGTAGCATTGAGAATATGAGATGCCCTTGGCTCTCTTGGTACTGACTAGCATATTGAATCGAAATTATTGACAATCAGTTTCAAAGGGAGTGTGAATGGTTGCTTGTTACAGATTATTTCACGGTAACAAGATATTGCCTGAGTCTCCATGTGTTGTACATCTTCATGTCATTTTTGTAACATCTTGACTGATCATGTGACTGTTTTGTTCTGCGTATGGATTCCAACTTCTTCACCGACTTATATATTCACTTGCATAATTGATTTAAAATATTGCCATGCTTCTAACACAAGCAACACGTTCACCATTTCCATGAAGGCGGCGAGAGTTCTTTGGAATCTGAAAGCATATTCCCTACCTACCTTCTAAACATCTTACACAAGCAAGAAATCGTTATTAAACATGGCTCCAGACCCACGAAAGTCAGCGTCTGAGAACAAGTCTACAAACCAAAAGGGAGGGACATTACGCCGCGACGCCCGACCAGAAAACGCAGCCCAGAAACCTTCCGGTCGCGTCTTCAACACCTACACCGAATTTGTCGAATACATCGTGACCAGAAAATGCACTAAATGCAAAAGCCCCCTGCTAAGCAAACAAGCAAGTGTCGAGAAGCTTTTCGGGTCCTGGGCCTCCGGCCAAGCAATCAGCTCAATTATAAAATGCAGTCGCTGCGCGACATCTAACTGCGTTGGCTGTGGCGCGAACTGGCCAGCACAGAAGGCGACGGTGAAGGTGGGTGAGAAGCCCACTGAGACGTATATTACGTGGTGTTGCAGTCGCGGGCGCATGTTCGTACTGTGGGTTCTCTTGTGCGGCTTCGACCAGGAGTACTGTGCGAGGAAACAGCGAGAGGGATCTACGATGAGCACGAGAACCCGCCAGCAGGGATCTGGAACTGGGTATGAAGAGTTAAACTATGGTCTTGACCAATTCCATATAAATCCGTTCTTCGGCGGTAGCCATGTATTCGGATCGAGGAATCAACCTCCATCAGCCGGAGCTGAGAGCAAGGAGAAGATATCGGACAAGTTCTACCAAACGATGTTCTCGATGCTTGTCGAGCTGTGTCCCTACAAAGGGAAGAGCTCCACGATGGATAGCAATCCACATGGAGCTGTTACGAGCATGCTTCTGAATAGCAAAGTTCTACAAAAGGCAGCTGAGCTCCTTCGTAATGATTCACTCGAGGAGGCTACAAAGCGAAGAGGCCTGTACAAGGCTGTTCTTGATTTCGTCGGCGTCGTCGGATCACATCCCACCACGTCAGCAAAGGCTGTATTCCAGGAGAGACAATTGCACCCGGACACGGTCAATCTCTTGACCCTGTCATTCCAGACTAATAAGACCCGCGGCAAGCAGAAGCCAGAAGGAACATCGCCGCTATCCGAGGTGCTCAAGAATTTGAGCATTCAGAGTGAACTAATGCTAAACGCAGCAAAGGCGAATGAGCGGGACTTCCAGACCCGCGAGGGCCAGGATATGCTTTGGATATGTCGCCAGATACATGACCTCGCAGCCCGCTTACTTCCAAAGGGAGAGAGTGCTCCAAGATCTAGGCATGAGGTGCAACCCATGAGCAAATTACAGAACGTAACAGAAGTGCGCGATGACCAAATATTTGCGACTCATGTTTTCGCTAGGGAAATTCAGGGTTTAGCACAATCCTTTCCAGGCCGGATGAAACGCTTGATAACAGAGATAGCTTCCTTGAAGACTGGATTGCCGCCAGGGATATTTGTCAGGTACGCTGCATCCAGGATCGATTGCTTAAAATTCTTGATCGTGGGACCTGTTGATACGCCTTATGAGAACGGACTGTTCGAGTTCGACTTGTTTTGTCCGGCAAATTATCCCCATGCTCCACCCCAATGTCTCTTCAAAGGAACAAAAGGAGGCGAATATGGCATCAATCCAAACATTTATCCCAACGGAAAGGTATGTCTCTCCCTCCTTAACACATTTCCCGGCGAGCCATGGAGGCCCGCAGTCTCGACCATCCTCCAGGTCTTGGTATCCATTCAGGCGATGATTCTTTGCGAAGATCCGCTTAGCAATGAGCCAGATATTGATAAGGATCCAACGGGCCATGAACACATAGTCTACAGTGACAAAATACGCCGATTGACCATCTATTTGGCTATGATAGACTGGATGAAAAGGCCTCCAACCCTTTGGCACGATATTGTGACCCAGCACTTCAAAGAGCATATGAACCACATCTTGACAACGACAAGGAAGTGGGCGTCCCAGCCAGTTCCTACTGAACGTGGCGGTTGGTTTTGCCAGCCTACCGTCCCTATCAGACTTGATGTTGGTAATGATCATCTCCTCAGGTCTGCTCTTGAACTGCACAGTGAGCTTCAAGCATTGCTTCCACGGTTCACTGGCCTACCAGCACCGGCTCAGTCTCATATAGGTACTGTGCAGGCCACGCCTAGTTCCAGAAATCCCGACTATGGCAATGCACCGTATGGTACAGGATCGCATATGTCCGGCTTTAGTGGCTCGCAAGGAAACAGCTTTCGGGGTACTCAGTATCCCTCAAATTCTTATTATTCTGACTGGCATGACCAAGGTTGGGGTGGAGGCCAAGGTTGGGGTGGAGGCCAAGGTTGGGGTGGAGGCCAAGGTTGGGGCGGACAAGGGAGCAGGAGGTGGATGAGTTAGTGGTGTTGTATGCTTTCCCTTGAAATGCCTCAATCGTGAGTATCAGATTATCGTAATATTTTGATGAGATCTCTAGTGCTTTGATTCTTCACTTGATAATTCCGATATATATAGATTCCTGCCATCAGGTGAATTGTGCAGTCAAAACTCGCCGGAGGCCCAAGAATTGAATATGTGCGAAGAGAATTGCCATTATATCACTAATGAAATATCTATGAATCCATATTCCAGAAGACCGAGAAGAGCGATAACAATGAAGTCATGTCTGGTCGTGCACTAGATGATGAAAGTCGGGTCACGTGCGTGAATGTTTACGGCGGATCAGTTTCGCCGCCGCCCGAATGCGCAAGTGCTCATCATCTCCAGCACCGCAGCATCTCATCAAACACAACACACCTTACGTATCTAATCTAACCCAACATTACTGCCGGTTTCGTTTCCATATACACACCCTCCGGACTCCTCTCCAAACACCGCCACCCACTTGCGAGCTCCGCAGCAACCCCGCATCACAATGTCTAGCGGCCAGGTGCTGAAGGCCGAGAAGGACTTCACCAAGGAAGTCGATAAGCTTCTCCCAGAGGCTGAGAAGCTTGGACAGGTTGGTCATGCTCTTCGTATGAATGAGACCGAGCTAACGAAGGGGCTATAGTCAAACCCGCAGGGAGCAATCGAGAAGCTGCTTGTTTTGGAGAAACAGACCCGCCAGGTACAGCTCTCCACCAAGTCATATCATGTGCTGGATACTTACGTCTTTCAAGGCCTCCGATCTCGCCTCTACCTCCAGGATTCTCGTTGGAATATGCACAATAGCTAAGAATGCCGGAGATTGGAGCTTGTTGAATGAGCAAGTGTTGCTACTCTCGAAGAAGCATGGCCAGCTCAAACAGGCTACCACCAAGATGGTGCAGGTAGCCATGGGATTCCTGGACGATACACCAAACCTAGAGACGAAGCTATCGGTCATCGAGACTCTTCGAACCGTCACCGAGGGCAAGGTACGATATGTCGTGCTACTTGCGGCCGGGCAAATACTAACGGTCAAACTAGATCTTCGTCGAAGTCGAACGGGCTAGAATTACGCGCATTCTTTCGGACATCAAGAAGGAACAGGGCGATGTGAAGGCGGCGACCGATATCCTCTGCGAACTTCAGGTCGAGACATTCGGTTCCATGACTCGCCGAGAGAAGACAGAGTTTATTCTTCAACAAGTGGCGCTTTGCATAGAGAGCAACGAGTGGACACAGGCAGGCATCTTGAGCAGGAAGATCAGCAAGAGGTATTTCACAAGGAAACCAAAGAAGTCCCCAGAACAACTCGAGAAGGAGAAGAAGGAGCGGGAAGAGAAGGAGAAGACGCGGAGCGCTGATGAGCCCCCGCCTGAGCCTGAAGATGACGTTACCGACTTGAAGCTACGCTACTACGAACAACAAATTATGCTCGCCAAGCATGACGACAAGTACCTTGAGGTCTGCAAGCATTACCGACAGGTGCTAGATACCGAGGCCGTTGAGGAGGACCCCAAGAAGCTTCGAGCCGTACGTATACAACATAAATTTGCGGTTTCATTTACTAATGGGCAAACAGATTCTTCAACGTGTCATTTACTTCGTCATCCTAGCACCGTACGATAACGAGCAATCGGATCTCATTCACCGAATCCAGAGGGACACGCGCAACTCCCAGATCACCCAAGACGCCCAGTTGGTCAAGCTCTTCACAGTACCCGAGCTGATGAGGTGGCCCATGGTTGCTAAGCAGTTTGGACCACACCTGACAGACTCAGATGTCTTTGACGCAGAGAAGGATGATTCAGAGGATCCCAAAGCACATCAGAGATGGCAAGACCTGCGCAAACGTGTGATCGAGCACAACGTGCGCGTTGTTGCCAAGTATTACACTCGAATTCAGATTCCTAGACTCACGCAACTCTTGGATCTTACCGAGGACGAGACGGAGAAGTACATCAGTGAATTGGTTACCGCAAAGACCATCTACGCCAAAATCGACCGCCCGGCACGTATCGTCAGCTTTGCTAAACCCAGGGATGCTGATGACGTTCTCAATGAGTGGAGTGGAAACATGAAGAGCCTCTTAGGCCTACTCGAGCGTATCGACCATCTCATCACCAAGGAAGAAATGATGGCCCGTATACAACCTACGAAGATTGAGAAGGGCAAAGCAGGCAAGGCGAAGAAATGATGAGTTGACGAACAAGAAAGAGGGATCTCGAACTCAGCCATGAGATGGCCTAGACGTGCCGGATTCTACAGTAACTTCGGCCTCGCGCTATAGAGCGCGATGTAATATAGATTCTTCGCCAATTGCTCGTGCCGTCTACTGATCTATACTGTCTATTTCAATGTGAAGATGCCATGCGTGTCCCGCTCCCAAAAATGCAGATGTGCAGAATCCGATCAAAATGGAACATCCATATCTTCGACGCTCTCTTCCTGCGTTGCTTTATCCGGGTTTTCTGATTTGTACAGCTGTTCGTAGATGTAACGAATCAGTGCCGTCACATGAATCTTTTGACTGGCCAGAATGTGGCCTCCGGGATGATACAAAGTTGCGGGCTGTTCGCATGTATCGATGTAGGCCAGACTCCTTTTCTCCTCTACCACGGTGTCCAAACACCCAATGAAATGCAAAAGTGGTGTCTTAATCTTCGGCTCGAAAAACGCTCTATACGCATCCACGCCCACAGGCGCAAACCCAGAATACGAAACCGCAAACTTGAACGGCGGATGAATCGTCTCCCCCGACGCATCGAGCAAGGAACTCGGGAACTCAATACCGCCCTCCTTCTGCAACTTCTCAAAGACCTCCTTCCTCCCGGGCTCCAGCGCCGAAGCAAGCAGACCCGTCGCGCACGCGCCCTGCGAAAACCCGATTACGCCATCGAACGGGCCCTCCTCCTTCAGCGCCGTCGCCAACTGCGCGAACCCCCGATCGAGCCCCTCATACACGTACTGGTCCCCCTGCCCCTTCTTCTTCCACCACGCCCACGCATCGATCTCGTCCTCCGGCGTCTCCCCGCCGTCCCTGGTCGCGAGGAAGGGCTCGTCGGCGGGCGACAGGCGGATGGGTCCTGTGGGGTAGTGCAGCGACACGCCGGCTGGGAACGATTTTATGAGGATCTTCTCGAGGGCGCGGGTTTTGGCGTAGAAGAGAGGGCCGGATTGCGTGTACCCGTGGATCATGAGGAGCTTTATGGGGCGGGTGGGCGGAGGGGCGTCGGTGGTGGCCATTTTGCGGAGGAGGGGGAGGGAGTTGAGGTAGTTTGTGCGGATGTGGTGGGGGATTCGACGCATGCGCGGGGGGTGAGAGGATTCAGTGAGAGAGTTTGTGTGGAAGTTGGGAGGATGTTGCGTGGAGAAATTTTTGTCTTGTCTTTTTGATTGAATGTTATAGGAATCGGGAGAGTGAGAACTATGTATGATGATGTTCGATAAGATAAGAAACTAAGGAAGGGCTACGGGACAGGGATTGCTAGTTAGGAAGGGCGCTGCTCCCTCGGTTCTGAGCCCTGCTTGTACTTGTGCTGCGGACACTTTGGTGGTCAAGCAAGTTTGCATTATTAATTATATCTCAAGGTTAATTGAACAGTCGACCTTGAAATAATTGACCATACAATGGATAAGGTGCTCGAGTACATGCATCATGAAAATAACTTGGTCATTAAAAGATAAAAATTGAATATAATTTTCTTTGCTTTGAATTATATATCTCAGCATCGTACATGCTCTCTCGATATGGAATTACAATTCATGTCCAATAAGCCCCTTGAATCGTCGCTCTGGGTCATACTTTGATCTCAGATTCACCAACTTCTCCCAATGAGCACCAAATGTCTAGCCACATTAGCGATATTTTGACAGGAAGATACTCCGTAGAGTGCAGGGCAAACTTACCGGTCTAGGGTCGTGAAACTCTTCTAGCCCCAAAGGAGCAATGTGAATATCAGAATTTCCCCCTAGCACTTGTTGCGGTGCATCTATTGCTAACTGGCGGGCAAGACTTGATTGCTCCGAAGAAGCATTGGCATCACATCCTGTCGAGTATAACAAGATATGCTTCATATCAGTAGGGCGAGGCCACGCGCAATCACCTGGAGAGGCGTTGAGATGTGGCGACTGTGTCTAATCAGTATTTACCAGGGCATGGTACTTCATGAGATACTCACTGAAGCAAATAGTTGGAATATCATCATGGATCCCTCTCCAATCTGTGTCTTCATGTTGTCCACCCACTCGACTCCTCGTAAGATAGTGTTGGAATCCACGTCTGCCAGACCTAGACTTGCCGAGTACATATTCTGGGCTCCTCTCTCTTGACCGGAACTCTCTGAATCGATTGTTAGTCCTGATCTCCTCCTTTGTTGTGTGCAGATTACTTACTTCGTAGGTCCATCACACCCAGTGAATCCGTCTCGGATGTGTGTTCCATTGCGCCTGGAATCTCAAGAGCGAAGCGAAATACCTCCCTCCCATGCTCACTGCCATTCGCATCGTAGACCTGGAGAATGAGTGGGCTGCCCTGGAGGGTGAGTGGGCCGCCAACAAAGCCCTCTTCGGTCTTCTCCCCGCCACTTGGGATTATCAAAAGAGCTGAGACTCGAGATGGGGTAGGATTGGTAGAGATGAAAGTAGCGAGACCGCGTGCAAAGCGTGGCAATTCGTGACGGAGAACAATTATATTTCCACTCCAGATTTTATCAGGGTAGGGAAATGCACGAAGTGTGACTTTTGTAACGACTGGGAGGAATAAAATTAGCACGTGTACTGCAAGCGTCTCTGGGGGGGATGTCTCACTGCCAAACCCTCCACCACCGCCTCTCAGAGCGAAGAGCAGATCAGGCTCATCCGATGCATTCGCCACCGATCCGTCATACTTGACAACTTCCGCATCGATGAAATTCGCGGGGTCAGAGATCCAGCCTCGCTCGCCGGACAACCAACTGATACCGCCGAGTTGGATGGATCCAGCCACTCCGACGTGTGCTGCACGAGCTGACATCACTGCAACAATTCAGTCCCTTGTAGACTTCAAAAGATCTCAGTTCCGCTTACCAGTATGATCCGGGGCCACTTCACGCATTTGTTCTTGGACTTCGAGCCAAGTCATTCCCGCACCGACACTGACCGTCTTCTCGGTTGAGTCAAAAGTGAACCCTTTGAAACGAGTCATACTGATGATGACATCGTGTGCAGATGGAGACTTGAGCCCATGGCCTCGTATGTTGAAATCGAGCTTCGAAGTGTAGAGGAAGTGGATGATACGACTGAGTGATTGCGTATCTTCGGGAACCAGAGCGACAGAGGGATAGAGGTCATTCTGGGCTGCAAAGGGTTGAGTGTGAGTGGAGTACTCTGCACTGTCCTGCTTCACGACCTCTGATGGTTTGAGTGTCTTTAGGAGAGGCTCGAGGACTCCGAAGACATTTGGGGATTTTGCCATGGTAGCAGTTACTTTGAATATCTTTCGTGGGGTGAATGATTGATTGAAGCTGAATTGAGTGTTGTAAGATGTTATGAGATTGAACTCTCGTGAATGGTAGCTACTTATATACTTCAAGATTCAACTCTCTGATATATATGTAATGGCTTCAACATAACGCCCGTAGGAGCAAGCATCATCTTGGCTTGATGTATTCCAAAAGCACAAAACCCACATCAAGTACCGGAAACGGCCAATGAGGTTCAGAAATCTCCATACATCTCTATAATGTTACCAACCAGGTCATGAATAATCCGGCGTTCAATGAAGTCGAGACACCTCGCAGATGCTTAGGCGTGCAGTCGGTCATCGTACGGTCGTACATTCGTACTAAAAGAATATTTACACATCAAGGATGGAAATCTCTATTCATCGGAGCAAGTACTTTGGGAGAACCGCATGTGGGAATCATGATGGATGGGCGTTATGGGATTGTCAAGCAGCGATATTGAGATGCTTTGTAATTGTAATGCTCCGACGTCCGACGAAGGATTCAAGGCAAATGGATCGCTCTGGCTTGGCTTGATCTGATATAATCGTTGTCAGATGCCTAGAGATCTGTACTCTGTAGATCATCTACCAAGCTAGCAAGATACATTATCAAAGTCACATGGTAATGCACGTAGAGGTGAACGTTGTTGATGTCCAAGGGTAGATTCAATAATTCTCTTGTCGGCATGATCTCATACCGAGGGGTGGGTGACGCTCGGTCCAATTCTGCAGATCCCGAGCTTTCACGCCAAAAATTTCCTGAGAGCTTCAAAAAATATCTACTACCAATCTACATTATTAGGGTGCACGCATAGAACCATCCACCATGCTCACCGAGCACTTTGTCGCCGCAATCGCCGCGCACACAAAACCGAACACCGGAGTCACCAAGGATGCTGGCATCTTTTACCACGAATTCCAGCCATTGGCCGCGCAAAGGCACATCTTTAAGAAAAGCGCATCGGCACCAAATGGACTCGCCGTCAGCAGCTCGCACATCTTCACGGCGCAGGCGGACAAGGCGCTCATCCATGTATATAGCAGAGATAAGGGTAATCAGGAGGCTTTGATCCCTTTCCCAGAGAAAATACACAGCATCGCCCTGGCACTGGAGGATACCGTCCTCTTGCTTGGGACAGGCAGTGGGAGGATTCTAGCGTGGGAGGTAAGTCAAGGGATATGTCAATTACAAAGGCATACGCATAGCTAATGTTACTGCAGATAACCTCAGGCCGCCTCGTATCTACGTCCACTTCGCACCTTCAGCCCGTCACCTCGCTCATTGTAGATCCTACGTCGAACTTCTTCCTCTCCGGCTCTCTAGACTCCATGATTCATGTCTGGGCCCTACCCAACATTCTGTCCTTCGCTCCCGATAGCTCTCGCACTCCCATTCATACTCTATCTACCCACCGCGCCGCAATCACTTCCTTGGCTTGCGGCCACAGTCATTCTACGGCCAACATTGCTGTTTCGATATCAGAAGACAAGTCGGCCATCGTTTGGGACTATCACACTGGGCAGGCATTGAGGACATATCTTCTACCCGAGGCCCCCACTGCCGTGACTCTGGATCCCGCCGACCGGGCTTTCTTCGTCGCATATGAAGATGGCAGTTTACAAACTGTATCGTTCTATGACGAACTCCAGCAGACGACACCTGTCGACATACTCCGCGATGGATCCGTGTCTCATCAGCCCATCCAGCCTTCCTCAAAGTCTAGGTTTAACGCCGAATCGCAAAAGTTGGGCGGAGCAGTGAGCGTAGCATTGAGTTGGGATGGGCAGACATTGATCTCAGGGCACGCAAGCGGCAAGATTGCATCATGGGACATCGCGAAGGGAAACTATATTTCTACGCTAGGAAACCTTCCTGGACCCGTAACCAACTTGCAATTCCTAGCCCCGACGGGGTTCCCCAATGCGAAGGAGCCAAAGTTCAAGGTCCACACCGTGGTCAAGCCCAGGCAGGATCTGGGCTCGCTTACCAACGCCGCTGCAGTCGTGCCATCGAATTACAGTTTGAACGTGCAGCTCACGGGCAGAGTCGACGTCCCGGCTGTATCTGCAACAGACGAGCCGAGAGCAGGGCCTTCGCAATTTGAAGAAGCCCTCGCCCACCCTAGTTTTCCGTTGTCCATGCTAGAAGAAGGAATCGCGGAATTGGAGATGTGGGGATCGGCACCTACCAGCGCTGCCGTGGCACCAGCAGCTGACTTCATGTCTCTCTCAGCCCTGCCTGCAGACGCAGAAGAGGGCACCCAGGACGGCGCGGCCTCTGCCTCCTCCCAGGCCCGCATCAAGGATCTCGAGAAGCAGCTAGCAAGCCTCCAGCGCATACAGAAGGTCACCTTCGAGCAACTGTCCACCTCTCGCTCGCAGGTCGACTTCCTCACACGACGAGAGAGGAAGCGCGCAGCGCAAAAGCAATTCCGCGCCAACAGCAACAGCAAGAAGGGCGTCGCCAATGGGAAGGATGCGAATGGCGATGTGGAGATGAGTTCGGGAGATGACGACGGAAGTTCCACACCCTCGGGAGCAGAGTCGAACGATGGCGAGAGCGATGGCGATGACGGTGCCGGAGCCTCGGGAAAAGCCTCATGAGGGCCACCACCACCACCAAGTGATGACAGTCGAGAAGCTCGAGCGCGCGCCCACCAACGCGCATTGGAGTGATTTGAAATATACCCATGAACGGCATTCGAGTAATCTCGTTATGATCTTTCCGCGATTCCACGGGTAGATCTTCGTCCCGGCCCAGGCTTGACGCCTTCTGCTCGCCATAGTCAGATTATTAGCACACCCATTAGCAGGACTCTTCTAGATTGCTGCGCAGCGCATCTCATCTCCTCGCTTCCGAGATCGCTTCAAGCAATGTACCTGCAATCTCAGGAACGATGCAGTGTTCCTGACTATCGCTGAACCCCGCCGCGATCTTTATCTGCCACTCCAATTATCACACCAAGACATCGGTTGTAAGTACCGTCATCCAGTTCCATCATTGATTCAAGTTGCGGGAGGATGGGCAGCCGATAATGATGATTAAGAAGAAAACATGGCATTGTCCATGGCATGGGAAGCAGGTCATCTACGGTGTCCGCTGTCCTAGAGAGCAGAGCACACCCCAGGAACGACATGGTGTATCATGGAGGAAATTATACAGCGTCATTTAATCACCTTCTCGATACGAGAGAAACGATATTACGAAGTAGAAGACGAGGAAAGGAAAAGGCAAACAGCCATCCATCCGTCCATCCATCCATAGCCTAGCCACCCCTCGCACCGACACACAATAACAAGATTCAAACCCGCTCTCCTCCCAACGTCTATGTGGTGTAAGCCATCCGTGAGACAAACCGTCGCTCATGATGTATGTACGTCCGTACTCCCTATGCTGCTGTCGTCGTCGACCCGGTATCCGGGTTCCCGTACGCTGTCTTGTGCTCACGATTGCACAAACGTACTCCGTAGAGACATTTGCACTACTCCTCATACTTGGTCGACTCTGATCGTGCTCTTTACGGAGTACGGGGCAGAGTGCAAAGTGCAATGCTCCGTACTATGTAGTGCAGATGAACACTAACTCACTCACTCACTCGCAACACAGCACTGTACCAACACGGCACAAGGACATCACGGCGTAACCCACCCAGCACGGGGTGAGCGAAGACACACAAGTCTTGTCACCCATCTCGACCGAACGAACGAACGACTGAGTCGGCCAGCGTGATTCGCAAAGCATGGACTCTGTAACCCTTCGTGCCTTCTTAGCATGCATGCAGGGCAGAAAACTAGGGATACCCCTGGGCCAACCAGCCATCCATCCATCCAGCATCGATAACCCACCGGAAGCCATTATCATGATCACTTGACTCTCGACTTTTCTATCCCATACATTGTACCTCACCCACCTATCTTTCCGTCCTCCCCTCCCCTTTAGCTAGCTACCCATTCCTCCACACATCCACCCATTCGCAGAATTGAATCCAAGAGCAAACCTTCCCTCCCCC